CACTCCTACTTGCTCATCCAGCCCCTAGAGGTCGCCTCGATGCTCCGCCACCTGATCCAAGCGGTCCCATCACTCCGTGTGACGCGCCGGTCACGTGCTAATTACCTCCGGCCGCTTGCTGACTGATGCTGGCCTCATGGTGACTCGTATGCGTCCGCACCTTCGGTATTTTGATGGAAACAAGAGAGGGAGTATGCTGGAGGGTGGGAATGAGGACGACGCCCCTCGATGGAAGTGTCCGTGGGCCCCGGAGCTAATTCGCCTAGAAGTCGCATAGATTAAGTCACCTCGGAGCTTGCGTTTGCGGAGATAAATCGTGGAATGGGTCCGTGTATATCTTGGGGATGCTAGGAAGTCCGGAGCTAAATAGAGCAATTCTTTAGAGCCCATAGAAGCCTAGTGGCGTGTGAGTGCTGTGTCGAATAAGCTCCGGAGGGCTTGTACGATGTGCTGAGTCCGCGTTTTCGGGGGTCAGACGATCCTGAGGCTTATCAACGGTCTCTGTCGGTGTCATCGCACAGAAAACAAAGGCCATCTCCGCGAAGGGTCTGCATGTGCAATGGAATGATACAGTTTCATTGTAAGTCATATGCAAGCCTTTGAGTACCTGATGCCTCCCTCATCTTACCTCGAACAATCAGCAACAGCATTGGAAGTTCTTTGGGTGTGCTACTTGCCATGACCTTGGAGTATAAGCATCGGTTGCACAAGGATGAGACTATCTGCCGTTTGGACGAAAGCATTGGCAGGTTGGTGGGCTCTTTCTTGGAGCAGCAAGGTGTGACATGACTTCATAGTTTCTTTGTCTTGCATCTTACTTCACCATATGTGAATAGTTGTTCGTGATCTCCAGGGATATCCAGTATACACCATTGAGTTTGACATCACAACAAGGCCTATCAGTGCCTTTGCAGAGGCTGCCATAGCTCAAGCATCTGATGCAGTTGGTGCTATGAACACCATTCAGCATATTTCCCTAGCCCCAGCTGCAAATGAGGTGGTAGGAACAGTCCTCTCTGCTGTACCACCAGATACAGTATCTACTTTGGAGTCTGTCATGGCTACACTTGACATCCTAAGTAAAATAGGGGGTGTCCTTTCTGATAGTCATTTGTCTTCTTTTAAGATGCTTACCAAGTATATCATCAGATCCACCCTTGGGCAAAGATGGCCTACAGTATCTTTGAAGGAGCCTACAAGGTTGAAACAAAGTACATTGCCTGTCATATACAATGCTTACATTCTACACTCTCTGCAGGTCATCAATGATGCATCTGAGTGTGACATCAACATTCAAGATTTATTGTCTACTATCAAGAAAGTATTTGCTTTTGCCAAGGAAGCACAGGATCTTCCAGAAAAGTATACAGAGCAGAAAGAGATCATTATCCAGATGCTACAGCAAGCAGTAGAATGTGGCCACTTCATTCAGGCCTACACAAAGGATAAAAGCTTCTGTGAGATCATTGCTTTTCACACATTTGCTCGTGATCAGGATTATTTACATGACCCTTCTAGTTTTCAGGGCATGGAAGCACTCTGCTGCAGATACTGACAAGCTAATTGCTGATTACATTGCAAAGTTTGAAGAGCTTGCAAGGGATTTCCACAGCAATGGTCTCCTCCATACTCAAATCCTCTGTGTCAGAATAAAAGAGGACCTAGGAGGGATACGTAAGTTGACAACTTCTACAAATTTGCTATGGTGCTTATGGGTTATAGGTGAAATGGTGGGCAAGGTTGAAGTGAAGGATATCCATTATGCTGAGGGTGCCTCATTTCAATCATCAAAGTGCTGTTTGCCAGGCACCTGTGTGGTGCTGCTTGATGATATAACCCAGTGGATCAACAGCAGCAGTCATGAGCAGATCCTTTTACTTACAGGTGGTGCAGGTACTGGCAAGTCCACAGTGGCTCATACTATTGCAAGGTGGTTTGACAAGCAGGGAAGACTTGGATCCTCATTTTGCTTCTCAAGAGCTGAAGCAGGTCACACACCATTCAAGCTCTTTGGTACCATTTCCTGTGATCTGTCTCATCCTTTCCCACAGGTGAGGGAGAAGCCCTTGGAGCTCAAGACTGCCTTCTGCACTACCAGTGACATGATAGATCAATTTGAGCAGTTTCTGCAGAAGACTACAAGTGGACTCAATATCCTGGGACCCATTGTTATTGTCATCGATGCTTTAGATGAAAGTGGACAGGCTATCGACCACTGGGCCATGCTGGACATTCTGGCCACAAAGATACATCTTCTTCCAAACCGACTTCCACTTTGTCATAACATCTCATCCAGAGCCAGACATCATACAGGCATTTGCCACTACTTCCAATGTGTGGCATGTACAGATGAAAGAATTCCCAGGGACTCATCAGGATATCTCAGCATACATTTACTCCACCTTAGCTCCTGAAGGCAGACTGTTACCAGGGCTCCAGTGGACTCATTGCAAAGATCTGGTGAAGTACTCAGGGGGACTTTTCCAATGGGTCTTTGTGGTTTGCAGTCTTATCAAGCAGTGATTCCACCTTCACAATGGGCTGCAAGGATTACCAGTGCACCAGTGCAGGCTACAAAGGCTCTCAATCAACTGTATCTGAATGTTCTTGGGCAGCTCTTTGATGATATACATTGTCCAGCTTCCAAGAAACTGTTCCATGGTGCTCTGGGTCCACTGTTGGCCTTGCTCAAGCCAGTCTCCATGGAGACTTTGCATATGCTGCTCACAAAATCTGAAGTCACTGAGGTCCCCTGGGAGGACATCCAATATGTGCTGGGATTCTTGGGGTCATTCCTGGATGGTGTAACCATCGGCAGCAACAGACCTATCCAGCCATTACACACTTCCTTCCGTGACTTTCTTACCAGTGAAGAGAATAGAAATGATGCAGGGGAGTTCTTCATCACTTTATCTGATCACCACTAGACATTATGTCAGGCATCTCTACAACAAATCAACTATAGGGTCAAGTTCAATCACTGCAAGCTTGCAACATCTTATAGGTGCAATGTGGACCAAAATGCTCAATTGCCAGATTCAGCCATCATCTATGCCTGTCAGTTCCTAGGAAAGCATTTGGAATGGGTACAGCACTGTGCTGAGCTTGAATGTTGTCCAAGATACTCAAATTGCTTTACTGGTTGGAAATCTTGAGTATTCTTCACCTGCTGCAGGTTACTACACCCACCTTACTCCAAGTAGCCACATGGATGATGGTGAGCTTTGAAAACCTATTAGCCATAGATCTATCCACTTATTGTTTATTACATTCAGGGCTACAGTCAGGAGCTTACTCGCCTTGCAGAAGATGGTGCTCAATTTGTTTCATACTTTGCAACCCCCATAGCAGAGTCAGCACCACACATCTATCTATCTGCAATCCCCTTTGCCCCAAAGACTTCTCACGTAGCAACACTCCACCAGACTTCTTTGGCAAGGACACTTGCAATAATGGATGGCAAGCTGACAAGCTGGCCAAATCATCAACTCATGATGCAAGACCATGATAGTTTCTTCACATCTGTGGCCTTCTCACCTAATGGGAGGCACATTGACTCCGGATCTTTGGACAGGACAGTCAGGGTCTGGAATGCAGAGACAGGAGAGGCAATCTGTGAGCCTCTTCAAGGCTATGATGATGGGGTCAGCTCTGTGGCCTTCTCACCAGATGGGAAGCACATCATATCTGGATCTTATGACAGCACAATCAGGATCTGGGATGCAGAGACAAGGGAGGCAATTATAGGGCCTCTCCGAGGCCATAATGCTGCAGTGACATCTGTGGCAATCTCTCTGACTTGGAAGCACATCATCTCTGGATCTTGGGACATGACAATCAGGGTCTGGAATGCAGAGACAGGAGAGGCAATCAGGGAGCCTCTCCAAGGCCACAATGGCTGGCTCACAGCTGTGGCATTCTCCCCTGATGGAAAGACCATTGCTTCTGCATCTACAGATTGCACAATCAGAGTCTGGGATGCAGAGACAGGGAAAGCAATTAGTGAGCCTCTCCAAGGAGATGACAATCAAGTGACATCTGTTGCCTTCTCCCCTAATGGGAAGCACATCATCTCTGGATCTGGTGACAAGATAATCAAGGTCTGGAATACAGAGACAGAAGAGGCAATCAGTGAGTCTCAGGGCCAGGGCTATCATGATCAGTGCAATTGTGTAGTCTTTTCCCCAAGCAGACAGCACATTATCTCTCATTCTTTGGACCACATAATCAGAGTCTGGGATGCAGAGACAGGAGAGGCAATTAGTGGACCTCTCCAAGGCCATAATGGCCAGGTCACATGTGTAGCCTTCTCCCCTGATGGAAAGAGTATTGCCGCTGGATCTGCAGACAGGACAATCAGAGTCTGGAATCTAGAGAGAGGAGAGGGCAAGTGTGACAGCATACCTTTGGGTGAGTGTGGTTTGCAATTGGCTGGCTCAGTAATTGACATTTTTGTCATTTCTTTCTAGATTTGCTGAGAACTGCTACTATGGATGAATCTGGGTGGGTGAAAGGTCCCACAGAAGAGTTGTTATTCTGGGTCCCTCCTGTCCACCGCCAGGGTCTCTTGAGACCAGACAACACTCTTGTCATAGGTGCACACCCAACCAGGCTTAATTTGGAGAGTTTTGTGCATGAGGAGGACTGGGTGAAATGTCACTTTCCTTGAGTGTACAACCTCCCAGACCATCCATGTTCTGCATCTGCAAAAAGTTGTATTACCAAGCACTTGATGTATAAATGTACACCTAGGCTATGCTATTGTTCATGTGTGCATGTAGTATTCCAGACAGATAGTTACAGCTTTGAGGTTACTTCTCTGTACTCCATACCTTCAGTTCCTACCTTGTCAACATCATGACCAGCCCCACCCTCATCCACAATTCCAACTAGCTGAGATTGGTTCTCAAACCACCAGCCCATTACAAACTCTTTCTCCTTATCTCCCATATGCTCTGATGTCTCCTCAAAAAGTGCTTCCACCAACTCCTTCCTCCCCGCTCCTCCAGCATCAGCATAAGTAGGAGAAACAATAGAACATATCTCATTCAGTACCCTCGGTAAAAGCGAGAGGGGCAATGCCGGCACCACGGATATAAGGGATAATAGCAAGCGGTGCCGTCGCTCGTAACTCGAAGACTCCACCCCGGACGTGGAAGCGGACGGTGAGTTGGGAGCGCAGCCAAGGGAGCGGATGATGTCCAATAACGAGTAGACACAGTAGCACAGGAGGGACTCGTCAGGCGAGGCGGCGGCTCCGGTGGCGAGAGTCGAGAACGCGAGCCGCAGCTGAGACGTAGTCAACGCGCCTTCGTGTGAATTCTGTCGGGCCATGGTATGCGGTGAGATTGCGGGCAGAACGGAAATGTAAGGATGCTCGCACCTCGATCAAGCAATTTGTGTAGAACGGCACGAGCCGCTCAACGAACGTCGGTTCCCTCCCTCTTTCCTTCCCCTTAGCACTCGGCTGTTCTGCCTCCGTATGCCCTTTCTGCTGCTGCTGCGCATACTTGGAGAACATCGCCAGCACGACCGAGTGCGCCGACTCGTACGTCTCGCGGTGCGCTGGCGACGACAGGTGGCTGCGAGCGGCGACGTCAGTGACCACTACCGCACCGACGCACACGGGAGATGACTCACGGGAGGCAGAGCGGGAAGATGGCATGCTCCAGGGTGTGGTCCGCTACCGACGGCACCAGCTGCTCGATGCAGACGAGCGCGAACGATTTCTTCGCCATTTCGGGCAGTGAGAGACTGGCAGCATCTGGAGAGCCTTCAGTATGTGGTAATCAACCTGAGTAAGCGAAGGGACATACTACGAGACGAGAATTGGTGGATGAGCCCGTGGACGAACTTGTCGCTCTCGCTCGGGTCCGCCGCAAGAATGTCGAGCGCCGTGTACACCGCCTTCTTCAGCTCCCTGAATCCGCCGCTCGTCGTCGCGCTGATACTGCCGAACTGCGATATCACAAATGACAAGCGCGAGAGCATCTCGAGGGACAAGAGCGCGAGGGAGGCGGGCGTATGCGGGGAGGACTGGGGTGGTCTGAGGAAGAGCAGGGAGGAGAGAATGGGCTGGGTGAGCATGATCGCGGTGAAGAGGAGGGTTTTGAGCGTCGTCCAGACGGCGGTGGTCAGCTCTCGTGAGGACGGGACTGGATTAGACATGCTCGCGTCAGCGGACGAACACGCAGGAGACCTTGACAATACTCGCCTATATTCTCGTCGTTGCTGACAGAGGAAAGAGAGGATTTAACCCAGTCTGACTCGACTCTGACGGCCAGAGCTTGAAGGGTTTGCAGAGTCTGCGCCATTGCCTCCCAGGCCTCCGCCGGTCGTTTGTCTGCGAGCAGGGACAGGCAGCGGGCACAGAACCTCGACAGGGGCGCTATGGAAGCGTATAAAGGGGATGATGTGACTTGCTGAAGTTCGGTCGCTAAACGAGAGTTCGGCTACGGACGTGGCATCACCAGGTGCCTCAGCTGATGGTACAGACCAGACATACCTCGGCTGCCAGTTGACCGTTGGCGCCTCTCGTGAACGAATTAGGGAGAGAGGCCAAGAATTCTCCGGAGTGGTATACAGATGAGATTGTAGATGCGAGGAGGGTAACGAGGGTCTGCAGCGGACGGTCAGTGCCGCAGGTACGTATGGACGGTCGGAGCTCACAGTAAGTGGAAGTGCCTTGAGTTTGTCCGACGGAACAGCGGGTATAAATTGAGACATCAGTAGGAGAGCTAATGATATGAAGTCCACTTGAGAAAGAGACCGAGTAGTCAGCGTGAGCCACGGTAATCAGAGAGCTTGCACACGAACATCCTTCTGGTTCATGCTCCGGATGGAACTCCTTCTCCCAGCCAGCCAACGACTGCATGGAGGCGTATAGATCCATGACCTCGGCCAGAGCGACCACGAGCTCGTTCTCAACCTTGCCTCTCCCGGCACCGCCCTCGATCTTCGCTTTCACGTCTTCTAGGCCCAAGAGCAGTCCGCCAAAGCAGACCATCCTAAGCATGGCCTGCCCGCCCTGGCATCCTTTTACAACCGCTTTGGCCCACTCCGAGAGCCTCGCTTTCGGCGAGCGCCTGAATATCGTGTCGTTATCCTTCTTGATGGATTGGTACTTGAAGTGGACAGCATGGCGGAACGCGGTGCTCAGCGCCAGTAACTTTGCGTGCGAGAAAGGTCGAAAGAGCGGGCTGCTTATGACGGACGCTGCGAGGGGAGTCGGTGATGGCTCGACATTCGCGAGGTAGTGCGCTATCGAGGCCTGCAGAGCTTCCAACGACAGACTGGTGGACGCGCGGTGCAGGTGATTCAGCAAGTTCGTGTAGCCTCTGTCCGGCAGTGCCATGTTAAATTCGAATTCAGTCAGACCATTCGATCCGAGCCGTTAACGCAGCACTTGGACGCGCCTGCCAGTGCGATCAGCGCGTACAGCAGCCACGTGTTTACACCAGTCATCCTCCTCGGGGCTTCCTTCTTATCTTACGTAAGAGGCTTCTGAGATAGTTCGGTCGAGTTGACTCCAGGCGCGGAGCAGGCTTGTCCCCCGAAGCCCCGCCCGTCCCATCTCCCGATCTCGCCACAAGTATGACTCGGAGAGACGGTATATAAAGGTGACTGACGTGGACCTGATTTCTGGTGTATGGCGTCGTCTGAGACGCTGCTCATTGTTCAAGTCACGAAAAGCGGTATGCAGCCGGATTCAACATGCAGTCCTAACAAGAAAAGTTGTTGTGAGGACCTTTCTAATAATCAATTTTCGTGTTAGGCTCCTGCCACCGCCTCGACAACGCACGGTGTCACAAGATCAGGTATGTTAGTACTCAACGTGCGTCGGTCGTCGTCGCGCAGGCCACATTCAAATGCACTCCGTGAAGGATCATACAAAAGTCCCATTGCTTTTCGGTCGCGAACGTCTTCAGTCATTCAATCGACAACTCTAGCGACATGGCAGTGCTGGCAATTATGCGAAGCTGCCGAGGTGGTTAGGTCGCCGCTACATTCTCCTGTTTGCATGGACGCCCAGGTGACTGTGAAGTCCTCGCAGGTCTAATTTAAACATCCCACTCTTTCCTCACCAGTCAGACCGCGCCCAATTGCTCGTGTTCGCCGATGCAGATCGGAAGGTTCCCTCTCCCAAGACCTTGGGATCAAGATGTTTTACCAGAAGACACACAATTCCTCGCGCGGTCGCTCATTATCTCTCGGATTTTTTTCCCGGGCGCTGCGGAATAGATGCACGCTTTATCTGGGCTCTGATCTCGACTCTCCGCTGTTATTCTCGGGATGCCCTGCCTTGTACCCTCGTCTGAACAAAATCTCGTACGCCCTTCCGCGCAAGAGAACTATTCTAGCGGATCGAAGCTTTTAGAATGACAGAGTCTGGCGCGGTGCCAATATATCTCGAGCTATCAGGTCAGGCGCGACTCGTCCCCGAACTTGAAAGCAGTGAAATTGTCAGGAAGATGGCTGTTATCCGGATTACTCCCCGCTGATTGCCATCTCGGTCTTTCTCAACTTTTGGTTGTGTTTACCATGCCTCAAGGCAGGAGTTCATGGAGAACATTCAGCGAAGGTCTGCCTTCATATCCAAAGACTCTCAGTTCAGGGAACTCTGGGGCTGCGCAGTCGAATACAGAACGTGCACCCACAAATCGTTTTCAATGCTCATCCTGGGTTTCATCGTGAACTTCTCTTTAGCTTTCGCTGTTCAGCTAGCCTGCGTCCGTCCTGTTCGAGTATCCCTGTGGCGTCTGCACAGCAGCTGCGGGACTGCGTATTACAATGAGCCTGGCAGAAGCTTGCCAGTTCATCCAGTATGTTCGTTGCTGTCTCAAACCCCGCAGCCATCCCAGCACGCGAGCGCGCGCTCTTGTGCCAATTGTTCGCAACCTCCTGCGCCGTCGGCGCTCCGCGCCCGGTGGTCGCGGTCCATGTCGGCAACTGCGGTCCGCCAGAGAGGGGCAGCCAATGGGGTGCCAGAGCCGACGATGTTCTAGGTTTAATAACGCATCGGGCGACGAGCGCGCTCTCCACGACCGCATGCTGCGACTCTCACGACAGGCGGGATCTTCCCTTTGTGGGATCGCCAAGCACCGCGCCCTGCGCCCTGCAGGCCGCCGCCCTTATCAGGCGCTCGCCCCATGTTCCGTACAATGTAATCGCTGTGGGCTCTCCGGTATACGAGGACTAACGTGGCTTTGGGTGCGCCTTTGTATTGATGTTTACACGGACGACGTGTCCAGTGATATATTGGGCGGGGAAAACAGCGGTCACTAGAGGCAAGTGTGCGAAGGCAGCACAGCAGGCACAGCATGGGCTGCCCGAACGCGTCGTTGTTCCTGCCGGATAGGCGCTCGGCGGTGCTTGGTCATCGCCGCGGCCAAGTCATCCTTCGGGATTCCGGATCTCTGCTATCGGTCCCGGCAGTGACTCGACGTCGAAGAATAGCATGACTCGAGCGAGAATTCAGGCAAATACTGGTTTTTGAGAGGACCAGTCTTGCGATGTATTTCGAGTGTAGAACATGGATACAACGAGCGACCACCGCAGCAAGTGCACAAGTAAATACGACGCCGGAGAGGCAATGAGATCGATAATTAGCGTGCCTTGATATGAGGCAGAAGCCGGCGATGCGGACGGGCGCTATCTGAGCTTGAAATGGCAAGGCAGTGAAATTTTGGCTGGATATATAAGTCTCCAGTCGAGTCAGCCCGCCTCTCGTTATCCTTCTCCCCCCACCACCACAACAGACATCCTTGAGTATCGAGCACTACTCAGGGACGTCCAATACACAGTACATCCGTGTACTATCAACAGCACAGCGATCTGTGAGTGGCCCCGATTCCCTTTTCCTTGAACGCGTTCGGTATCGCCGCCATTTCCTGCCTCGCTTTGAGCCCGCCGCGCGAGTCATCATCTTTTCATTTCGCCGTTATACCCATGACTCCGTTCATGTCGTGCGCTGCGGGTGTGGGCCCGGACCCTTCAGCGGACCCCAGCTATGCGGGTTATGATCCGTCGCATATGCAGATTCCTCTGCGGATGTCGTCTGTACGGCGTCAATGTCACCCAGGGTCCGAATCGTCATCGCCAGAATGTCATTCGCCCATGTGCACTGATTCGTCGACGGCGGACGATGCTGAACGTCATCCTTCCCCTGTTGACTCGACGCTGACCTGGTCATCATCGGCCCATTCCAGACGTAATCGACCGCCGGCATTGTCGCCCGCACAGCAGCACAACTTCACCCCGCCTTTCGAGATACCAGCCTCACATAGTAACCCTTACACTGCATACATCAGCCAAGATGTTCGCCCTCCTCAACTAAGCGCAGCTCACCCTGCACCTAGTCGTTCGATATCTCGTCACCATGGACATATCGCTGCTCGGCCCCTTGAAAGTCAACTTTCAAGCATTTCTCCAAACCCTTCCCACCATGAATCGATAGCTCAGTCGTCACCTCGTCTTCGGACACTTCACTCGGTTCACTACACCGTGTCGGATCTCGCTAGTCAATATGGCATCCCCCAGCAATTGCCTCCAGTCCCTCGTACAACGCCTCGCCACCAACCAGAGATTGTAGAGCGCCCGGAACCCTCATTCCAGTTCCCCAGTATCCTTTCTAATTATCTTGCGATGTTAAAAGAAAAGCCCGAAGATGGTCAAGCAGCGGCCGTGGAGCCTGTTCCCGCCGCTGCAGCCGCAGATGAATCGGTGCAAGCCCTTATGGACGTATTGCAAGGTGAATTATATTCTTTGAGGCGTCGCATCGTCCCGCTAATACTCGTCGATCGCGCCTCAGCCTCGCCAGCCTTTGCATCGTCGCCAGAATTTCACGACGCGCGGAGCTTCACTGCTTCGCCTGAGTTCGACATGTTACAGGACTTCCTGACGTCTCCTATGGACGACTCGCCTCTCGAGGATTTCCTTTCGACCCCGGTCATGGCTGACAGCGACATTCATCAACCTGCAGTCTACGACTCTGGCGTCTCTGGTAGTCTCTTTGCCGACATGCCACTTTTTGGTGACGATACGTCGGCTTACGCTGACGGCTTCGAGTTCCCTAAGCCAGCTGCCGACTCATCTACTCTCGGTACCTTTGATCATCTCATTTCCATGTCGCCAAATACTCCTTCCCTCGATCCGTCTTCGCTGTTGACGTCGCCCGCTAGGGCCAGCCGGCCTCTCCCTCACTCCACCGAATCGTCTCCTGCTCCCGGCCAGCAGGGCCGGAAGTCTCGCCCGACTGGGACGCGCAAGAACCTTACGCCTGAGGCTCTTGTTCCCATCGACGCTCCCACTCAAAAACGCAACTACTATACACCGTCAGCCACCTCCCGTAAGGAAGTCCCCGCGGTGTTCGCCCGCAAGCGTGCTCGCTCAACGGCGTTCGGGGACGAGGAGGACCAGCTGGCTGACGTGTCGGGCGCAGGATTGACGATGACCGAGCAAGAGGCCATCGAGGCTAAGCGCCGCCAGAACACCCTGGCTGCGCGACGTAGCCGCAAGCGGAAGCTGGAGTATCAGCGGGAGTTGGAGGAGGGCATCGAGAAGGAGAGGCAGGAGAAGGAGATGTGGAAGACACGGGCGTTGACAATGCAATCGATGCTCATCCAAGGCGGGTTGTCGGCGCCGTCCTTCGATGATTAAAAAAGGTCTTTCTTCCATATCTTTATTCTCTTTGTTTCTTGGACAGTGTCTTCTCGTCATGCATCCCCCCTCCCCTCCCCAAGCCCCATCCACCTCTATGATTTCATCTGGATTATTTCGATGCTCATCGTGTACTTTTCAAACCCCATCTATCCCCCAGAGTATCGTCACTCGCCCCCCATGTTTTATTCTTAACCGGTCATACCGATTCATTTATACTTATATACGACGTCGCTAATGTCGACCACATTCCCGTCTGCAATATGACCGCTCTCGTTGTCTGGTATCGTAGTCATCAGTATGTATCCTTTATGGAACAATTCAAATCAAGTTTTCCGAAAAAATACTGACAGTCGAAGATACGCCAAACTCGAAATACACGTGTTCGGTCGCATCACTGTAATGCACAGCTCCCAGGAGCTCCACGAAGCTCTGTTTATGCCGAATCGCGAGGGAAAGGCTTCTTCACGATCACACGCACGCCATAGATGCGGGCTTGAATGGTCTCAAATCCTTTGCTGACACGAGTAGCGAGCCACGACGCTGAGCCATCCTCACAACCGACATCCTCTGCTGTCCATACTACTGCACTCAAAACACACAAAAAGGCCAGGTCCCGCTCGACCAACATGAGCTTTAGCAACCTCGTCTCCCCGCGGAGCCAGAACTACGAACGGTTAGAGGGCGGGCATGGGCCGAGCAGGGCGGGCGCAAAGAGGTTTGCGTGGAGGAAGTTCGCGATTGCAGCTGCCGTTCTCATTGGGCTGGTATGGGTGTTCGGTCCCCGCGAGAGGAGGGAAATGGTGCTGGGAGGCGGGAGGACGTCAAGTACGTTGCCGTTTGTCGTGCTTCCCCATTTAAATGCTGACTTTCGCGCAGCAGCGGAGTCGCCGTTACCGGTGGGCGTAGAAGACGACGAGTTCGACGATTTACCGCCTGTGACGGTGCCGCATCATGCGGACGACCGGCCAGTGGTTGCCCAACCCGCTACGACACTCCCTGCGACTGTACCACGCCCGACATCGTACGCCTCTGATCCGGACCCCTCGAAAACGGTACACTGCACCAAACCGTATAAGCCCTCACTCCCTCTGGTACAGTACGCTCTTATGATCGATGCCGGCTCGACGGGGTCGCGCATACACATCTACAAGTTCAACAACTGCGGGCCGTCCGCGTCGTACGAGTACGAGGTGTTCAAGATGACGAAGCCGGGCTTGTCGTCCTATGCTGGTTCTCCTTCGGACGCAGCGAAGAGCCTGGACATCTTGCTGGACGAGGCGGTGAAGACTGTCCCCGAGTCGTTGCGGAAGTGCACACCGGTGGCGGTCAAGGCGACCGCCGGGCTACGTATGCTTGGTGCAACTGAGAGCCAGGCCATTTTGGACGCCGTCAAGGCCAGGCTGGCGGAGGCGTACCCATTCCCGCTTTCGAACGAGGACCCTGTCGTTATCATGGACGGCAAGGACGAGGGAGTGTACGCTTGGATCACCGCCAACTACCTCCTGAATACCATTCGCGCGGACAGCCCGAGGGAGGATCAACCTTACGCGGTCCTGGACCTCGGCGGAGCGTCCACGCAGATCGTCTTCGAGCCTCAGTTCGACAACCCGGAGAAGTTCCATGAGGGCGACCACAAGTACGAGCTCAAGTTCGGTGACAAGACGCATGTCTTGTACCAACACTCATACCTTGGCTACGGGCTTATGCAGGCGCGGAAGAGCGTGCATAAGGTCGTTGACTTCATGTCGAGTTTCCGTTCCAAGTCCAAGAGTGACACAGGCGTCATTCCGAACCCGTGCCTCGCGAAGGGCACGAAGCGAAGGGTCGAAATCGAGGACGAAAAAACTGGCAATAGGAACGTGACCATGGTAGGGGAGGATGTTGGTAGCTTCGAGGCTTGTAACAGAGTAATGCAGCTGGTGCTAGCTAAGGATGCGTACGTGGGCCTTTTCCCGACTAACTACAGTGACTGACAGATCTATAGCATCTGTGAAACAAAACCCTGTTCATTTGACGGTGTCTACCAGCCTTCTATCCTGGACACGTTCCCCAACGGGAAAGTCCTCCTCCTCTCCTACTTCTACGACCGCCTGAGCCCCCTTCTTCCTCCATCCACCACGAAACTGACGATCTCCGCTATTGCCACGCTCGCGGGCCAAGTCTGCGAAGGCAAGCGGTCCTGGGAAGACCACTGGGGCCCGGAGCCGAATATCATGGAGGAGTTGTACGACAGACCCGAGTGGTGTCTGGACCTCACGTTTATGCATGCGCTGCTCAGGCTCGGGTACGAGTTCGGGGACGACCGCGAGGTGATGATTGAGAAGAAGATTGAGGGGACGGAGCTGGGGTGGAGCTTGGGCGCTGCGATCGCTATGGTGGGCGGTGAGCTGAAGTGTAAGGTTTAGACATGTGGCTAGACTGGCGTTAGGGTTTATTGTATATGGGTGTTAATTAGGACTATCCGCGCATAGGGCACTTCACGCTTAATCGTGCATATATTTATTTCTCCATACCACTGTCTGTCAGAACATGATTTGAATCACAAGAACCGACAAGCCAGGGACTTGGAAAAAGGTCGTGCCAATGCCAGCAATGAATGATCAGCGAGTGGTCGAAGCCCGTGGGGAGTACCGAGTTAAACTTGCATGCATGGACACAACTCTTGGCCCGGAATGCATTGTCTCTGCGCAGACGGGACGCGGTAGCTGCGACGACGTGGATCTTCCAAGGAAGCGGACCACATTTACGAGACGTGACTCTAGACGTGAAACGCCTTGAGAGGATAGCTGGTAAAAGTGTCCATCGACGATATGGCGGGGAATAGAGCCTTCCAGGGCATTCCGCCCATTCATCGGTTCAGAGCCGTTCGGTCGAACTTTCAATTGAATGCTGCGCTAGTTTTCACGCCATTGGTGAGTGCAAGAAGCGCAACTGAGATATGAATCAGTGCCATGAGCATACTCGACGGGACGACGCAAACTCACCGATAGACTTATCAATCCCGGATGCAAGATAGAAGTGAGCGGTGAGGACGCGGATAATGTTTTATGGACCTACAAGTGGTCATGGGCTCGTCTGCGGACCTAATCTGCAGCTGGTAGAAATACGCCCGGCCATGGTCGCATTTCGGGCATGTGGCTGGTGCGGGATGTCATCAGAGCCCGGTCCAACGACGCAGAGACTAATGCAATCTCACCGGCAGTCGAGTCCGCGTGCTTCCACGCGTCATCTCCTCCGAGTACGTCGTCGACGGCCTTCCGTTGCAGTTTCGTGCGTGAAGTCATCTAGAAGAGCTGTTTCATATCTTCCTCTCTGAACATATTATAATTATCGAAGGGCACACCTGCTTGGTAATCGGAAATTCATACGCGCATGTGTTACATGCCCATTTGTTGTACCCCGTCTCTTGCGAGATCACGAGCAAATTGGCGCACGTCGGGCAGAACAGCATTGGACAGCAGTTAGTAACTTGCCCGACTGGCACTTAGGAATTTTCTCTTCAAGTCGTGATCGTGACGCGTCACATTTGTCTAGATGGCTTTACTCTCGTTGCACCAACTCAGGTGTCTACTACGAATACTGCGGTTTGTTCTGATAATCTGGCGACTCGACCTTGCATCAAACTAACCGGGCTGCGTCCTGAAAATCAAACCTTCTGGCGTACTTATCTGCCAATGGGCACTTCAAGTTGTTTCTCTGCGTGGATGACAGGTCGTTCGAGATTTGCATTCAATCGTGACGACGATATGTCTTCCCGGATCCGGATACTTTCATGGCAAAATAGCTCCCAATGCTGACGATACGGAAAACTAACAGACAGCGAGGCCAATCGCCAATTTGGCATTAGTCCCAACTTGCACCACACTCCTGATGCGGTGCCGCGTTCAGGCGTAGCTTCGCTACCTCCAGGTAGCACATCTGGCGTCAAGCATCAGACATGTCGCGCAGAGAACTTCTGATATCCCACTGGCCACCTTGTACGGTCTGCTCACCTCACATCGCTGGTCTGGCGTGCTATCGAAGCGGAAAATTCCTTATGGGAGGCATTGCCAGACTATCAGTCACACGTTCCGGCCTTGTCACTCCTACTCTTTGCTTCATATCGTGCCCAGATAAGAAGTAGCCAGACCAGGGACTGCTCCGGCACGTAGGCTCTTCACTCTACGAAGGGCAACGCTTGGTCATGGACGGTGATGTGGCTGAGAGTCAGAGAATTGCTAACTTCTAGTTCTATTTACAAAGCGTGCACTCAAGGTCAATCCGATATACTTCGGTATGTCCTCTGATATCCCAACAAAGTTGACACCCGTCCGTGCCTCGCTCACGCCTCGTGTATCCAAATTAGTTCTGTGAACAGTGTCCCAAGTCTAGCCTCTGGGAACGACGATTGAATAGGGGCATCTTTCGGGTGCGTCTGTCTAATTATCTTCTCGTTCTCGGCCCCTTGACTGCCATGCTGAGGTCGGCATTCTACTACTTGCATTCAGTGTGTATCCGATGGAGTAAACTACCGTTCCTCCCTTGACGCAACGCCACTATATCCAGGGTCATCCCGACCGTGACATTGCCAGCAGGTCTTTGCCGGAGTTGCGCTCTCCGAAATTCACCAAGTCGAGCGAATCTTGTCGACTTGTATGACGTGCCATTAGGCGTTTCCGAACATTGCGGAAATTTGCCGACCATTGTCATGCCCGCGGTACTATTGAGGATGACGCGTGTTATGATACGGGGACAGGTGGCTCTCGGGCAGGCACTTCCCTGCATCTCCAAAGCTTCACGGACGAGAAAGTGTCGTCCACATGACGGGCTCATCGTCATCGTGCCAGTCTAAAACCTATTCTCGGGTACCCTCAGCATTTCCTCGGAATGCAAATACGAGACTATTCTAGTCGGCTTTGCGCACGCTGCAGTCCTCGTGAAGGAAGTGGGTGTATGCTCTGTACAAATACAAATGCGATTAGGCAGGTGTAATACCTGACCCAGATGTAAAACTATGACTGGATGCATCCGCGATAAAGATGACGCCTAAGTCGCTGAGTACCATAAAAAATAGAAACGAAAGTTGGGATGTGAGTGGGAGTGAGGATAGGAGAGGGGTGTATAGCGGATAGGGATACGGAAAAGGGAAGAACCAGCCAGGTCGAGTGTGTGTAGGACTATGCAGAGATAATGCGTGATGGTACAAGAGGAATGCTGACGTCCATACGTAGTGCGCGTAAGAGAGAAATGAGAATGCGTAGTGCCATGCTGGACCAGATTCAACGACCGTGGACCGAACTGGTCGGCAAAGAATTCGAAGAAAGAAGAGCCACCTCATGCTCTGGTCATGCAGAAATATCAGCGGGGCCCAGCGCGATTGACCGAGGCCTGCGCACCGTGTAATAGTGAAAATAGTTCAATGCGATGAATCCCTCGCCTTACCCATGTGGAGTATCCACTGAGACTGACTCTGGTCCGGCGGGGGACAGATCAATCCCAGGAACATCGTCTTGCCCTCCAGCATATCTACCCGCCGCATGCCCTCGCGTTCCACTACCTCAGGCAGGGCAAGCGCTGTTCGACAGCGATGCTTGAACGCACGATGGCAGGCGGGGAGTCGCTGTGGCGGTATCCGTTCGCGATCGGCATCCGTGAGCGTGCGGTAGTACGTCTTCTGGATTCCGTCTAGGACATCCACTATGCGTATGCCCTCTTCACGCCGTATTCGGACACACCACGGGAGATGGTTGCACGCAATATCCATCTTCGTGAGCGTTCGATCCGCCACGGGCTTGTTGAGTTCCTCCACAGTAAGCGGTCGAGGGCTCCCTCTTGGGGGCCATAATCGAATCCTGTCGATGCGTTGTGTGATGTCGAATTCAAGGTGACCGCGCGACCTCCGGCAGTCGTACGGGAGCAGCAACCAGTGCAGGTTGATAGACTGTATCCTGCAATCCATCATCGTCGACTTCGGCGCAGCTGCTAGCGATCAGGGACAAGCTATGTAGGATAATCTGATAAGTTACTTACCAGGTCTGGGCGGCACATCAACCACGGCCTTGACCGGCTTTGGGGCAGGTGTCGACGACCTCGCTATCAGCGATGGTTTCCGAGGCCGTCTCATCATCACTTCCCCGTCGGACATGCATTCGTCTCGCCACTTGGGCTTTGACGGCTTCTCCTGCTGCACCATGCTGTATACTATCGTATCTTCGACCTCTGGCAATGGGACGGGGCCCAGCTTGGGGGCGTCCGGGTCGGCATCGATGAACTTCTTCAGTTTCTTGAACATGGAGGACATTGCGTTGAGGCGTAGAAGTCGTGAAGGAGTTCGTAATGGCAGCGATATCCGTGAAGCAGGCGTCGAGGAGAGGAGGCGCCGCTATCTCGCGAGTACTGATCAATGACTTCAGCGGACGTATATAGGATGAACGCCGACTTGGTCGTAAGAGAGCAACCCGGGGGCAATCGCGTCTTGCAACCTCCGTAAACCCTAAACGCTGGGCCCCCTTAGAGAGCTACAACTCCCGAGCGAGCAGAGCAAGCGCAGATATATGGGCGCTAGGGAGCCCACGCGAGGGACGGTGGCAAGAAAGCCTCGCAGCCAACACGAGGCGTCACTTGCCTTCGAATCTCGGGTACGGGGACAGTCCCAGGCGTGACATTCCGATCGACTCACCTCCCGAGAAGTCTGGGGTACCAAGTCACGTGCTGGGAACAGTGTGATGCTCCAACGTCCAACTGGGCAAGCCGAGGATCGTTCGAGAGGCTCTCGTACGCATGTCGCTGGCTACAAGGACGTGGAAGCTTCCATTGTGGCCAGTATGTTAGTGTCACTGTGGACGACATGTGCTTTCATTCCAGCAGCGGCGCCCGGACGACGAGCGAGACGCACCTTGACGGTGCTTCACACTCGAATGATGGCGAGCCGTTTGCGATGACTGCAACTTCCCGGAAATGTCTGATGCGGGTTCCGTCAAGAATAAGCCGCAAAAGGGGCAACAGTCTAAGCCGGCGAAAGATAGTCAAGCTTTGCGCAACATCCTTCCTTACCGGCGACGTCAGTCCAAGGGCCCTTCATGTCATCGACGTTTCCTCGGTGTATACGTAAGAGCGGGACGGAAGGAAGATAGGACTGGGCCGAAAGGCACATGACATGGGCTGAGAAGGTTCAGAGGGACACCCTAGCTGAGGAAATATCGGTCGCCCAGATGAAGCCAACCAACACTGCTTACCGCTCGTACGACTCCCTATGGTCTTGTATGTGCAGCACAAGAGCGGGCCCGATGACCATCACTATGAATAGAGAGAATAGAAAGGCAGAGGGAATCAGCCACAATAATCAGCTGCGCGCACACCAGTGAGCAGCATCTCATGTCAAAGCGGAAGCGAGACGATCATATCTCCGTCTTCCACATCTTTCCAGACAGAACGCAGGCTCCCCCCTTGCCCGCTACGTCCGTCTGCGCATCCCATCTGGACCGCAACCAAGCGGGTCAGAACAACGAGGAGGGTGGAACTGGCCATATTGAGCAACGAGCAGAGATTACCGAGAGCTTGAGGCACTCGTAGTAGTCGAGAGACAACATGAAATGCGTCCGACGTAGCATTCAAAGCCGCGTTATCGATGCAGCACTGAGTAAACCAAGAATACGGACTGCGTCCGCTGCGAGTGACTCGAGCACAACGCGACGCGCCACCGACGCGTTTCATTCTCCGCCGGCAACTCCCGCAGCCCGTGTTTGGAAGGACCAAAGTTTTGTCAATTATTGAAGTCTGTAATCCCAGGCTAACAACTCGGGCTTCCGCTGGCTTGAGACTCGGCTGGGCAACAAAATGGCTACTCACGTCTTGTTCGAGTCGTCTTCCGGCTATGCGATATTTGAGGTCAAGCTCAAGGAGGAGATAGGCGCTCGGACCAAGGCCATCCAGGATTCCATGGACGACTTGGCAAAATTCAGCAAAATGGTCTCGCTGATTAGTTTTTCGCCGTTCAAAAGTGCGGCACATGCCCTGGAGAATGCAAACGATGTTTCCGAAGGTGTGCATTTACTTTCTGAATTCTGCTAAGCCGTCCGTGATGAACTTGACCCAGGCCTGGTCAGCGAATACCTCCAGTCGCTGCTGGAGCTCAACCTGTCCAAGCCTGCAAAGAAGTCCGGTATCAAGCTCGCAGTAGCCGACCCAGGGTTGGCCGCGTCCATCAAGGAGACGTGCAAGATTGACTGTGACACGTCCGAGTCCTCGCAAGAGCTCATCCGCGGCGTCCGTCTCCACGCCGGCAAGCTGCTCAAGGGCATGCAGGACGAAGACATAATCAAGGCTCAGCTAGGCCTTGGGCACTCGTACTCGCGCGCGAAGCTGAAGTTTAATGTCAACAGGATTGACAACATGATCATCCAGGCCATCGCGCTGCTCGATCAGCTCGACAAGGATGTGAACCTGTTCTCGATGCGCATAAGGGAGTGGTACGGGTACCATTTCCCGGAACTGGTAAAGATCGTGCCCGACAATTACCAGTATGCACGAGCTGCGCAGTTCATTGGGGATAAAGACAAACTGGACGAGGAGAAGCTCCATGACCTCGCCGCCATCCTGGACGACGACATGACCCGCGCGCAGAACGTCCTGGATGCCGCGCGGGGATCCATGGGCGCATCTCTCTCCGAGATCGACATGCTCAACATCAACATCTTCGCTACCCGTGTTGTGTCTCTTGCCGAGTACCGGAAGGAGCTCACGGACTACCTTTCCGAGAAGATGAACCAGGTAGCCCCTAATCTGACTGCCCTCCTCGGCGAACGGATAGGCGCGCGCCTGATCAGCCATGCGGGGAGCTTGACGAACCTGTCGAAGTACCCTGCCAGCACGGTACAAATATTGGGTGCCGAGAAGGCGCTCTTTAGGGCTCTCAAAACAAAGGGTAACACGCCGAAGGTATGTTCTTTTTCCGAAGCTGCCGTGCATGCGATTCTGACCGCTGCGCAGTACGGTTTGTTGTACCACTCGTCTTTCATTGGTCGCGCGGGCCCCAAATTCAAAGGCCGTATTTCCCGTTTCTTGGCCAACAAATGTTCAATAGCATCTCGTATAGACTGCTTCATCGGTATGATATTCCTCCCTGCTCTGGGCTTCCCTGGGCTTATTGTGTTCATAGATACCCCTACACCCAAGTTCGGTGAGGCACTGCGGGAGCAAGTCGAGGAGCGGCTGAACTTCTTCGAGACGGGCGTCCCGCCATCCAAGAACACTGATGCCATCCGCAAGGTTCTCGATCAGCTCACCTTAGAAGATGAGGCAGGCTCGGATGACGAGGACAAGATGGACGACGAGCCAGTACTCCCCCTCCTCGAGCCGTCTCCTACGAAGAAGGACAGGAAGAAGAAGCGGAAGAGCGACGATATGGATGTCGATGAGGATGAGGATGAGGAGGAGCCCGTGAAGAAGGTGAAGCTGTCGAAAGAGGAGAAGAAAGCGTTGAAGAAGGCCGCCAAGAAGGAGAAGAAGGAGAAAGCCAAGGAAGATGGAGTGGAGGTGAGAGCGGCCGTCATATAGAACTTAACGATCTAACAATTGTTTTACATGCTAGGCAGAGACCGGAGAGAAGAAATCAAAAAAGGACAAGAAAGAGAAGAAAGAGAAGAAAAAGAGCAAGTCATGATATCTAATTTGCCTCGCCCTGCGGTCGTTTCTACAGTCGTCGTTGTTGTATCCATCACTATGCTACCTTATTATATATTGCCAACTTCCCCCTACCAGCCATATTGCATCGAACATCTTTGGACCTCATCCTGCACAGGAAGGAGAAATGCGAATCCGTACTTGAAATATGCTGACCTGTTCGAGGTTTCCAGGCAGATAGCAAGCCGACATCTGGGGCTCCCATCTTGCTCCGATCTGTTGTATGAATGAGGTCTCGGGACATGCATGCGCAGCGATTCTCGGCTCAGTCATCCACACCGCGAAGGCTGCCAGTGTATGAGCCCTCGCAGGGTTCCGGTGTACTTGGTAGGCCGCAGCTAAATATCACTGATTTTGTTCGGGCGGTGAGATTTCTTAATAAGTAGGTTCGTCCTCTAGCTACGAGGTTAACTTTCTTGTGCCTACTAATCTGCTTTCATAAAGTAACCTACCCTAGGTCGGTTGATATCGCCGACGAGCATGTTCTTCATGGTGATGCCATAGGACATGCCTACGGCGTATGCGTGTTCGCGATGCGCGTCTTGGGGTATCGGTTCTCAGTCTTCGCATAAGTTCCATGCTGGCTATGCATATGGGATGCTGAGTGGATCATTGTGCCGCTCGAGCATCCCCTGTTCATACCGGTCACGGGTCCGATATTGCACAATCGCCCAGGCAATTGTCGCCGTTGTTGGCCACAAGCCGCCATTGATATCTTTCCCCGGCTTCGACGGGATCAAAGACCCGGTTTAGAGCTGACCATGCGGGTTTCGCAACCTTGCAGTCCCGACTGAGTACATCATGTGCTCACTGGGATTGTTGCTTAATCTTACGAGACCGCATCGACAGTCATGCATTGAGCGGTACCACGATGGCTTTCCGAACGTCGTACCTTTATAAGGTGGCCTCGACTGGTGAGCTCCCGCATACTGCCCGGGAGCCCCAGTGTAGTATCTGGCATCCATCCCTTGCACTTGATTATGAAGTTACGGGTCCTTGCATCCCTTTTCGCCTTGTGCGCCTCGTTCGTTGCTGCTACCCCTAACCCAATCCCAGGCAGTTGTGAGTATGTTCTTTCTCGACTAAAAGGCTCCACTCCGGCTAACACTTGATTATGCAGCCGACGTCGTTGTTCGAGATCCCGCGATCTGGTATAACCCGTCCTCGAAGAAGTACTACGTCTTCAGTACCGGCGAGGGTATCAAGATCTTCACGGCTCCAGCGTTGACAGGGTGAGTCTTCTCTGCTCGTGTTTCCCGCGGCTTGTTTAACCTTCGATGACCTCCCAGTCCATGGACTCGTACAAGTTCCGTTCTTCCAGGCGGCTCCAGCATCAATTTGGCCGGCAACAAGGACCTTTGGGCGCCTGACGTAAATTACATTCAGGGTCTCTACACTTTGTACTACGCGGTCTCGACGATTGGCAGCCAGAACTCTGCTATCGGTGTCGCCACCAGCCCTTCCATGGATGCCGGCACCTGGACGGACCTGGGAGAGGTCATCGGCTCCGTTCCCGGCGACGTCTACAACGCTAGTGCGTGTCAACTTACTGATCCCCACTCTGATATCCTATGCTGATAACTCCTGACAGTTGACCCCAACATCATCGATGATAATGGGCTAAAGCTCTCTTTCGGTTCATATTGGGAAGGCATGTACCAGATTGGTCTCTGGCCGGGTGTGAAAGACCAGGCTTCGGTGAGTTCTATTCGAGATCACTACCCGGCTACCATCTTAAGAAATTGTCCAGGCTCTACCGGGTACTCACCTTGCTGGCGGCAGTGGTCGTGCTGCTGAGGGCGGTTTCGTCTACAAGCCCAGGAACTCCCAATATACTTTCTTCTTCTTCTCCGACGGCGTAACGCCTCTGGCAGGTTCTACCTCCCGCCCGGCACCCGGCAAAGAATACAAGGTCCTGGTAGGACGTGGCGCGAATGCTATGGGACCCTTTTACGGCCAGCTTGGTCACACTCTCACCGAGAATATCGATCCGCCCACGGGTTCGCTCGTCCTCGGCTCGCACGACAACATTTATGCACCCGGTGGCCAGAGTGTCTTCTTGGATCCTGTTAGCGGGAGGGACGTCATCGTCTACCATTATGTTCGCAACAGTGATCCAAATGGCAGCCCAAGTTACCTCGGCATCAATTATCTCGATTTCTCTTCGGGGTGGCCCGTCGTTGTAGACTGAATTCAAGGATAGCTGGGGGTTCTTCTTTTGGGGTTACCAGGGCAGTACTATCGTACGTCTGCAGCACGAACATTGAAGTACCGCATGTACTAGTTGATTCTTGGAAATTTGGAATGTGGGCAATTCAGGCTCTCCCGTTAACGGATCACGTAGGACCAAGCCTCGAAGTGGTGCTGCTCGTGCATTATGAATTACTTGCACGACCTATGCAGGATTCGGGTCGTCGCTTGGAAGTCTCCCAAGTCATCGTACTTCTGCTGTCGCGAGCCCGCTTTCAACATTTTAGCTGAAGGCAGAAGACACTGCTGGTGCAGGAGGATATACAAGATGCTATGCTATCGTACGCTGTGGCCATTCTCATTCTCGGTAATGCCAGAACATCCTTATACAGGAGTATGCACATGAAGTGGGAATCGTGAAAGGTCGTGACTCGATGAACAACGAAATCAAAGGCTACGCTATTCACTGAATGGGAATGGAAGGGTATCATGATGCGTGACGGGAATTGTGGTGATACAGTCGATCGCAACGGTTGCTGCTGGATACAAATACATATACGTGAACGACGATGGCTCAGAGCCTCTATTGGACGTTAGCAGCCTGGACGACCACTATCCCTACGTAGGACCGGGTGATAACGAACGAAGTGGCGACGTCCCCGATGGTCTTGCGGACCTCGGGTCCGACGTTGCCGTGCTCCTCCATCAAGCCTTTGAGCTCTTGGTGGTGACTTTCAACCGCTAGCCTCCGCGATCGGCCAGTGACAACCAACATTCTCGTATGATGCTGCACCAGAGACTGAAATTTCTCTGCAGCTTGAGTCGTGATCGAATGCAAGGGTGTTGGCGTAGGCAAGTCTATGAAAGCAATGCGAGACAGGGCGGCTTGAACGGCGGCGCTTGGCTTCTCCGAACCATTGCGAGAAGCATAACGATTCCAGATAATATTGTCAGCGGTTTCAGACTGCAAGCGCATCTGGGTAGACGCCTGCCCATAAACCGTGTCAGCGAATGTTGTAGCGTGCGTCAACTGATTAATCTACGGAATGGAATGATCGGTCAGCTATCATGCATGAAACAGTAGCAAAACTACGAACGGAGTGGACAGTCAGAGCGTTCTCCCTCATGTTAGCTGCTGAATTGTCCCCGTCCCTACTACCCAGATGAGCTGGCGACGGCTTGTCGATACTTGAGCTAGACACTGGACTATCCATCTTAATGACCCTGACTACAGTTGCGCTAATCTTTGGGTTGGCACACAATTGCACGATCAGCTCCAAAGCCAACCGGTCATCCGGTCCACCGAAGAACGGCAGGAACAGATGGTGCTTGCTCCCAGCGTTGCGCATTTCACCAGGAGCATGACCTTGATCAACGAAGAGAGCAACATCCGTGGTCGAATGGGCGAATACACCCCGGATGAAATGCGAGTGCGTGGCAGAAGCCGACTTTTCAGCGGGTGGTGACTTGAAGAGTGTATCGAAAGGATTCATCATGACGGTGCGAGGGGTGATCGCTGGCATGCTAGAGTCTCCTGCATTAGTAGCGAGCGTCGTATGCTCGCTAGCCGGGATCGGGGGTAGCCAGGGTAGCAGGATCAGCTGCGAGAAATTTTCCCTCGCGTGCTCCACCACGTTAGACGCCAGACTATCGTAAGTGACGATGGACAGTGAAGAGGATACGGGCAAATCATTCAACTCTCCAAACATCCTGAATATGCCCAGTAGCGGATCGGTCTGGATCATAGTTTCCACCGGGGCTGAACCTTTCATGACCGCAGATGTACGATCAGACAGCTCGATTAACCGCAAGGCATCCACGGCCACCTCCGGTCCCTTCTTCAGCCCAGGGGTAGAATCACTGAGCACCGAAGCAGACTGCGCGTCGACAGGATCAGAATCTAACGGGATCGGTGCTTGGAAGAGCTGCGTGATAGCCATCATCCCGGGGAGGTGCTCGATCTTGTCGAGGACCACAGTGAAGCGCGATCTCCAAGACTCGTCCACCAACTCGGTATGTTCCTTGCCGCTGTAACCGGATTCAGGCCTCGTGCCGGGTTCGTTGCCAGGTGGGATTGTGTGCCCTGCAGCAGAGACGCGCACGCGCCGCTCAGGCGGGTACAGGTAGGTAACGGCCGGAGTCGTCATGAAAGTCAAGAGCAATGCCTCCAGGACGAACATCGAAAATACCCGCTGCCAATGGCGTACAACATCAACATCTTTTCTATGCCATGATCTTGGAACCGCACCTTGCTTAGAATTCCAGCAGAGAGCCCGACGTTGAGCACGATCAGCTCCACTAAGCTGTTTAGTGATATAGTTAGATCTGCAATGTAGGTTGAAGGCGATTTCTCACCCTTTACAACTCATCAGGGAGCCGATAGTGCTGGCTTCCCGCCATGAGAAACCTGCGAACCTCGCGGCAACAGTGCAACCACCAAACTTGCCGAAGTATGCGAGAGCACATATGGCGATCGTGAAGCCCCACGTGATTCCTACCACAGTACATCAAACATTGGTCCGCTATGGATGAATGTGCCCTTACCATTATCTAACAGACCAAGGTCAGTCGACAGACCGGACAACGTGAAGTACTATGAGGCGAACATGAGTAAGGAGACTAAAAGCCGCGCCACACGCACACACACTTACTAATGGAAGGAAAATGATAGAGACCAAATCTTCAAGCTTTTCGGTAAGGAAGATAGCGAGGCCTCCTTCACGGGGCACTATCAAACCTGCCAAGAAAGCGCCTAACAACAGTCGTAGTCAGTATGTGTAAATGCGGTCTACATAATGGTATCATACCAAAGATAGCATGGACACCGATGATATCGGTGAAAAATGCAGATCCGAACAATAGGAGCACCGTAATAGTCATGAAGAACATAGAAGGACCATTCTCGATAGACCCAGTGCGGCGGGCCAACCAAAGCAAAAGTCTCTTGACAGGGAAGAGGAGGAATAAAGTCCATCCAACGCACGTCAGCAAGATCCACAAGGCAGTAAGCCCCGAGCCTGCATTGACCAATGCGACGCTCAAAGCCAGGAGTGTCCATCCAATGATGTCGTTGCCGACGCCAGCAGACAGGACGACGATACCCACTGTCGTATCAAGCAACTTGAGTTCCGTGAGGATCCGACAGAGGACCGGAAATGCCGTGATGGAGTAGGCAACACCAGTGAAGAGCATGAAATGCGTGAATTTGACGCTCGAGTCGATGAACTGATGGTACAGGGGCACAGACAGAGCTGCTCCCAGTCCAAAGGGAAGACACATGCCAGCAAGTGCGACGGTAGCTGACAACCTTGCATTCTTCTTTATCACGCTGGCTTCGATCTCAAGGCCGACCAGGAACAGGAACAAGCATAGACCAATGTTTGCTACCAACGAGAGATAGGGCTTAGAATCCTCTGGGAAGATATGTTTGCTGAAGCCGGGGATACGACCGAAGGCAGTAGGTCCTGCATTACGTTAGAACGGAGCAATACGGCCAGAAGCTACGGATTACCTAGCAGGATACCGCCAAGTACCTCCGCGATGACTTTAGGCTGCCGCATCCTTCGGAGACCCAGGGACAACAGTTGGGTCATCATGATGATAACCCCTGATGAGACGCAGAAATCAGTCATTATTCTCCTGAGCGATCGCTGAGGTTCGGACGAGAATCCTTCCCGAATGCTATTCAGCAGTACTAGAGGAAACCATCCCTCCAACTCAAGCGCTGCCTCTTTCGGGGGCGATCTCCTGATGACGCATCTCAAATGCGGTATACGACAACCACAACGCGTCCGCTCCCTATCAAGAGTAATGCACTCACCAACTTGGACGATCCATATCCGTAGAGGATCAGCAGAATTGAATGCTGTGGGATCGACACCGCTTAGCAAACCTCCCTACATTGGACGATATGGCATCAATATCCGTATGTGGCCACAACATCGACGCTGACCTGCTCAGCGACTCTCTTTCGTAGCACAAACGACTGCCCAATGTCAAGAATGGCATCGGAAAATTGAGGCATGGTCGGCCAGTGGCTTAGGAGACGATAGAGAAAGGATAAGCCGGCAACACCCCCGACATGAAACTTGAGCTGAAATACCGACCAAGAGTGGAGTTGTGCTGTTTAGCGCTCGCTATCTTTAGCCTAATTTGGCAGATCGCCGCTTCGAAACGTGCGCGAAACGTAAAGCATCTTATCGCGCGTGGCGCCGTTCTGCAAAGCTTGAGCCTCAAATGTCGGACTAATAGTGGATGGCAGGGCTGGATATAATGCTACAGCATACAAGTACAAAACGCATTTATATGAAGTTCCATTATAAGTTAGACGGTCACGCCCCCCAAGTTGTGAATACCCAATAGCGACAGGGTCAGAACAGGAGGTCCTCGACGAGAAATATCTTCGCGACGCAGGGCCTGGACGACCGGAAGGGTAGAACATCGACTACGCCATCCCGCGACGGACGTCGTCATAGGAGGGCAGTTCATCATCAGGAGCGCCAGAAGTGGCACCCAAACGACCGACATGTCCCTCGACCCGCCACGCCCACTCGTTCCCCTCTTTCCACCGAAACAAGCATCCGCCAAAGTTGACTTCGAGGCTGTTGCGCCCCTCCACGCCCACAGCGGCGTAGACGTCATAACTCTGCCTCGGCAGGTATACGCCGCTGAATGCATTCGGCAGGCGTATCCCGTTGTAGGTGAAGAACACGCTGTGCGTCGAGAACTCGTACCCGCACCCGATTGTGTCACCAGGTGATACGCGCTTTAATATGTCCGTGTAATCTCGGCCGCCATCTGGGTCCTCGAAGAACTTGCGACAATCGTCCAGATGAAGGGCGGCGCTCAGCCGATTCCAGCCAGGGAACCTCCAATCTGGATAAGGTCTGCACGATGTACCTTTTACGCACAGATCAGCCCTGTGGCCACTGTGGTAGATGTAAACGCCAAATGAAAGACATTGCACTTGCCTAACGCAATGATGCCGTCCATTTGATGGATCGCGACCTCAAAATAGACTCCAGCCTTGCCTTGGATCTCATACAGTCCCGCTGCGATTGGCAGGTCACTCAGCAAGCAAGTGCCTTTGCAAGTGGCATCGGTGGATATCTTCACCGTTCCTGAGGTCTTCGAATCGTTGTCTATGCGCCCCACGAAACGTTGTGAGGCGGGCCACTGTATGCCCCAAGCTGAGCACCCCTGGGCATCAATGCGCTCGATAACGTCGGAAGGAAGCAACCTGGGAGCCTCGACGGGGTGGGTGATGCAGAATGCTTCGGCAGCTTCGTACTCCTCTTCGGGGGCTTCATTGTAGAGCCCATGGGCATGGACGATCTCGGGAGCGGGAGTCCATTCAGGGGGAGCTTGGGCGTGACCGCAACTAGAATGGGAAGATCCTTGATCCTTGCGCTTGAACCACGACATGGAAGCGGATTTGAGCAGGAAAACTGGTTCCGACAATTACATCAGCGTCCAGTTTCGACCCCTTATATACAATCCGCGAACAAAGCCAATTGTCACAGCACGAGGACAGCCGTAGACAAATGTCGGAGTCCCAACTCTTGTCCTGCGTGCACAGCCCCTTCCGCTCAACGCTGTGGCCCGGGCGTCTTCCACCTCAGCTACAACGGCATCCGCGATAGTCCGACTAAGCTTTGCGGGAAATGCATAGTCTGTTGTTGCTCAAACTCATTACGTTCATGACGAAGTATCCTACGAATAAGTTATTGTGTTGTTCTGTGAGGGTATTACTATCATGCAGCAGGTATGTGGACTTGAAGACGCAAAGAAACCCCGGGGTTTATTTGCCCAGTCGTTAGGCTCTCTAGAGTCGATGGATAAGCTCAAACCGACAATCGGAAGGTATAACCGCTCACACTCACCGCCGAATATTCCTGCAACTCCTTCCGGGATGGCACAAGCCCTGGCACAGCAAAGAGCACCACGGCCAGGAATTCGGGAAGGGCGGACAGAGGGTAGAACAGCGCTTCATTATACGCTTTGTCTTGCATGGACGTGCTCTTGGAGCCCGTCGTGGCGGTCTGGAAAGCCTCGCGAAGCAGGAGCAGGATGGCGATACCGAGGAGCACGAAGACCCCGTGCCGGGCTCCGAACGCTGAATGGGCTGTGGGTCTGCCCCTTTTGCCCATCTCAATACTGTCATCTGCAACGCCGTGGCTGAGCAAAAGCGAAGGAATCCAAGGAGTTTATCACCTACCAGATGACACGCCGGATTGTTCCAGCGCGAGGAACATCGTGCGCAAGGCCAGCAGGATGGTGACAACGAGGAAGATATACGTGCTGACCCGCCGCATCGTCTCTCCCGTGGCCATCTTACTGGCGTCCCCGGAAGTCATGCGGATGGCGCCGGTTATGCCCAGCGCTATGGCGACCGTGAGCGTCAGGCGGATTAAATGCCGATTTCCTGAGATCCGCATAACCGCTGAAATAGGTCCGGGGAATTCTTGCTCTCCCGTGAGTTGTTCTCTATCAGGTTACAAGTAGAGTGAGAGCGAGTCATGGGGCGCAGGGAGCTCAACTGACCGGTCGAGGACCAGCGTGTAGGCTGAATAGAGTACTCCAAAGAAGCCGGCAAGGTAGAGGACTTGTTCCGCTATGAAAAGATTTTCGTTCTCGGCAGCGTCTGAAGAGCCTGCAAGTGCAGCACGGACGGAGAATGCCGTCACACGAACTGTTGAACATAGACAGAGCTCAGCCAAGGATCTCGGAAGACGCATCACTACTCACTTGCGCAGAAAAGAGCCAGCACAATCAGAACATATGTCGGCCTCTTCACGGACCGAATAATATTATAAATGAGAAGAGGGAAATATATGATCGCAAATATGACTGCAGCCGCGACCGAGTGGATGCCTCCAATCTGGGAGTAGTTAATCGACTGGACTGCCATCTTGCGAGAGACAGCAGGGGTTGACAGAGGGGAAGGAGGATGGTATTGGCCTCATGCGGCCTTGCATTAATATTATCAGTCTCAAACTGTCTGGCTGTTCATCAGCGACACGCCTAATTTACCGAAGGGGTGCACCCAACGCTGATCAGTACGGCATGTAAATTGCAGGATAGTAGGCGCAGCCGAGGGTCTTCTGGTGGCGCAAATAACCAGTGAAGGACAACAGCGAGGCAATGTGGTAGCTATGAATAGATTGGAAGTTGTGGCAGTGGCATGCCCGATGGCGATCTTGGACGAGGTATTTGCAATGCGGTGATTGTTGATTCCGACGACCAATCAGCGCTCATTCCGAGCTTTGTCCGTGCGAGGACCGGTGCGTACCAGTACGGTACTTAAGTTTGCACAATGATGACCGACGAGAGCGACGAGATTGCCGTCCGACACGAAATGGAGACTCAGAATGATGGCCATGCTCCCTTTGAATCATGCAGAGATGGCTGTGTCGTAACCGTCGCAATTAAGCAGGGTAATTAGTAGGTGATACATTGTCAGTATCCTGTGATGCCATCCGGTACGAAACATTTCAACAAAGGAAAACTGCCTCAAAGCCTCTCTCATATCATTCGCACCAAGTCTACAAAACACGAGGAAAGAAGATGCTCGCATGAGGGACGTAACACAATCGTGCATCGAGAAAACAGAGTCGACAATAATATCGGGTTCTATCCAATCACCCGTAAAACACCCATGGCTCAAGATTGACTACCGCCCTCAGCGACGCGCATCACCTCCATCAGCAACGTCTGCTGCTCGACATCCAACGCAGTCGTAGCGGCCTGGTAGGCCTGCGAGTTTTTCATCTGGAAATCTGTGAAGTAAAGGTCACATCAGTTTACTCAGACGCCGAAGGGAGCGACAGGAGTGCCACAAACTCGTTAAGGCTTGCTTGAATGAAGCATAAGGATCCACAGTGTCAAGCGGGCTGATGTAACCAAGCTCTTCGTCTATATCGGAATCATCGGAAAACTCGGATTCGACATCCTCGCCGTTCGCCAGCTTGTTTGATTTTTCCCGCAGACGCTGGCCCTCCTTCGCCAGCATCTCCAGGTACGCCGTGTCTTCGTCAAACACATCCTCTACGGGTAAGTTCGGTTAGTTTAACATCAAAAGGGGTTCGAGCAGAATCGTTACCATCTTCTTCAGCTTCGTGAAAGATATTTTCGTCGTCGATAAGCTCATCGTCATCGGAACCCTCATCGTAGGAATCCTCCAGTGCTTGACGGGCTGAGACACAGCAGAACTTGAGTTCACTAGTGATGATACTGGACCACTTAGACCTACCAGCAATCGCTTTGGGAAGATCCTTGAACGTCTTCAAGGCTCCTCGTAGAACGGTGGGCCAACCTTCCTTCAGCGTCTCCGGCACTGTAGCAGTATCCATCTCCATAAGCGCACAGAATGCCATTATGGTAAGCTTCTTGTCGTGCACGCGAGGAAGACCGTTCTCGGACTCGATGGCCTTGAACCACTTGTCGAAGAAGGAGCGAGAAGTGCCTGGCTTGTAGTTCTCCATCAGGTGCAATGCCGCCGAGGGGTTGTATAGGACGGCGTTGATCAGGACCTCCAGGTTGGCCAAGCGAAGGGCCGAAGTCTCTGTCTTGTCCCACAAGTCAACGGAGGTCTTGATCATAACTGGGAGTGCCTACAGCGCAGAATCAGGTTGCATGAGATCTACGAAATGATTCTACTGCGCAAGTGAGGAAAGTACGTACATCGTCGATGTGCCCACGAAGATTCAGCAGCATAGACTCTGCGAGTTTGCAACCGTTGACACGGTCATTCTCGCCGAGTTGTGCACTGTTGATCGACGTGGTATAGATGTCCAGGACCATCTGACGGTAGTCAGCGCGTGCCTTGAAGACGTCCGTGCCGTAGGAAACGAAGTTGTCCAGGGACGGCAGCATTTCTGAGAGTAACACGGTAAGCAGCTTGGCGGTGAACAGTGTGACCAGAGCTTTCTACCATCCAAGAAGTCAACCGCTTCCGACTTGAATACTTGGTAAGTCAACTCAAATACCCGCCACATGTTCGGCGAGATACTGCGCAACTTGAAGGTCAAACTGTCGACAAGATCGTACATGTTGTCGAACAGGTCTAGCATTGACGGAACCTGGTCAGTTATCAAGTACCCTGCTGCGGCGAATGCCCTTACCAAGCTGCCTGTTTTCCAGAGTGAAGGTGATGATGGGAATGACGACTTCTTGGACTTGAGCAAGAATATCCGGCGAAGAATCCACAGCAGCTACAACCTAGAGAAAGCGAGCCCCCATTATGCTCTTGCCTGCAATTGGCACAGGAACACTCACGGTTCCAATAGTCTTGGCCACGCCCATAGCAGCGAAGATCTTGTCATCATCGCCCTCACTTTCCATGATCGACTCCAAGTCGCTGCCAGTGACATGTTCTTGAGCCATACTCTCTTTCACTAGTCGCATATATGATTCGCACTACACCAGCATATGAGTTTAGCAATTTCTTTCCTTACCGCCAACGGCGGACTTACTAGACGAGCTGTGAGTTGCGCAGCTACCGGGAGCAGTTGATCCTGGAACGACTCGACCATTGTCTCCATGCTGTTGTTGAGGATATCGAGGTCCGTTTCATCGGATAGCTTGAGGAGCTCTGCAGACAGAACGGTCCGTTTAGAGCCATAATCAAGACCCGCGCGCAACTTAGTCTCACCTTGAATGACTTTCTCAACCTGAGGAGCCACAGCTTCTCTGACTAAGTACGTCTAGGTGTTAATGAATGAAGTAAGGACACAATATCGAGACGTGCCGGATTGGTGAGAAGTGATCATCTCCGTTAATGCCAGCGCAGCTTGCACTCTGACAGGAAGCTCAGGGTCATCCAATGCAGATGCAACCGCCCTAGAGTGTCGATTCAAGTTCTGTAGGAAACAACGTCAGTTGCATCTGGAAGTCGGCCTGATCGCTACTCACCTCTTCAACTGTCCAAGTAATCCCCGACTTCTCAACCGTCCCGAGGACTTCGCAGGCCTACGAGGCTCATATTAGTAAGACGTAAGATCAGAGGTGTACGCAGAAACTAACGATGGCCCTCATATAAGGCTCAGGACTCGAGAACTCGGGTAGCACATGTTGCATCATGAACTGCTCCATGCTCTTTTGTACTTCAGGGTGCTTCATCATGAAAGTACCCAATGCCGCAGTCATGTTCAGCGCTCCAAAGCGTTGCGGTGCAGGCTGATTTCTACACGACAGGCGTTATCGACGCCGATACTCTGCACATGGACATATGAACCGGACTTACGACTTCAGAACGTGATTGATGAATGCGAGAATAGGCATAAACGTAGTCTTCGTACGGTTTCCAGCGAGGGCGAACAGGAAAGATGTAGCAGCGGACACGGGCGAGTCAAAATTCTCATACTCATCTGCGAGGCGGACCCCGAAGCGTTCAGTACCGTTATGTAGCTCAATGCCATCGGAAGGACCTACCCACTGAGCGACGAATATACTCGACCGGGTCCGTGTCCCACATCTGCTGCTTCGCAGCATTGAAGGACAGCTGCGGGAAGACAAACGTCGACACAAGCTGTTGGAAGTGGGGTTTGAGAAGTTGCCAAGTAGATTTGGGCTTGACGCTAGTAACGGAATTTAGGGTCGTCGATTTAAGTTACACCACGAACGAACGCACCATTCGGTGAAGAAAGTGAAAATCTGGTACTGGCATTTAGGCGAGATCCACGCCTGGCCGCTGACATTCAGTTCGACCTGATGGAGGTAGACCTTGAAGATCTCCGGGGCAAAGGTATTCATGAAGTGCTCCGCGAAAGCACCGTACTCTTCCTTCAGCGTACTCGGCATCTGCGAAGGGTTCCCGAACCTTGCGAGACTTGTCTATCAACCTGTACCCGTCACTTGAAAGGTGATACACACCGATGGAAGAGTCGCCCAAGGACGCCATATGCCCACTTCTTGGCCTTCCACCACTCACTCCTCTCCCTCTCTTCCTCATCCTCCGGAACAGCCTCCTTGGGTATCTGTAGGTTTATAACCTGGAAGAACAACCTGCCCCAAGGTACAATGCTCTCCGGACTTTGCTGATGCTGGCTGAGGTGGAGAACAATACTGTTCTTGTACGTCTTCAAGATGAGATGAAGCATTGTCGGGACAGTGTCCGGCGACGCCCCACTGGGCGGGTTATTCAGTAGCTCAGTGGCAATGTTTACGAGAGTAGGGAAGAGCTGGGGTACGATGGTGGGCAGTACATTATTTTCTTGTCGGAATCTGCATGGGGAGGTCAGTTCCTATCCGAAAGGAATTCAAAGGAACATGGTGCTCACCGGAAGGCTCTGATCATCTCCAAAGACGCTATGCAGCCGGCTCCGACCTGATGCAAGTCACCACTTGTAAGCAGACTCTTGACGTTATCCAGCAATCCAGGCCATTTCTCGGGGAAGTCATGCGAGATGATATTCTTCAGCGTCGCAGAAAGCTGAATCGTCACGCTGCGAGACGGAGAAGCTGCCAAGAGAGGCAGCAGATGCGTTTTGAGAGCCTCCTTGTCAGAGGGAGCGATGGGCACTTGATCGGGGCGAGTATTTGTGGGGTCCACGAAGTACGAGGTCCGGACGCGGTTTTTGAGGTAGACAGCGCAAGCTTGTCGGGTAGCCCTGCGAGAGAGGGCGGCGCATGAGTGTTTGAGCGCGTGCACTAGCCAAAGACGCGTTGAAACACGTACGGATCAACGTTATCGGCGGCAATGATCTGAAGGAGGGCTGCCACCATGCCCTCTTGCCCACCGACCTGACAGGACCACAATCAGCGGGAGGCGAGCTGAGCTCCTCCGTTACTCCTGACACACCTTTCGGATTTCCAGTTCTGCTGCTTTTCGTACATTAGGATTCGGGTTGTAGGTGGTTGCAAAAAGATCCGATAAAGTCTGCAAATTCATCTGGCGCACGATCGAACGGTCAGCACCGGGAGCAGCCACGCCCAAATAACGCTTGCCTTCGCGTGTCGTTTCGAGGGCGGTGGCAGGTACAGCTATAGTACAAAGAGAGGCAAAGACAGGTATAGGCCACCGAGCGTGGATGATTGTGTACGGAACGCGACAGAGCGAAATTTTAGGTTTTATATGACACGCGACGCGTTGATTAGCACGACGCGTCTCATGCACATATGTACTGCATCCTCGTGGTTTTATCTGCCACTTGCACATCCGCGTTTACGTCCTTGTCCAGCACTCCCTAAAGCGCGTCTATACGCCATCAATATTCATATGCGATGGGTCGAGGTGGATGCGATATTGGATTATTGTGAAAACAATTTTGCAGCCTGACACCTACGAGCTCACCCGATGTAAGACCCGTACGGTAATAATCTGAGGGCGTTGCAGGTTCCGATGAGGGGCGGCGTGCTTCACTGTGTAGGACCACGCCATCTGGATCAACTGGAGAGACGTGTACGCTTTTCTACGCGTAAAGAAATGCGCTGTTACGTCTGTGGATAAACCGCATGCATGGCATCCCACATCCATGTGCAGCAATGACAAACACCGACAGAGGGAGCTTACTGATAAACATATACAATAAATACAATACAACATATCACTCACAGCCCGTGCAGTCCATGACACGTTCATGCGGTGACGGCGTCCGTCCGACTCCCCCTCTCCATCCGTCTTCGCTTCCGCTCCTGATCCTCCATCATCAGCTTCTCGGCGGCAGTCAGCTCCCTCTTTTGTTTTGCATTCTTCTCCTTCTCTGCATCATTCGACGACCCCGTCTGTCTTAGGGGGTTCGGGCGCTTAAGAGGATTCGACGCTGCTTTGAGAGGGTTAGCTGCCTTCAAGGGATTCGTCGGCTTGAGTGGGTTAAGCTTTAGTCCCGATGGCACAGAAGGAGAAGCAGTAGATGCGGGTGCTTCCGCGGGTTTCTTGGCAGAGAAAGACAACACGAGCTTCTCCCCTTCATCGCGCTTGAGGCCCTCCTCAACCGGCGGTGACGGAGAGTGAGAAGAGCCAGACGAACCAGCGACCGCTTGCTCAGCCTTGGCCCGCTCAATCTGTTCCTCCAGCAACATCCTTTCTCGTTGCTCATCTGAGATAGTCATGCGTTCCTTCTTCATGGAAGCTTCCTGGACACAGACCACGCCTGTCAGAATCAAGGGGACTGATAGCACGGCATAACACAACGCACCTGTTTAGCAAGGGCTTTGGGACTGTTGTCAATCCACTCTATGAACCAGCCCTTCTCCGTCTCGTCCACCCGACATATACCCGACCTCCCTAAGTGCTTCACAAACTCCGTTAACGTAACCCATCTCGTGGCGTTCATGTGCAAATGGTTTCTGTCCTGGATGAACTGCTGATAGACAGTGTTCGCCTTGACCCGCTTCGTCCCGAAACTCCTGGACAATAGCTGCACGAAGTCGTGCTGGAACTGGGCCGAGAAATCGGCGATATGCCGCCCAGCGCTCTCGCCGACCACGAGCATCTGACGAAGATGTGATTCGGATTGCGCATGGCATTTGAAGCCGTTCTCGTCTCTGCATTGTTTCTCGCACACTTGACAGTACCACCTGAGCCTTTGAAGGCCCTTCGCCTTCATCTTATTGGCGAGGTACTTCGGTGTCCCGACTATGATCATCGTAAGCTAGGACGCATATAGCACGCAGCTGTAGCTCACCTTCTGCGCGAGGCATCTTGAGATATTCTAAGGCGGAAAGCCGGGATTGCTGAGAGTAAGGGCCACTACAAAGAGCTGCAGTGAAGTATGATACACAGCGAGATGAGGATAGAGAACGCGGGGGACAATTACAAAGCGTTCCCACGCCACCCACGCGCACCGCCTCATTATCCGGGCACTCGATCACGCTGCCAGCTTTGAACCTGCCGATGGCTCATCTTGGACTTTGAAGGACACGTACCTACGACATGACACGCCCGCTAAGCGACAAGGCCAAGGGGAAACAACGAGCAATTGACCCAGAGCCGGAGGGGGACTCGTCTACGGATACAACGCGACACCTGACTGTCCGATTCACTGAAGGCATCCCGGACTTCGATCTGCCAGTCAAGGAGGGAGAGACTGTTCGGGATATCAAGAGACACGTATGTGAAGTCAGCGGGCCTCTAGTCTTACGATAACCCTCTGTTTTCAGATCCGAAACAGCAGGCCTCAGCTGCAGAACCGTCGACTGAGACTAATTCATTCGGGGAAACTCTTGTCGGAGAAGACCGATGTCCACAAGCTATTGACATCTCTCGAAGAACGACAGCGACGTAGAATCGATGATGATCTTGACGAGGCGCAACCGCTGCTGACCGCTAATTGGTTGCATTGCTCCGTGGGTGCCGAGCTGGGCGAGGGGGAAGTGGAGGAGGAGGCGTCACAGGTACGGCCAGTACTAGCGATTTCTTACTATTCTCTTTCTCATTAGTTGCCGATTCAGAGCGGCCAAATTAGACCATTGAGGGGATTTGATAGACTGGCAGCAGCGGGATTCTCCGAAGAAGATATTGCCAGCATTCGGCGACAATTCCACAATTCGGGTGCGCACGATTATCTTGATTCGGAATTTGGCGAAGAAAGCGATTGTGAGTGTACTCGACCCTGGTCTCGCCTCGACACCTACAGAATTGAATGGGAAATTATACAGACGACGAGCGTGCGCGCATCCTTGAGGAGCAATGGATAGACTCTCTGGATCACGCAGGCACAGCGTCTCTGTCGGACTCCAATTCCACCGGGTCTACCATTGTTCTGCGAGGCATAGTCATGGGATTTTTCTTCCCCTTGTTGCCATTCTTCTTTTTCCGTGAGCATAAGCCGGCTGTTTTCTGGGAAAATGGCCAAGAACACGAGTCCCTGGGAAGTGTCATATTCTCGTACGTTGTTTAATTTGATTTCGATCCCTTAAAGGCTTAGTTTGCCTTCTAGCAAGCGGATGCAAATGGGAATTGTCGTTGGCTTTCTCGCCAATTTCTCGTTTGGGTTGTGGAGGTACCTACTGACCAGCTAGTCGACTGTACAGCATGTTTCACTTTGATGGTCTTCTTTTTATGCACTGGTGCCCCACCCCTTTGGACGTCTGCGCAGGCGCGTTGATTGCTAACCGCCACACACGGTACTGAGACATCTAAACTTTGGCCATCGGTGTGGCGTCTGGCCACTCTGCGCTTTGATCAATAGACCAAATATAAGAGAACCCAAGTTACCGCGGATATGTAGCTATCTGCCTTTCCTGACCACATTCCACGTCACTTACGGAAGAATGTCCCGCTCTCGTCCTTCTGGTCTGTGTTTCCCTCCAGGTTTCAGACTCTCGATACCCTCACCCATCCAATGGGACCGAAGTCGCCCCGTCAGCCCTGGCTGCCCGACTGCATCAGACTTCGATCTACCTGAGCGCCCTCCTCGCCAGCCGCGCACTAGATCCAAGACCTTGCCTGTCAGCTGTGGGTCGCCGCGCCTCATGAATGAACCCGACAACGCTGCTGCTGGCCCTGTGCAACCTTTTTCGCCTCCGGTCATCCCTCGCGGCACGTATGTAGCGTTCGCTTTTGCTGCGGACGCCAGCCATCCGGAAGAAAGCGGAGGGGTCACTAGCTGCCCAACACACCGATACATCGGTCTGGTCACGGACGCCATAAACTCCGTGAATGAAGAAGGGGTTCGAGAGACTCGAGAAATCACGGTCAGTTATGTGGCTCGGAGGGCTCCCTCGGATTCTTGGGGCGTTTGTGACGACCACTGGCTGCCAATTTCACCTGAATCTGAAGATAAAGTCGACGGTCCGATACGACCACTCGAGACGACGGTACTCTTTCCTTACGTCGGCACTAAGCAATGGACTACGGTGGGAGCAAGACTGAGAGTGGCTCAATTGCACAAGTCTTCTCTGTCTTTCTGCTTACGTGACGAGGAACTGGGTCGCTTCGAAGACATCACGACGGCGCATTTGGAAGATTTAACTGAGGCGATGTCGCAACACAGTGGAGAGGACGAAATCCCTGACATGATCCTGATACCACATCAAGGCGTATTGGCCGACATATGGACAGACGTCAGATTGGCGGGCGGAGTCAACGATCCGAGCGAGTTCCTCGAAGGAGTCTCGGAATCGGGCTGGTGAGTTCTTTTTCTCGTGCGATTCGGAACTATTGGCTCATGTGATTTCCGCTGCAAGCGTTCTTGAATTGGATGAAAGACGAGAACGGCTATGATTAACCACCATATATCTGTATTGTGCCTTCGGATCGGGAGAACCTATTGTGAGAGCAGTGCTTGCGTACCAATGATATACATGCGTATGGATGCACGGGCCGTGTTCGACAGTATGCAACCCAGAGGTCTCGGCCACGGAGCAATGGCAATGAACGACGATAAGTAAGTACCGGGATCATCGGTATGTGTTCAACGCCGGCGTGGACCAGAAGGCTGAATCCCGGTCCTATTTCTGGTGCGGCCGCCTTTCCTAGGAGCCGAGCTGGGCTCCTCATCGCTGTCTTGCATGGGCGCCTTACCTTTCCTTCGGTCCAGGGTCTGGTCAACGCCCCTGTCACTGGACCGCCAATCTTTGAACTTTCTCCTACAAGCATTGCTGCCGCTCTCCTGATATTCGGCTCTTGTGACAACATGGCTAGGGAACGCGCTATTGCGAGCAAATGCCAGGGCAGCCTTGTATGCCTCCGTTGTTGGGCTGAGGTCATCCGAAGATCATTGCAGTGTAAGATGAGTTGATATCATATACGCTGAACACGTACTCAGCAGCTGTGTAAACCTTCACTTCGACGTCAGACGGTGCCAATGATCGCAGTTCCAGCATTCTGCAGATGCGATGTAAGCAAGGTACGATCAACCGGAGCAACTTCAGGCATACAATCTATCACAGAACCCCGGGAATTTTGTGTTTCCACCTATCAAACCGATGTTGACCCAAAACAAACCTTGGACATCTTCAGGCAGAAGTGATATGGAGGACGCGATAGCCCCCGGCAATCCTTGTTGCTGTAGTTCTGTTGAGATGGGTAAGCCCTCCGTCACGATTGAACACAATATAGGACCGGAATATACCGATGTCACTTGGATGAAAGATGGTCTCAGGTACTGAGAATCTCTCGTTATTCATATAGAGGATTTGATCTGCCTCGTTAATGAGCTCTCCAGCTTTCCGGATACGTCCGTTCCGATTGGCGGAGAAATTGGGCAGAATGTATTCTTGAAGGATAGGATTCTTTCTTGGGTCCTCTCTGCCGATGAGACGGACTTGAGTATCGCCTTATTGGGCAATTCTTGTCCCAACCCACCGGCACATATCCAAGTCTCTACGATAATCCACGGAGACGTAGCAGCAGGATTCCTTAACTTCGTTCATGATATATGTTTCGTCCATCATGTTCCATTGTCGAAATGAAACGAGTTCTTTCAGACGGTTCGTCAACAGCTTGCCACCCACGTCAAGTCTGTGGCGGCTGTCAGCGAGTTCCGATCATCGTGAATGCCGTCAAAGGCGCTCACCGCTTGACGGCGCTCCAAACAATAGAACCTTCCATAATCGGCACGACATGGGTGAAGCTGAAACCCGAATCCACGACTAGCATACACTCTGGAGGTGCAGAAGATGAATTGCCGTACAAGGTCCCGTGCGGGATGAGCGCTGCAGCTAAGCTCAGAGGTGTATGAGTCGAGCGGATTCGGCGTCACAGAAGCGAGCAATGTTTACGAGTAGAACGAAAATACGAATGAAATTCGTATTCCTCGAATACGAACTGGTCGTAGACTTCTTGCAAGTTTGGCAAGTTGAAATACGGCTCAGTAATGAGCAGGGATGACTCGGAGGGGTTTATCTATGATAGTTCATCTTTGTCATGCAAGCGAAGAAGTGAAGGCACCTACTTTAAGCACTTCGTCAGAAAAAATTCCATCCCAGACTGCTTTCTGCGCGTCCCAGTCGACGAGATATCCCTGTGGAGCTATATCGTCCCGCTTCCACGCCTAGGTCACAGGAGAGAATCTTGTTATTTGCATACCTTTTCGAAGGGTAAACGGTAATGTAGGGATGAGAAGTCACGGCACTGATCGAATTCGTGCCCTATGTATGTCGCTTTGTCACCTCTCGAGCGAACGACAGCATTAGTTATCAGCCTTTGGCGTCTTCAATCTGGCTGTCCCGGCACTGGATTCTGTGGACTAGCGCACCTCGGCTGATCGTCATAACTGACGCTCGTCCTGCCGCACTTGACTGTGCAGGCTCCATTATCCAGGACTGCAATACAAGAGGGCTCCATCGGTAACACGCCGCCTTTGCAAAATGTTCGGGTTTCTTGTCCTAAGTTCAAGTGGGAACGTTAGCTCTTCCGGGCTTTGGTGCAGGCTGTCCGAAAGTCTTGTTCTGTAGTCACTAGTCACTGGCCAGTGGCCACTAGGAAGCTCCGACTCGAAGCAGCCGAGTTTTTGCCACAATGGCGACCAATCGGAACAAGGACTAATCTCGGCCGGTACACCGCTTCCGTACAGTGTCTTGATTCCAGTTGTTCGTTGTTTCCCCACTCGAGCCGGATCTGACATATCTTTGTCGCACTGTCGATTATCCAGGCATACTCATTCCTGGTGAGTTTCTATTCTGCCTTCCTGCAGCTCGGGCCGCCGTAGCCGCCGAATTTCGCCAGGAAGAATGACGGGACGCGATCCATACGGCATGTCGTTTACCTGGAGGCTGGACGATTGATGATCCGCCGTCGAAACATGAGAGTTAGAATGGGCTACTTCGGCTCTGATGGCACACTGCAGAATACACTATCATCTAACTCGACAGGATTCCTGCTCTGTCTAGGAATAATTGCACCTGCGGAGAAACGCAGCAGACCGCGTGCCGAAGTCGTACGCTGATGTGCGTAGCATTCTGGTCCCTCGCTCATGACGAATACGCACTGTGTGTATATCCCATGAAACTGCCGGGTACAGTAGTTTTGACTATACATTCGCACAGAATTCTCTGTAGCAATCGGGACGAGTTCTTATCCAGACCTACCCTGCCGGCCCACTTCCATTCATTTGACTGTGTGCCTGGGTATGTGGATGAACAGTACGTTCTATCAGGTCGAGACCAAAGAGCTGGAGGCGCCTGGCTCGGAATCAACAAAGTGGGGAAAGTCGCACTCTTGTACGATTGACCCTGCACTACGACAAGGATTTTTACGGATGCAGTTTATTCGCAGGACAAATATCACTGAGCCCTACGGGAATTACGCTTCATCTAGGGGGCATCTCGTCTCTTCCTACTTGACATCCCCACCCACGACTAGCCTACATGATGAGACAACCCGGATAGTAGTCCAAAACGGCCGATACGCCGGATTTAATCTCCTCCTTTTGTCGCCTGTCATGGAGGGCGGCCGACTTGCCTTCGAAGGCTCCCTCGTCTCCAATCACGGTGGTGGGGGCGAAATAGTCGCTCGTCCACTTTCCGACGGGGAAAGACGTTGTGGAGGCATATCCAATGGCATAGACGGCAGTGGGGCCAGCGATTGGCCGAAGGTGAAGCATGGAACCATGGAACTAAACGAGCTGCTTGACTCTGCCCCGAATGATCTCACGGACGTGAAACTATCGGAACGTCTCTTCGAGCTTCTCAGGTATGTTCCGGCTCCTGTAGCGCAGTATGTGCTTTTTGCGACGTGCATCTGATGACCCATGGGACTTCGCTGCAGCTGGCAATCCGATAACCCACCCAAAGCTCGAGAAGAGCTTCGCAACACCATCCAGATCGAACCTATACCCATGCCCGCAACAGGATCTGCGAGGGTCGCGGCCCCAGAGTTCTATGGAACTCGACTCTCGACCGTAATCCTGATTCGCAGGAACGGCGATGTTCTATTCATTGAGCGGGATATTTGGGGCCTAGGGTCGGACGAGAAACCTTGGAAAGCGGATCCGGGCACACAGCGTGTATTTCGCTTCCAGATTGCACCGGACATTGTACAATACACACCCTCCACCCAGTAATGGGTATATGATCTGCCTACGAAATGAAAAGGACCGTCCATCGAAGCAATACTGCTACACATTAGCCGACCTAGATGAAATTATGCATATGAGTTAAGTGATATGATAACATATGTGGACCCGTCTCCACAGACGAAAAGAACTAGGGAAACCCCAGGTGAACGGTGACACAGGATAATTCCGGGGTGTCAAGCCACGCCACCGTAGCTGATGCCTTTGTCGTAAGCGCGATCATCTGGAGACACGAGCATGAATGAGGAATTATAATGACCGGCGGGCAGGCTATTCCAGTCGTGCACAGGTGTCTGGATGGTGGAACTCCCTGCAGACGAAGAGGCGGGAGACATAGCTCCGTGTTCCGTACAAGTTCCCGCCCCGTTGTAGTTCCTCACGTGAACGTCATCCGATGGATTACCACTGTATGATGTTAAGCCCGCAAGCAAAGAGGCAACATATGAGCGGCACGTACTGCATGATGTTATTCAGCTCTACCATGCGCCTATGGAGCAGACATTGAGATGTGCCTCTGTGATGCGGAAATTGTTGGATGTAGTCAAGGGTTTTCTGCAAATGCTGCGAGAAGCCGATATAGGAATGTGCAGCGGCTGGATCCGTGAGGCAAGAACAAAACGGTTCGACCACGGGATAATGATTCCCAACGGATGTTCTAATATGCTCCGGATGTGCAGCCTCGTAATGCCCGTGGACGTCTGGAACACCACCGCTACTGCGATTGTTGTACCCAATGGCAGCAGAAGGAGGTTGATATGAAATGTCTTCCCTGAATCTTTCTGCATATGATGGGTGCCCACGATCATTTTCGTACGCGCATAGAGGACTCGGGAGCTCTGACTGGAAGGGGTGCAAGCAAATTGGTGACGACGGCCCCGGCGAAGGAGACAACCGGTATAGATGTGGCTGGGAGGATCCGGAGTGGGAGTCGACCGGCTCTGCTTTCACAGAGGCATTTGATGCGTTTTCCCCCTCCTCATTTGCATCAAGGAGAGTTCTATGCCTTCTTACGGTTTGCGAACGCTTCGACGACCGAGAGTGCCATTTCTCAGACGGATCACCGTCGCGGAAGTTGGCGTCTGCCCAACGGGGCGTTGGCTTCCCTTGCTCCATCCATGAGCACGGATTCGCCATGGTAGCACCGCTGAAACACTTACCGCGAAGTTCCCTGACCAGACTTTCGAGTTCGGCGATCCGATTACGTAGCCTGGTCGCTTCATCTAATGAAGGATCATCCCTCAGGGCGGGATCATCAATCTCGTAGACACAGAGGCCCGTCTAAAGAGAAAACCATGAATATGGACCCGACAGAGAATCGAATGCAACTGTACCAAGCCCAATTGAATGCATCTCTGACAAGGTCGTTTCCTATCGCACTAGAGGAAGCTTTAATATGCTCAAAGACAGCAGTACCGCTGGCTTACCTTTCTTTTCGACGTGTGGCAGTTGAGGCAGGACTGTGTTGCTCGATTCCTCCTTCTCTTTCGGTGGTCGACTTCGAGGGTAAACTCGAAGTCCATGATCTCGCCCTTGAACTGAGCAGGTGGATAATCGGAGGTCATGATATGGGACAAGTAGGTCAAGCTGGGGGGCGCTCGGCAGGGTGCTCTCAGGTCGGCATTGTGAACATGTCATGTTTATGTACTTTGCATTAAACCCCGATATTATATGGAGAGAACGCAAACTGTGGATCCAGATTAGGCATAACTCCTTGTACACGCCTTTCTGGTCTGGGCTCCAAGGTACTTCGGTCAGTCAAGCAGAGTGACATAACGTGCGACCTGAGCGTCAAATCATCCATTTTTAACTCTGACGGCTCTCGGCAATGAATGTATGATCCATCAAACCATTGGGCCTTCTAGAAATGCCTGAATGAAGTCGCCATGTAGATAGGACAAGGGCCTTGGTAATGTAATGGACTTCGAGCTCGCAACCAACTGGCAGTGCAGCAGCCTCTTTTGTCTCGCCTAAGATGACATTAATATTATGCTTCGCTTTCAGCCAGATCGAGTAGTAACGTAAATATCCTGGCTCCGCTGCACCGGTTCTGTAACATCTACCCCTGGATCTGAGTCAGTCAATACTGCCTCGGTGACTCGCGCTTCTTGGTCGCCGTCCAGTGACCAGGCTTCGGTATATATCAAGTGGTCGAGTTCGGCCTGTTATCATGTCCACGAACAAGGAGCGGTGGCGTGGGTTGCCACTTCCGATAGGGGCATGCCCCTTAGGTGAAAGAGGTGGGATTGGGCGGGTAGGGACGGAGGAACGAACAAATCGTGTGAAGCACAGCATGCCGATGTCATGGGCGTAAAGGATCCTATTGCTGCTAAGGTAGAAACCTGGAGGACAATCGCCAAGAGATCATCGTGATCGTATACCAGATTGACGATTCGGGAGGTCCGAGCATCAACAACACAGAAATACGCACCAACATCCATCAGCGCACCAGAGACACCTCCGATAAAGGCTTACCCGGATCTCTGATAAAGTAAACCCTAGCAGCCGTGGCGTCCTTCGTACCTGTCCGACGTCCTGCGGCAGTGGAATTTCTGCCTGAAAATGGGACACCTCCGAACCTTGCATTCATCGAATTCCGTACGGAAGGTGTGCACTCTTGATCGCTTCCCCCGTCGACCTGCAACCATACGAAGCCAGATGTGTATCACGACTCCACGTAAGTATAGGGTTTTACGGATAGAGCATGTGTTACATCCGTGGCAATGTGGCGCTGCGATCAATCAGTCAAGTGGAAAGCTGTTCAGCACGAGGACTGAAGGATGACTTAGGAAGATGGAGAATATAAAAAAGTAGCCATTACGGACGCACTACCAATCAGATATCCACGCACTGAGGAGCCGCGGAGTATATCCGCGACTGCAGAAGGAAACAAAGCAGACAAACAAAGCCTGGGAACTCCGGTAAGCGCGACCAATTCTCAGAGATGCTTACAATTGGAACTTACCACTGCTCTGGCGCTCATCTGCCATAGGCTATCTTATAACTGTTGGAAGCAGTGGAATGTCCAGGACACCCAGCTGACATGATACGCAAGATCAGCCATAGCTGCCTTCATGGGGATTCACCCCTGACAAACGATGTATTTCGCAAGCGCCCTTAGACTGCGACTGCCGAAACAGTCATGAAGAATCCAAGATCCGACTGCTTCGTTGCTCCCGACCACGTTCAAGTTCGAGACTCCATGAAGGTCGCCTACCGGTAGCCGGGAAGTTAAAACAGTACGGTGTACCAACATGTCGATCCAGACGCGTCGAAGTGGATGGATGCAAGATACTTGTGTATAGCTCGGCGACGTCTGCTGGACGTCCGAATCATCTCGTCTTGCGTGGACCTTGGTGGTGGAATTACGTCAATCACTTACCTGCACATAGTGTAATGAAAGGATGCCAGAGCCCAGGCGTGTGAGGCTTGTTCGCCCGTGACCAGAGTTTCCGGGTACTATAACAAACATTCATCATCAGACCCTCGCTACCAATGGGTTTCCAGACGATGAAGTTAAGTGGGCTAATCGGACCTAAAGCTCGTTGCCGGCGGTTCCTTGCAGAGTTTCGCGGATGCCCAGCGCAGGACAGCAGCTGCAATTACACCCAGGCTTGGAGATCATTCGACAAAATCATCGGCAAAATCGTTTTGCCAGTGAGTCTTCAGTACATAGATACTATCCTCACCGAGCGATCCATGTTCTCAATATCCATGATCAGATTACCAATGACCCCGCCCTCCAGCATATGCACTATGGGCCTACACCGTGAGGTAGCGCACATGATGGCAAATGTTCCGCTTTGTGGATGAGGAGCTCTTATTTCCGTTGGCCCCGCATTGACCAAATACACAAGAGAGGGGCGTGGATTTCTTCAACACCGAGTACCTGACTCGGGTCTGTATAGGCCAAGCGGTCGGCGAACCCCAACTCGATCTGATAGGTCACATAGTTTAGAGCAAGTTTCGCATAAGTCATGCGTAAACCTTGGAACGCTCTCCACCGCCAGACAAGTGTAATCACCATGAAAGCAGCGCTTACTCGTCTCCTGGTCCCCAAATAACTCCGACAAGGAAGCACTCGTGAAAGAGATCCCGCAATCCGCGTGGCAGTGCTATACATAGGATAACGCTCGTCTACCCCTCATGGCCAAGAGTAAGCTCATCTTTGCACAGGTGATCGGTCTTCCGACGCCACTGGGGGATTGCTGTGGACACGTCGCAGTCACAGCTTGCGCTCCGGGTTTTCTGATGAGTTAGGTGGCGCCTTGGCAGGTATTACTTATCTTCTGGCAGGGTCAGCTGCTACAATGCAATGCCAAGTCCGCTTTCTGTGCGTCCGACGACGATGACGACGATCACTACCCCCGAGGTGTTTACACCACGATCGGTTGGCTTTAATTACAGATCACGCCTCCGACATCGCTATAGGAGATGTTATCGTGAATTGCTTCCGCCACATCTCACACACTGATCTTAACAAACATATCTTACCAATGGGATCGCGTATATTATCTGCAACCAAGGGCCAATGCAATCCCGAAAAGCCGTATCTCAGATATGGCAGCCGCATTCACGATCGTATATCTGTTCTATTCATGATCTCTTTAGAGAACGTACCTGAGTTTCCCTGAGCTCTGTAGTATGTGTCCCCTTAGTGAACTGACGACAAATATTTCGTGTATTCCAAGATGGTAGGGTCTGAAGGCGACATGGGCTGTAGATGATGACAACGTGGCAAGATACAGTGGCAGAGAGTCATCATCGGGACTTAGTTTCATTCTTCCGCTTCTGCCTTCTAACGTATTTTCTCATGCTCGGTACACCAAACTGCGGGCAAAGTTGAAATTTGATACGATAACTCCGTCAACACGAGGTTCTGTCAAAGGCGGAGTAATATGACTGCTCACCCGTAAGCTGGGGTACGCAACAAGCAAAAGACCCCCCACCGCCCAGGCCGATTTGACAAACGTAGGCGTGGGCTCTGGGTACTGGCCCTTACTCCATTTAATAATAGCGAGTAGTTCCGTGCCGATAGTAGCCAAGAGCAACCATACGTGCTGCCCCATTCTCTTCGCTTTCCTGCGGAAGAACAAGATACACAACCATGTTTAGTATAACCGGATACGTGGGGGGAGCGACATTGGGCAGGATATGCCTAGAGGGAGAAGGAAGGACGAGAAGGTTTGGGAAGTCTCGATCGTACCTGGGGTCATTTATGTATTGATAAAGTTCTCGGACTGCCGGCAGCCCGCAAAGGAATATACCGGCAAGGCGGGCGATGACGATAGGATGATCGGGTTCCATCCATAGCAAGCTCTGCGTAGCATTGCAGCGGTGAGAACCATGGAGCGCTTGGATCGCTGTCACGCGGAACCGTACCTTCAGATAGAAAGGGTTCAACTCCGCGGCGAGGAAGACAGCCAGAAGCAGCACGACAGTGAAGTAATGCTTGAAATCGACTGTTCCCTCCCAATTGAAGGCAGTAAAATCGTGTGGGGAGAACTGCGTAAGAACACGTTTGGTCTTGGAACGGAACCCGCGAATTTGGCGCATTCCACGCCATTCATAGTGCTTTTCTCAAAATATCAGGGACTAAGAGACGACGGAGGGGCACGCACGTACCTTAACCTCAAAGTACTGGCAGGTCTTCATGCCTGATGCGGTGCGATTCGGTTAGGATGATGATGACAACACCAGACGCATGTACTGGAGCGCAGCCATACCCAAGTATGTCCCAAGCCAATTGCAAATGAGGACATCCAACACCCACTTGACGAGAAATTAACGGTTACATGAAGCCGCGAGAGTACTGCGAAAGAAGACCCACATGGTCCCACCAGCACTGTCAGATCACTATCAGTCGAGTAAGTATCAGAGGATCGGTGGTGACCTACCTCTCCGAAATTGGGAAGTTGGTGCTGCAGGCTATACTCGGCGAGCTCAAATGCGATGCTCAGGATCTGGAGCTCTCAAATTAGCAGCGACACCCATCAAAGGATCACGTACGTACCCAGCAGAACCAATAGTCGCGCAAGATCAGCGCTTTACCAAACCACCCAAGAGCATGTGCCAGACAGAAGATGTCCACGGCATTCTGATGGGGACGTGCCCGAAAGCTATAATGTGGGCATAGTCGAACGCCCAACCGAGTTTGCACTTACCCATACGTTCTCCAGAGTAAATTCGCAGTTTTCTGCATAATTTTTCTCCGGCAATGGCTTGCCCAGGTTGGGGTCTATGAATGTCATCATTTTCCTAGCGGAGCCCAGATCCTGGAAAAGCAGGAATACGAGAGCCAACTCGTATAATAGATTTATCCCCAACACGACAAGCCAAAATGCGGGATGAGGTCGGATAAACGGCCCATCACGGAACTGTATCATAGAAAACAACAAGAACCCCGCGATGGCAGCGTACGCTCCACTACGGCCAAAGGAAGAAGTCAGATACTGTCAAACAACCTCGACTTGAAATCCACTCACACTCGCCGTTTGTCTCTTCCTTCTTCCAACACATCCTGGGTAGTCGCTACGTAGGCCAAGATGGCCATGGCGACACCCAGAACAGTCAGGGTGATGGGGCTGTAGAAGAACCTAGGAAGATACAGTATCATCCCCGTCATGCATTGCAGGTGTCAAGGACACTCAGGCCTACTCTATACTGGTATCTTGCTTCTCCTGGAAGGGCTCGATTCGGGTGTACGACTCCGTCCGGTCGGCCTTGGTTCACGTCAGGGTCAGTCGGCGGCGTGCTTCAGGAACAACGTGCGACGTACATCGTACCCTGTGGAGGTCGCTCTCGTAAAACCACGAAAATTCACCGCTTCAATGAGAGCGGCCACTCACAGTGAACTGGGTAGCCATCCAAACCGGGCCTTGGCTCGGGATCCGCTGAAGGTGAGAGCAGAAGGTCCGATTCTTCTGTCGGACTCGTAGGCGACAGGTCTGAGTCGTCTGGTGCAGACATTGCAAATGCTGGCCTCGTTGCAGCGGAGGCTCCAACGGCCCTCTTGCAAGTCTTGGATTGCAGCCGTAAGGCGTGAAGTTCAATAGAATCCTCAGACTGACGTCTGCGATCACGTCGCACGTGTAAGTCTGCAGGCGCTTCCTCTTAAGTCACGCTGTGACACTCGTCCGCAACGATTTCAAGTCGAATTGATTTAGATTCGCCGCAATATTGGGTCAAAGGTTACGGCCCCGCAGGAACAAGGGCGTGTACTATAGTTCAATTTACAAGAATCTTGAACTGCAGTAAGGAGATACTAGTATGCACAGGGTCCTCAGCATTGGCGACTGCATTCACAACCCGTAAGGCTAACAGCCCGCCGGTATCTCCTCTCAGAGGACTCAGTGCCTTAGCGGCAACCAGAACAGGCGGCATGCGGCATAAGGTTACTCCTAAGTTGCCCGAAGATATACCTCTGGGGAGTCACAGATCATCGTGGAAGTACGAGATTCAGAAGCCACGGCGTCCTTCACAAGCACCCTGGGCTTACTACACCTGGCTGGCGGGGCATCGAAGTAGCCGGAATTGCACAATTTCATATTGGCACCTAACGCAGATGCAGTCTCCGAGCCAGACCTTCCATAGGTTGTCCAGTCTGCAAAACTTCTTCCATTTGATGGGAAGAGTGCTATGAATGCCGCCCGACAGTCGTCGGAGATTGATGACTTGGAAACAGCAAATTGTGGAGAGGTGAAGCCGTTATCACATCCAGAATATACGAAATGCGTGGCGCGCCGCGGCACCCTCGGGCAAGCATGGAGAGTGTCAGACTTCCACGCTCTTCCATCGGGGAGGCACATAGATCCAGAGTCAGGTTCGGAGCCATAGGAGGTAAGTACATCTTCCACAAGAATCAAGAGACGGCAAATTGAGCACGAGATCGGATACCGCAGAAGATCAGATAGCATACATAGGCAACTGCATCCATATGCCCAGACGGTACCAGACGCGGATCATGTTACGACAGTATCGAGAGGCAGAGTGGCGAATCAGGGATCCTAGTTCCCTTGAGTCCTGTAACTCTGTCCGGACATGTCATAGCAAAGGAACATGATCCTGTCATAGTCCCAGCGAACCTTCCGGGTCGACTGCTAGAGAAAGCACTCGCCCAGTGGACTCGATTGGCTGATTTGGGATCATGAGGCTCCCAAAGCGATGTACGGATCAAATAACGATAGGAGACAAGATAGCCACAGCAAGGAAGGCTGAACGACTGCGGCCACCCCGCACGAAGCGGACCAGTCAGCCCGAGTTTTGAGGTATCAGGATGGAAGAAAGAGATCTCGCAAGGCCCGGGACCAGAGCAACACATAGAGGGCGTTGAGGAGCTGGCACCAAGCTGAGTAAGGTTGTACAACGTTCCGGATGGAAGGGACCCAACGTAAGGGAACACTACATTCCCGCCTGACCCAGCGATACGGCCTAAAAGCACGCGGATAGAACAAGTCGAAGACTCCATCGCAGGTCATGACCGAGAGGGTAAGAGGTGGTTTCCGACAGTGTATGGCGACTTTGAGGGCAATTGCATGGCCCCGCATTCTTGACAAGACCTGACAATCTTCGATGCCTGGCCACTAACGCACACGGAAAAACAAGTATTTCAGTGTCCACAACAGCTCATGACCGCGAGAGCAACACGGCGCAATCGATAGTGCAATGCAATTTCGACAGTACGAACATTAGTGAAAGCTTGGGCGATAAGCTTCGGTTCGGCATGAGACGCGATGAATTTCTAGTACCATTCGCAGCCTGCAAGTATTCGTCGTGAGCAGGGTTTTGATAGTCCATGCGCTCCTTTCATAACTTTCGGACGGTGAATGACGAAAGATGACCTGTACCATGAAAACCGGGGTCAACTGGAGTGCAGACGTACTGTACCGTATTCACCGTGACTGCCACGACATGTGATAGTTATAGAAACTAAACCACGGCGCCTTCGTCTTATGCGAAGACGGCACCCACTTCAAGAGCGTTGTACAGCTTACAGTATATCCGCGCAGCGTCGCAAAAGAATCATCTGTGGAATATCGTGGACGGAGGGAGGAATTGTGGGCGCGACGCCACAGCACTCGAAGTTTCCAGACGCGCTGACAAATACGGGCAAACAGATCGTGTCATACCTCTCGCGACTGCTCAAGTACCCTGCATGCATTGAATACTCTTGTTTCCGTACCACAACAACTACCAGCTTTCTTCTACACAACGCATACGGTGTCGCATCTGTCGCCGTCTTAATGGAACATAATAATCACGGATTCATAGACTTTGGCCATCTCCTGCAGAATCTCGTCGGGGCGTTCATTCCCCAAGTTCCCCATGCGGGAGCGCAGAATGATCAGCCTGCACACGACAACCACGACGCCCAAGCAATGCTTCCACATGAGACCACGTCTGATGCCGCCAACGCTACGACGCAGTCCTCCGACGTGGAAGATCGGGAAATGACGCCCATCGAGGAGCTAGAAGCTGCCGCATCTAGCACTTCCAACTCCCAGCCAGAGATCGTTGATCGAGAAATGATCCCCGCGGAGCCAGAGCTGGATGGTCCTCCACCTTTAGAGCCTATAGCTAATCCGCAGACACAAGCGGATGCCGCTGCCTCAGGATCAGGTGAGTATTCTTCGTTCGATCCTTTACAGGCTGGACGTTCGCTAACAATCGACTCAGGCGAATCACAATCGCCTGATCGCGCTACTTCCGATTCAAGTAGCATGCCCTCATTACACTCTGTCTCCGACTCATCCTCCGACACCAGTTCGGCTCGGGACGTCCGAGAAGTCGAGATGATGGATGCCACACAGCCAGTCGACGACGACAACGATAGCAATTGGACGGACGTCTCATCTGACATGCCGCCACTTGAGCCTATCACCCAACCGACCAGGGGACCCAACCGGCGGGTGAGGGTAGAGGAGGTCGAGGACGATGAAGATCGTCCACGATCACGTCAACGTACAACAGGCCCTGCTGCAGCCAATACAGAGCAGGGTACTGCAGGCGCTCAAGCTCCTCACGCACCTCAAGGGCACCCTGGTCTGTTCTTCATCCCAATCGGCACATATGTGCCGCTGCAACCTGCTAATTCGTTTGATCCAGGAATGGGGTTCGCATTCACTATCAATCTAAACGGCGTCCCCATGGCTCGACGGTTCGGAGCAGCTGAGCCACGGCCAGCTCAGGCAGCGGCACCCGACGCGCCCGCTGGCGGAATCGCGAATACCGAGCCTCCCGTACACCAGCCGCACAATCCATTCAATCCCTTCGAGTTCTTCACTCTGCTGGGTGGGCCTGATTTCAACGGAGCCGAATTCCTCAATCTTATGGGTGGCATACCCCCGGAACAAGAGCAGGATGACCCTGAGCGCGCGAAGAAATTGGTGGATGGAATGGAAGTTGTCCCGCCTGGTTTGGTGAAGAGGATGGAGAGAGTGGGCGGAGCGCCTGGCGCGCACCTCGACGATTCGAGTAGCGCGGATGCCGGCGCTGACGTTCCTGGGTGTGCTATTTGCTGGGATAAATTGCTGGACGATGACGCTGAGAAGGATATCGCTCCACCTGGTGAGGGCGAGTCGGCAGCTTCGTCTGACAACAAGATCGTTGCGTTGCCCTGCGCGCACGTCTTTCACGCTTCGTGTCTTATCCCTTGGTTCTCTAGGCCGCGGCATACGACCTGCCCAACGTGTCGATTCAACGTTGATCCTGACAACCTCACTTACCAACCTAGACCTCGTCGGCGGCAAGCGCCGGCCCCTGCAGATAGTCTTGCTCAGCAGCCCGACGCGGCTGCAGCTGGTCCTGCACCCGCAACCGAGGCCCAACCCCAGCAAACTGTAACTGAGGCTATTGCGCCCACCGCGGCCCCGAACCCACCTGTCGACTCGCAACCTCAACTTCAGGCACAACCTCAGCTGCAACCTGCTCAACCCCAATTCACAGCGAATGCTGATCCTCAGGCAGCCAATACCACTCCTAATCCGCGTCCTGGCCCGCGTTTCTTCGTGCAACCCTTCGTCACTGTTGACTTCAACCTCGAGTTCGGGCCTGGCGGTCCTGCACCTGTTCCAGGAACTTTCCACATTCATCATCATCCCCCGACGCAGCCTACCGGTCGGGCTTCTCCACCGCCTGCCGCCGCAGGTATTCCGCCGGTGCCGCCGCAACAGCCTCAGCCAGAGCAGGCGCAACCTCGGGCTCAGGAGCAGGGCCCCGCGGGTCCCCAGCCGCAGATTGACACCGATCAGGCAACAGCATGGCTGCAGTGGATGTTGGGCCAGACGCTGGGTGGGGTGCCTTTGCCGCGACCTCCAGCACAACCACAAGAACAACAGCCACGGCAGACGGGTGTCCCGCCTCAACCCCAGGCCCAGCAACCCCAAGGACCCCCACCGCAGCCTCAACCTCAACCTCGTGGGACGCCTTTCATCCACGGTCCTCATATATTCTTTGGTCCGCCACCGCCGTTCGACATGGGCGCGGGCCCTCGACCCGCGCCAAGGCCGCGCGAGAAGAGGGAGTGGACGCCGCCGCCTCCACCGGGGCCTACATTGCGCCAGCGGGTTGAGCAGAAGGAGCGGGAGGCTGGACTGCGTTGCGACGATGTGAGCTGTGGGCTGGGACCGACGGACGAGGACCCGATCCCATGCGTGGACGTTGCGAGCTTGAAGCAGGTGCATATACGGCCTGCAGGGGTGAGGGACGAAGGCGCGCGGGTGTGCGCGCACAAGTTCCACCCGTCGTGTCTTGTGAGTGCGGAGAGGGTCGCGGGGTGGGGTAGAGATGTCGAGGAGGAGAAGATGGAGGAGGAGAAGTCGGAGGAGGAGGAAGTTGAGGTGTCGTGCCCGGTTTGTAGGGCTGTGGGATGGATTAGTGGTGCGGAGTGGGAGGAAGGTGTGAGGGCTTTGGCGTAGGCGTGCCCTCTTGCTCTCGTCGTTTTGCTATCAATTTGTATTTATTCTGTCGTTGGACCCCATACCCTTGCATGTTCTTGCTGCTCTATTATTTCCTCCGCTCACATTCACGTCTTTCACGCATGCACGCATTGTTTCTTGGCCCCTGTGTATTTTATTTCCCTCCAACATGATTTAATGGCGAATTGGAATGTATTGTACAGTAGACATATAGTATAGAACATAATGCAAGTAGCCTATTGTCAATGACGAGTTGCTCGTCCCGAGCAAAGGTACCCTTCCAATGCACGCTACTGTCCAGCTTCTCCGGCGATAACGACGGCGGTGAATATCCGAGGCCTATCGAGGTGATCCGAGCCTCGAGCTCTTTATTGGCCCTGATCGACAGCCGCACCACTTCGATGCCGGTTTCAGACACTTGGGTACCCGATAGGGCTCTTGTCGCCGTCGAGCAGGTTCAACAGAGATGAACTTGACTGCCTTCGTCGTCGTCGTTGTCGTCGCCGAGGAGGTCGTCCGAGAAGTGGGTCCGCGACAGCGAGCAACGTGCATCTGAGTGAACTCGAAGCGCCGAGGCCGACGTGCCTTCGGATCGGGGGTGCTTCTAGATCGGCGGACCGGGCCGGACCGCATTGCAGCTCACAGCTGAAGTCATCCCGAGTCCGCACGGCGGATGCGCTCATAAAAGGTTTGTGCCTAGTCTGCCTGCATCAAAGTCTCTCCGTCGACGACTCCGGCGACGACCACGGCAAGCACACACTATGTTGCGGGGGAAAATCTTGAATCGCAGGACGCTGGCCGTCGCATCGGGTGCAGCTGTCGCCACCGTCGGCGGGGGGTATTATTTTCTGAATTCGGGGCCCGCTTACCCTGATACGACGAGGGAGACAAGGAGGCCACCGCCGCCATGGACCCCGCCCTCGCGGGAAACGATGTTGAATAGTCTCAAGGAGGGCGGCGATGAGGGGAAGTTCGATCTACTGATTGTGGGAGGAGGGGCGACGGGCGCGGGAGTTGCGGTCGATGCTGCGACCAGGGGTCTCAAGGTCGCATTGGTCGAGCGGGACGACTTTGCTTCTGGTAAGTGCTCTTCTTGCCTTCGCATTCTATCTTCCCTTTGCTCTTGTTGCTCCGGTTTGGACGGTCGGACGGGTTCACGGCGAATCTCCGACAATTGTCCGCACGGGTATCCTGTCTGTGGCCTTCTCGCTGCTTTGCCTATCCCGAACGGACCTGTAAGAAGGTTTGCTGCCCTGTTCCTGCTTCCATTCGTGTAACGCTGCTGCTATCTGCCCATTGAGACTGTCACTGTCCACGCCTTTCTCGGATCCCGAGATGGGTCCTCACCTCCGGAGACAAGACAACCACATGATTGCTCCACCATCAAAGGTTGGAATAGAACAACACAAATACTCGCCGGGATGAACACATTCCAAGCTCATCAAGATGGTACCTCATGCCTGTGAGTCCGCCACCGCGCTCCCACGTCTCCTTGCATCAGCATTGAATTAATCTTTAGAACCAGATGCGTTGGAGCAGATCTATCCGCTTTGAGCGAGGGAACGCGAATCCCTATTCTCATGCTTGCCTGGGTGAATCTGCCGGGATATCGGTATAACGTGTCTTACACCCCAGAGCATCCCCACCTGGCAATGTACTTGCAAGCAGAAAGGGGGACGTACTCGGAGGCGGAACTGTCGATTGCTAAGCGCATCGGCGTCTGAAGCTCGCCCTGAACGGACCAGAGCATGGACGCGGTGACCCGACTCCTGCAACCGCTGCAAACTCGCTCCAGACCGTCCCCCCGTTCTCCTTCGTTAATCCTTGGACGTTTGCCCCAGATGTGACATACTCACATTCGCATTTTCTACTCTACGATTAGGTACCTCGTCGAAGTCTACCAAGCTCGTTCATGGCGGCGTGCGGTACCTCCAAAAAGCCGTCATGGAGCTTGACTACGAGCAGTACAAGCTGGTGAAGGAAGCTTTGCACGAGCGGAAGGTCTTCCTGGAGACTGCGCCTTACTTGAGCCATATGCTCCCCATCATGCTGCCGATATACAAGTATGTGCATTCGGCTGTGGTCTGCGAGGGGAGTGCTCACCACGCGGGTTCAGGTATTGGCAGGTCCCCTACTACTGGGTAGGGTGCAAGATGTACGACATTCTGGCAGGGAAGGAGAATATGGAAAGTTCGTACCTTATGAGCAGAGGCAAGGCCCTCGAGACCTTCCCCATGCTGAAGAGCCAGGGACTGGTTGGTGCATTGGTTTACTACGATGGTCAGTGAATTTTATCGTATCCCCGAAACTACATGTCTTACTCAATTCAATCCTAGGCCAACATAATGACTCGCGAATGAACATGGCGCTGGTCATGACCGCTGTGAAGCACGGAGCAACGGCTGCTAACTACGTGGAAGTGATACAATTGAGGAAGGACGAAAAGGGCCAGCTGTGCGGGGCACGGGTGAAGGACAAACTGACCGGTGAGGAGTGGGACGTCAAAGCTAGGGTACATTTTTATATCTCTTTCAGCCGCTGCTATTGAGCCTGACGATCTCTGCAGGGCATCGTGAATGCCACAGGTCCTTTCTCCGACACTCTGCTCAAGCTTGACAACCCGTCCCACACGCCAATCGTGCAGCCGTCCTCCGGCGTCCACATCACCCTACCCAACTACTACTCGCCTCGCACCATGGGGCTGCTCGATCCCGCAACTTCAGACGGACGCGTGATCTTCTTCCTGCCGTGGCAGGGTAACACCATCGCGGGCACAACTGATACTCCCTGCGAGGTCGAGAGCGAGCCCAGAGCGCAGGAGGAGGACATCCGTTGGGTGCTCGAGGAGGTGCGGCATTACCTCTCGCCCGACATCAAGGTACGCCGTGGGGATGTTCTGTCTGCATGGTCGGGCCTCCGCCCGCTCGTGCGCAACCCGAATGCGGCGAGCACGGAGGGGCTGGTCCGGAACCACATGATCCATCTCAGTGACAGCGGCCTGCTCACGATTGCGGGCGGCAAGTGGACCACGTACCGTGAGATGGCTGAGGAGACGGTGGATAAGGCAGTCGAGGCGTTCGGGCTCAAGGACCGGTGTAGGAACGGCTGTGTTACGGAGAAGGTCAGGCTCGTGGGCAGTGATGGGTGGAGTAGGAATATGTTCATTGGGCTGATCCAGAGGGTGAGTGTTTTCGCACACTACCCTCAAATATTATGGGCTGACGAGGTTGGGTGCAGTACGGCTTGGAGACGGACGTCGCCAAGCACCTGTCCGACGACTATGGTGACCGGGCATGGACTGTATGCTCCCTAGCTGAGCCCACCGGTCAAGCGTGGCCCCTCCACGGAGTCCGGTTAGCCAGTCAATACCCTTGTAAGTGCTCGCCTAGATCCACTGGCTCACCATTACTTACCCCGCTCCTCTTCCAGATATCGAGGCCGAGGTGCGCTACGCCTGCCGCAACGAGTACGCGCAGACCGCCGTGGATGTGATCGCTCGCCGGACCCGTCTGTCATTCTTGAACGCCCAAGCTGCACTGCGTGCTCTCCCGAGAGTCATCGATATCATGACCGAGGAATACGGCTGGAGCCACAGCCGCAGGAAGCAGGAGATCGAGCGGGCGACGAAGTTCCTGAATAGTATGGGCATCCCGCCTGAGACCCCTGCACCCCAATTAATTCCCCACGGCCTCATCGAAAAGTCGGAGAACTTCCTGTGGTCACTGAGTAGCATGGTGTTTGGCGGTCTTGGCTTAGGCAAGAAGCACGGCGCTGCGCCGGTTCTGTACAGCCGTGCTCAGTTCGATGCTGGTGAAGTGGAGGCTCTGCGTGACGCTTTCAAGAGTCATGCCAAAACCGTGGCTTCGCCTGACGGACAGACAGTCGAGCGGCTGAGGAAAGACCAGGTCAAGGAATTGTTGAAGGACATTCCCGGGTACGAAAACGCTAGCACGAAAGACTATGACTATGTCTTCGAAGAGGCCGGTTTCGCGCTCCGCCCAGATCTGGACATGGACGAGTTTTTAGAGGTAAGCTTATTCAAACACGGCCTGCGTACCTCCATAACGATTGGTTATTCTCAGGTGTGCGCTGAGCTGAAGGAGGTTACTGTCCCGCCTACGCCGGCGATCAAAGCCGAGAGGAGGACAATCCCTGTTGAGAAGAGCGGTGGAGGTGTATAAGACCAGCTGAGATAATTTATAGATCTTGTCATCATCACGATTGGTTCTCGTTCATGCATGTACATAGTGCAAATATCCTGAATAATGGTACTTGCATCCTAAAAATCTACTGGTACATTCTCTAAGCGTGCTATCCAAGCGAGTTGACCGTGAAGACGTGTATACCCAGCAAACGTACGTCGGACTCTGCGTTATAACTTGGCTTTTGCTTTCGCCCTCTTCTCGTATTCGTCTTGCAGCTGCCTTCTGAGCACCTTGCCCGTCGGCGACTTCGGAATCTACGAATAGACACGAGCGTCAATCCAGGGATCACTCCGGCTCGGAGATTTCGCCACCCGAATAGCACTGATTTCATACATACCGCGTCTACTATTTGGATCCCTCCCCGCAGCCATTTATACTTGCTCAGGTGCTCCTTCGTCCAGTCGTCCAGCGCGCGCACCACGTCTGCCTTGCTCCGCTTCCGCCCGGCTGAGCTCAGGACGACCCATGCCCTCGGCACTTTCTCGTCAGACGTCCGCCCCCCGCTCACGCCCGCCACGGCTGCGTCCTTGATCAGTTTGTCCGGCTGCGCCATCAAGACTGACTCGATCTCTGTGGGGGACACCTGCATCCCAGAGACCTTGAGGATGTCCTGGAACAGCCGCGAAAGTAAGCCGACAGGCTCCGGGTGTGGCTGGAGGCTGCGTACCTTTGCCCTGTCTTCGAAGCTACAGCAACGTTGGGTATCAGCGCCCGGTCCACGGAGAACAACGAGACTGAGACTGCGCGCACAAGAACATCCCGTCCTGGTCCACGCTGAACCGGTCGCCCGTCCTCATCCAGCCGCCCTCGACGAACGCCTCCCTCGTCGCCTTCTCGTTCTGCCAGTACCCCCTGACGATGTTCTCGCCCTTCAGCAGCAGCTCGCCCGGCTCGCCGACGCCCGCGTGCGTGCCGTCGTCGCGCAGGACGAGCGCCTCCATGCCGGGCAGGAGGATCCCCGCGGAGCCCACGCGCGGCCTGAACAGGCCGCCGGGGAGCTGCAGCTCCTGCGGGAGGTTGATCGTCGCGGAGACTGTCTGGAAGGGGCGTTGCAGCGGACAGCCGGGCGGACACTGGAAGATCTTACCGTTTCTGACATGCCGTACCCTGGTCGGTGCGATCGCACCTCAGCACGGATAACCACAGCTGCCCGGGGACTCACCTTCGGCGACGCCCGTCGTGTTCGGTCCGATGCGCGCGAGCTCTTCCGCTAGTCTCGGTGGTAAGTACGCCGCGCCGCTCCCGAAGGACACGAGCGAGCTCAGGTCGCTCTTCAGCCTCTTCTGTGCGTCGAGGAACGGCTGGACGACCGATGGGACGAGGGAAATAAAGGTGATCTTGTACCTGCATACCCGGCCGTTGAACGGGGGCCGCCTGCGAGTAGGAGGTACGAACGCTCACTTGGGTATGATGCGCAGCACGTGCTCGGCGTTCCACTTGGGCACGACGACGCACGTCGTCGGCGCGAGGAAGCAGCGGAAGTTGAACATGTGCAGGCCGAAGGTGTGGTAGAACGGGAGGAACGCGAGGCTGACGGGGATGCCCTCGGGCGTGGCGTACGTCGGCGGCTGCGGCCGCGCGGATGAGCGTCTGTCAGCCGAGCACTGGTGCTGGGATGCGAGTTGACCAAGCTAGGCTCACCGGATAGACGGCGAATACGGCCTCGGCGACCGCTTGGTATTGGGCGAGCGCGCACACGAGGTTTCCGTGCGTGATCATCACAGCTGCGAGTAAGTGAAGGGGCGTTTGCAAGACTGCTGGTGAGCATTCACGGACCTTTGGGTAAGCCGGTCGTTCCGCTAGAGAAGACCAGGTACGCAAGGGTATCCTTGACGGCAGGCCTTATACTTGGTCGTGGTATCTTTCGCTTTCTAGCAGTCACCACGAGGTCATGGTACGATCGCTTGCCTTTGGCGTGGCCCTCCAAGATATATATTTTATCTTGAGGAAGCCCGACTTCTTTCGCGCACCGCTGAGCTAGGGACACCAGGTCGGGTGCCACAAAAAGGCACGTCGCTTTGGACAGCCGGAGAGCATGCGTGAGCTCGTACGCGGTAGAGTAAAAGCTCAGGAGAGCGAACGGCGTTGTTAAGACGAGCAGAGAGTGTATCAACGCAACGTAGTCCTGCGGGCGCACATATATCCCTTGCTGGTGTCATTTGAGGGGGGCGGGGGACGCACCAGGCAGTTATGGCTCAGGATGCCGACCATCTCGTCTCCGGCGCGGAGGCCGGCGCCGCCTTGCGCTGAGGGGGCGGACAGCGCGGCTGCTCCATCCCTGGCCCTGTCGAGGAACTGTCGCAGCGTCCGTCTATGCCCGGTCACAGAATCGATCTGCGCAGTGTACTCGGGCAAATCCTTGTCAAACAGATAACTGTGGACGTTGATGTCGGGCAGCGGCGGGAGCGGCGCGAACTTGGGCTGGATGTGCATCCCTCGCAGTGTAGAGCAGACTGGTTGCGGATAACATCGCGCTGCGTTATTATAAGTAGCTGAAGCGCAAAGCCGGGAATAAGTGTACCGTGTACCGGGCCCGCTGGCTGGAGAGTATGTCAGGTGAGAATCATGATCCCGAGCGCGAGCTTAGCGTTCCCAGCACACGCGACCGCGCTCTGCTCCCGTGCTCCTCGTCATCTTCTTTAGATCAGGGACGACTGCATACCCATCCCACGCACTTGCAGTAACTGCCCATCCAACTGGAGAATCCGAGGGGCCGCGCGCAGAGCCTATATAGCAGCGCAGGAACTGGAAATTTCGCCTTTCAAGCCAATGTAGTATCTACTGGGATACTTTGCGGATGTTATACATAATATCGGAGTGTCCTTCGAGGCGCGCTGGGCCGACCAGCAGATGCAGAGTAATCTGATATCCGTCAGGAGAAAGGCGCGTAAATAGCTCTGATTGTATCTCCAAATACTTGCGGGCCTTTTCTATGTCACGGTAATCGAATGACCATTGACAGCTGTGATCTCGGTGCGATTTATGGCGAATAATCAGATTAGATTCAGGCACTCTGGTCAATTGTGTATCATTCCCTGCCATGTTAGCGTCTATATCTGGCCGGTACCAGTGCAGCGCCCCAAACACACTGTGTGTGACCAGGAGCGGTGCTGGAGCTTCGTTTGAGCGAAGAGGCGCTCGTTGATCCTGCTGCTAGTCCAGTATCCCGTACACACCTACCGCGGACAAACGAACCTCCGTCAGAGGGAAGAAACTTGTCTGCTGGTTTATAAAACAGAGTCCATCCCTAGCAATATTAATCTTGTCTCGGAATGCGGGGCAGTGATAAAAATAGACCGATCAGCAGCACAGCACCGAGCGCTCCTAACTCGAAACATCAAATACCGTTGGGACGAAGCACCGAGCGCTGCAGCCAGCACGCAAACTATAAAGGCTGCAGATATCCGTTGCGACTCAGACACGATGATCATCGACCCGGTGACAATGGCAGAGAAATCTCTCAACCCTTTCCCGCAGCAGGAGTACTTTGGCCAGCCCTCGCCGTCGGGCGGCGACCCGTACGCCTCGCCAGCGACGAGCGTCTACGCGGACGGGCCCCCCGCATACGAACACATTGCCCATGGCGCGAGTCCAAGCAACGGGCAATGGCAAGGCGGCCCGCGTCCAGCCGACTATCACTACGGAGGGCCATCGTCCCGGCATTTACATCCCGGATACCCGCCAGCCCAGAATACGAATTCCCGCTCCCCCTCGCGCACTCCCTCGCCCCACCCGCCTAGGCCTGCCCCCCACGACAGACGCGCCCCGTCCCCTTCCTCCCCCGGCTTCTCGCTCTCCTCCATAACCAAGCTCTTCGCGGGGCCGTCCAACCCGCTCGACCCCCCGCCGCCCTGCTTCAGCCGCCCGCTCCCGCGCGCCGTCGTCTACGAGCCGTTCCCGGTGATGGCCACCTTCGGGCTGGGCAGGGAGATCGGCGACGGGTTCACGCAGCTCCCGCCGCCGAGCGCGGTGCAGCCGCACCCGTTCGCGACGCATGACGTCCAGGAGGCCGACTGGCTCCGGTGCGTGCTTCCTGCGCCGTCGGATCCCGTAATGAGTGGGTTGCTCACAGCGTGTCCGCGCTAGGTTCCTGGGCGACGTGAAGAAGGCCGGAGAGCTCACGACGGGCGAGAACATCACGTCCGCGGTCCTTCCCATGACTATGCATCTGGGGCTCACAGGTCAGTCCTCTGCGCGCCGTGCTCTACTACTGCTGATAGGCAACCCGCATAGGCATGCTCGTGTCGCGCGCCATCAAGAACGGGCAGATACGGCGAAAACAGGAACCCACGGGCAAACTCATCGACGTCTGGAACCACGTCAGTCCCCTCACCCCCTGGCACACACACATACATGCATACACTGACACGCACCACCAGTACTTCTTCCACCCGCGCCGGATGGAGGTCGTCCTCGCCAAGGGCGACATGCGCATCTCGGGGAACACCGAGACGGCGGTCCCGTCGCCGGACGCGCACCGGGGACACGTCAGCTCGGACGATTCGTCCAGCTCGTCGGACGAGGACCCAAGCACGCGCTCTGGTAGGCGCGGGGACAAGAAGGAGCGCCGCGCGCGGCGGCGCGAGCGGAAGGAGCGCAAGAAGCACGAGCGCGACGAGGAGCGCGCGGCGAGGCGGGCGAAGAAGAGGCAGCGCAAGGCGAATAAGAAGGAGGTGTACAGGTTGATCGTGGTGCCGGTTTGATAGTGAATCTCGGGACAGTTAGGGTCCTGCGCTGGACTGTACACTGAGCATTCTCCAGTGGACCATTGGCGCGAGTCATGCAGAATATGATCCTGGACGGGTCTCGCGTTGATTAGTGGCCACTCACTTGCCAAAAGTTCACGACGTCCTGCGACGCCCTGAAGCAAGCGTGAGGGGTCTCGGAGGGCTCCAATGATAAGGCGGACTTGCTCACTAATTGTATGGCAGGAGCCTTTGCCTGTGACACGCAGTCAAGGAGGGGCCCCATTACCTGACTTCGACTCCATACGCAGCACGCTAGACTCCCCAGGCGCCCTCTCCCGGGCTTAAATTTCCCCGTGAGTCCTAAAAGGCCTTTGTCGTGGGACTAGTGAGAGGTCGAGCTCGAGGTGGTAGCTGATCTGGCCTCAGCAAGTCCACCGACAGTCGTGATAAGAATGTGGAGGAAACCCACAGATCCGTCGTTTGCGCAAACAACGGATCTGTGGATTTCCACCAATGTCCCCTGTACAGCCGCGAGCCTTGCACATCTCAGCCCCCATACAGTACGTGCGCTGTACAATAGCTGTACGGACCATGACGTAGATCCACGATAAAAGTAGAACAAGGAGTACTACTGGCACCGCGTTGACACCTACTAGCCTTGAGATCAAATACCGCAGGGACGAAGCACCGCAGGCTATCATGCATCATGGCCATAGCCTCGCCAGAAACTATAAAGACGGTGGTTAGCGTCTACTCCCCAAACATTTACAAGCATGCCAGACAAATCCTCGAATCCATTCCGTCCCTCGCCCCAGTACCCGCCCCAGGAGTATCATCACCAACCCTCACCATTCTTGCCACCCCCGCAGGCACAGGGCATGGATCCCCGCGCCATACCAACGGGGAGCGCCTACTCGGATCGTCCTCCCTCTTACGAACGTGCTGCCCATGGCCGGAATCCAAATTACGAGGGGTGGCAGAGCGGGCCCGTCGACTATCACCGCGAAGGTGTCTCACCTCAGATGTCATATCCGCCATCCTATCCTCCAGCGCAGGAGAACGGCTTCCCCTCGCAGCAGGGGTACGACCCCTCGCCGCATCAACCTGGTCCTCAGGCCGCCCACGATTGGACTGGACAACCACCGCCCGAGCAGAGTCCAGGTTTCTCGCTCTCATCCATAACCAAGATCTTCTCGGGGTCGTCGTCCAACCCCCTCGACCCTCCGCCACCGTGTTTCAGCCGCCCGCCGCCGCACAACGTCTCCTACGAGCCGTTTCAAACGATGGTCTCGTACGGACTGGGCAAGGAGATCAGGGACGGGTTCACGCAGCTGCCGCCTCCGAGCATGCTGCAGCCGCATCCGTTCGCGAGTCATGACATCCAGGAAGATGACTGGCACAGGTGCGTACCATGCTATATCCAGCACCTAGTATGCCTTGGTGACGCTTCCTTCCTTCCTTCCCCCGTTTGCAGGTTCCTTTCCGACGTGAAGAAAGCCGGGGAGCTCTCCACGAGAGAGAACATCACGGCTGCTGTTCTTCCCCTAACTATGAACATAGGGCTTACAGGTGTGTGGCCTTCGCGCCGCTCCCACCGACTGTTGCACTGACGGACGCTCCCCAAGGCATGCTCGTATCAAAGGCAATCAAGAACGGACAAAGTCGCAGGAAGCAAGATCCTACGTCGAAACTCGTTGATGTGTGGAACCACGTCAGTAAACTCTGTCAACCGGGTGTATATCACATACTAACACGAGCACATCAACCAGTATTTCTTCCGCCCCCGCAGAATGGAGGTGATCCTGGCCAAAGGCGATATGCGCCTTTCGGGACACATGGAAGCGGGCGTCCTGCCGGACGCACACCGCGGACACACCAGTTCCGAGGATTCGCCCAGTTCTTCCGACGAAGAAACGAGAGGTCAAGGCCGCAGGTCAGACAGGCGCCCAAGAATGCGAGAGAGACGGCAGCGGCGGAGGAGTGAACGCGGTGAGGAACGAGGGACCAGGAGATCAAAGAGGAAGGAGCAGAGAACAAACAAAACCGAGGTTTACAGGCTTATAATAGTGCCGGCTTGATTAACCCTGTGGTAGCTATACTGAGCAGCAGTAAAGGGTTAGTCCGCTTTACCTGAGAAAGTGGAGGCAGCGAGAGGAGGATACCGAGGATGGATGATACAGTGGTATGTAAAGAGAAACGTACGAACCGTCCAGAGGCAGATGAAGCGAGGCCCACAAACTCGTAGCCGAATGGAACGACGCGAGGATCATTTCACAGCGGACTGCTTACCGCGCGAGCTGGGGTTAGGCTGGCATGGAGGAGCCTGGAATGGCGTAACCGAGAAATAAAAAGATCAATGTTCGTGTCATCATTAAGAATAACAATTATGAGTACAACAAACATGATACAACGGGTCACAGAAAACCGGATACACGCACAGAGACTATACAGTGTGTGTTATTCATTAGTAATATCTTTCTTCCTGTTAATCAGTCATAAGCCACATTAGGCCGTGAAGTCCTGTACAAAAGGGTGTCCGTCCAAATTCATGACGGTCATACTTGATGCGTCGCATTCATCCTGAAACCGCCGACAAAATCATTAATGCGGTGCTGGGGGATAGATATCAGTGGAAGCGTTGAATCAGCTTTCTGAACTTGACTAACGTAGCTCGACTGACCCGGGGCACTATATGTCGGCGAGGGTAGAGGGGGTAGCGACCGACTGCTGGCGGTCGAAGGCTAGAACGTACGGGTAGCAAATAATCGTCAACGCCAAGGGGTTCGAACTTCAGGCTCACTTCAGCGCAAAGACCGGACGTACATATTGATACTCGCTATATTGCGGCGGCGATAGCTCTCGGGCAACGGGCGAAGCTCCAGGGACGTATCTCATCATCCCAGGAGAACCATACCATGCTTCGCGGCCAGTCCGGGGCAGCGGAGGACTCCAGACTACCAGGGGCCCAGGATTAGCAGGCAATGCGGTCTCATCCAGGTAGCGGCGACGCCGGCGACGATTTATGAACCAGAGAAGGAGGAGACATAATAGAACAAAAATTATGCATCCTGACGTATGGCACAGCGAGAGTAAATCGACTCGAACTCGTGAATGTAAACTGCCCTGCTTACCGACGACTAATCCAATGAGACGTCCGCCGTAAAGACCTGGTCCGTGGCAGCCGTAAGTAGGTGAGCACGGGTACATCGTACGGCGTGCGGCCGAGTTGAGTGGTTGGGCTGCAAATCAGATACTTCAATCCTGAGCCGCAAACGTACCCCCAGAATTCAAGATGCAGAATTCAATGGTGGCGGCTAAAGTCCAAACTCTGGTCACTACTAGCAGCCGTTCTCGCCCAAGCATCGATGCACGGCTATCCGGAACCGTCGCGAAGCTTCCAGTCAAGCTGCCCGACTAAGCACAAAGCCAGCGAAGAGTCCGGATTCATGAAATTCACGACTGCCCGAGACGGAGGTGAAGTCCGTAGACTCTGCAAGAAAACTATATACGGTTTCCTTGACAGGTGACAGCGAGCGCTTGACGAGCATCCACTTACATAAGAGATCCAGTAAATGCAATAAATTATGTAGACTAGACTGGTATGATGGAACCCGGGATATCAGCGTGGATGGCGACACGAAGCACGCATACAGAGAGTGTAAGAAAAGAAAAATCCGTAATACTCCATAGCAAACACAACAACGCGTCCTATCAGGCATCTCCCCCAGTTCCATTAGCCGGCTTTGGCACCGAAGGAACAGGCGGCGCAGTGTCAGGCGCAGTGAAGAAACCCGCGGCCGTTACGCTCAAAGCCTCCACGCCCGCCCCAGCAGACTTGCGCATAGTGCCGCGACCGATCGATATCGATCCCTTCCTACCCACCGTTCCGACCGTTCCGCCCTTCTCGATGCTAATCATCGACTTGGCCTTCATAGTTCCGTAGGCGCTCGAAGTTCCGCTACCGGTTCCGTTGGCGCCCATGACGGTATGCATTGAGCGCGCTCCATTGCTGCCCTTCGATAGCGTACTCCGATGCCGAGGTTTGTACGCGCCAGTATTCCACGCAGTCGGCGGAGATGAAGATAAGCCGGCCTGGCTCGCGCTTGAGCTGGGCCCGATAGGCATCACCAGCATTTCGTCGTCGATGTCCTCCTCAAGATCTTGGGACAAGGGACGTGTAGCGCGTAGCGCCGGGGAGCCAGATGCAGATGATGAGGTAGTAGAATCGCCATGCGGCTGCTGTGGGGGTATTGCCTCGCTTCTATCCACTACCTCATCGAAGACTTCGTAGTAGCGCTGTACGCAGACCTTGACCACCATGCCCAGCGTAGCCTTTCCCTCCGAAAGAGCAGCAGGGTTGGAGGTCGGTGCTGGCGTCGGTGCATACATAGCCGGAGTACCGGGAACGGCGCACATCATGACATCACGAGCAGGATTTGAGCCTTTCACTAGGTTCGGAGTTATAACAACAGCGAGGTTGTGCGCATCCATGCGGTTGGAAGCGGCACGGAGAGACACCTCGTGAAGCAGATCTTGGCGCGCTATGGATCAGTCATACGCACCAACTCCCCATGAAATACCACTCACGAAATATATGGCTCAACAAAATATATACGCAATGCGGTAATTCTGGCAGCAGCATTTCCCGAATGTATATCACATCCGACACGTCCGCAGGATCCGAAGTTGGGAGGGGACATCGACGAACAAGGGGATAGACGCTTTCCGGGAAGACAGCATCTGGCAGATCGCGAAGGTATTTCTTGAGCAAGACTGCTGCTAAATGAGGGTCTCCGAACGTTTCCAACGATACCACATGGCCTGCGTCGAAGTCAGAGGGACACCCAAGACGTCAATGTAAAGCCGCTGCGACATTACCTCGATCATAGGCTTCCTTTACTTGCCTTAGAAGTACAGAGTTGGGCGACCGACGGAACAGCCCATCTTCATCCAGCCCTAGTTGAAATGCATAAGGACGTACAAGAGAGTCGGCGATCGTGACACGCACCGTTGTCTCGCAGATACTGTATACAATCCTTGACGACCCTCGGAATACCACCCTTCTCACCGTCGAAGCCCATCAACTCCTCCAAGGGTACTCCAAAGAGATCTGCGCGTGTCGGTACTGGCAGCCTGACTTCCTTCTCATGCTTCAAATTCTCCCTATAATCACATTCAGCTCGGGAGCGAGAAAAGCACTGAGACGTGTACTGACTGATAGACTGCTGGAGGGATATCAATCTGCGTTATTGGAACATGATATGCGAGGTCGGAAAGAGTATTCATGTACGCGATCTTGCGGAAGAACTTAGGGCTACGCAGGATATCAGCATACATCACAGTGGTTGAAGCAGACAGACTCACCTGACTACGGCACCAGCCAAGGAGAACAGCACTGGGGCGGCATGATAAGCGGGCGCCATGCTACAAACAACGCCTACTTACTCTTGGAGAAGAAAGTCGAATGGACGATATACTATTACGAGGTATGAGAAGGTGAAGTGCTACCGAGTTGGACGTGACAAACCAAACGCTTGAGGTTCTTCCTATATTTCCTACTCAAACTTCTATACGCCTTCCATACCCAGTTCCACCCTGGCGTATGTCTGCCGCCCGCGGCAAAGAAGACGACTGTGTAATCGGATTCAACTGACAGATGGCTGAGCCGATATGTTTATGTAGAATGAGATCCAGACGGACCGTATAGATTGAGGTACTCCAAGACTTGTCTATAGAGTATGTGTATATTTTGGTCGTTAAATAGCATAGTGAGAGGAATACGCACGTAAGAAGTAAGTCGTAGGAAACCTCCTGTGGATCAGGCAAAGCAGACGCATTCAAGACTACCCTAGTGACCGAACACGCTTCAATTTCCAGCATGAAGTACGCATTATATCACTGACATAGGTCGTGTCCTATGCCAAGATGAGCACCATGAGATTCAGCAAAATGGTTGCTGACATACTCGAAGTCCACTCCAGCTTGGAATATCATCCTGTTCATGACTTCCTGCATTCTATCATGATTGGTCTGCTCGGGCCTGATAGAACTATTGTTGAATCGTTTCGTCCATGACGGCGCATTCATATTCAAAAGCGTGCGGCGCCTCGGCGACTTGGGAGACATGAGGCTTTCGTTGGGAGAACTGGGAGAAGACGGAGATAAAGAAAGCGCGGTCAACCTCTGTTTGAGCGTCAGGTTTGGCGGAGCCATTGCGAGAGTATGGTGTCAACACTGAATGACGACCAAGCCGGTTGTAAGGTCCCCCGTCCTCGTCGAAAGCCAAAGTCCAGTACCAATGCCAGTGGTAAGGCGAAGTGAAAGACAAGCTTGAAGTGCAGAATCGCGAGCGCTTATTTCACGTGACCCTCGTCAATTTGTGGCAATTACAGTGCTGGCTGCAATGCAAGTACTTAAGTGTGGCAGACAATGCACGGGGGTACAGGGCGGTAATCTAGGGCACTCTCAGTCACAGTTGTGTCGAGGCATCAGATGCAAATATGAAGCAGCAATAGATAGTCAGGTGCGCCCCGTAGATAGCGGTACATCCGTGAACAACTACAAATATGAGATACAAATGCGACAGACTGCCAGACTATGTATGCAAGATCTCGAATGTCCTCTAATAGATAAATGATCGTGAGTGTCATGAAAGACCCAAATTCGTCAATGTCATGAACCGTACGGTCTTCCATACGGTGTTTGATGCGGCGCATCGTACGGGTTATAATACTGACCCGCGTTGTATCCAGGAGGACCGGGAGGCGGAGGTCCCGACACAACCTCCATCGCCATGGGAGGCGCAGGCGTTCCGAGGGGGGCGTATGTATTTTGGTTATTGAAGAACCCGCCAACTCTTGCTGCGACCGGAGCCCTAGCTGCTCTCCGGCGACGAATGTAAGAGATAACGCCGAGGATGAAAGCCAAGGCTAGCAACGCTAGGCCGATAGCCAGAAGAATGGTCCGCCATGGGGCGCGCCTGGTGTCGTTCGACGGGTTCGCTTCGCGATTCAACCGTACGCGGACAAAGTCGTTGTGCGCTTCTGCGGTGTCGTTCGTCGTCGGCAGCAGCTGGATATATGGGTCCGCGACGGCTGCGGCGGAGTCGTCCACGAAATCGCCAAAGTTAATCAAGATATAAACATTTCGTACTATGGATAGTCTATCAGTGGTCCATGTAGCACTGGCAGTTGCTGCAACTCACGGAAAGCCATCCCAAGGATCATATCATAGGATGGACTCTGGGCATCATCGGAAATCGGTTGGAACTGGGAACATGAGCGTCAAATAGAGTGCTGCAGAGAATAGGAACTCACAGTGCCCAAGCAACGAGAACTGTCCGACAAAGCGTCCGACATCGAGAGATCTAGCGGGTGTATGGGGATGCTAACACCAGAGAATTTGAAGGTCGCGTTCACTTCCGCAGTGCAGGGCAAGGTCCACGATTCACCGAGTCCACTGATGTTTTGTAGTCTCGCCCCGCTTATAGGACCATATATGCCTTGCGCAACGGCACTGTACAACGTACGTCAAAACAGCATCCCACCATTGCAACCCTTGTACGCACGCAGGTACCTGAGGCAAAGTGAACCCCGTATCGAACACCGCCGTGAGTTGTTTGGCATTGCTCGTAGTGTTCACGCCCGTAGTGACGGATATCACCTTTCCGTTGGAGCCAATAATCCCATCTGCGTCCACCAGGGTCTGCCAATGCTGGTCTCCAGTGTCATATATCGAAACCCTCGACACAGTAAGCTTCGGTTGGGACGAGATAACCTCGTATCCCGGCAAAATCTCTCCTACGGTAAGGTCTCCAGGGAAGGTGTCCGTCGGGTCATCCGAGCGCCCTAAAAGGACGGACAGGAAGTTCGGCGTGGAGGTGTTTTGTCGGAAGAGCCGGTCCAGGACGGCATCGCCCTGGTCTTCGCGATCCAATGCTTCGAATACTCTGGAGCCATTGTTCGGTCCGAGGCCTATTAAACCTGTGCCAGCAGGGTTGTCACTGCTGGGCGGGGCGAGAACTAGAGAGAGTCATGACTCATGACAGGCGGTGGGCAGTATTTGGACAGAGTTCTTACTGAAGGCTTGATCTTTCACCGTGTATCCCGCAAACTCTAACGTGGCGAGTTCAACAGGACCTGTGCGGTGGGAATCCGGTATAAGCTGTGGGGCCAAGTATACATGGTGGAGGACAGCGCACCTTCTATTGACCCCTTCACATAGGTTACTCCTGACGTCTTCCCGGTACTCGTGCTTTGCACTCCAGTCCCCGCAACCCATAAATCCGAGCTGGATCCCATAAGCTAAGCGCCAGTCATTGCAGCCGTCTGCGTGATACACACCTGCCGGTGTCGATGAGAACGGAGAATTGCTGCCCTCCCAGCGTGATGTTGGTGGTATATTGAATGTCACTTGAGTCATTTAGGGCTGACTGGCCGAAGATATTGCCCCTTCGGACGAGAGGACTGTCAGCTCTCAGATCCGGCTGTCTGCCGTGCATGTCGAGACGGAGCGCATACGCCAAGTCGTTAACCAGGGACCCAAGAAATATACAGCATAAGAGGGAAAGGGGGAGGGAAGTCATTACAGATACACGGGAGTCGACAGACAGACAAGGGCAAAGTTGTACGGTATATATTGATCCTCAATTGTGGCAGTACTAATGACAAGGGCGCCCCTGTAGCGCCCGGCTGTGCATCCTGTCAGTGTAAGTCAACATTGTGATGCAGAGCGCCGGCGTTGTTTGTAGAAGGAACCGGATCAGCAGCTGGACCGCCTGGGAGGGTTTCCTTTGCTTCAGCATTGCGACGCTAAACCCTACTACCTCATCTCAGAGCTGCACCAGGCCTATGGCCAGGGATAAGACAAAGTTGAGCAATCACTTCAAGTTGAAAAGCATGCGGGCATCTCGGGCTCGAGTCGCATTGAAGCCTACTCGGCAGTGCCCGCACCGCCAGTGTTACTTAGCGCGCGTTTATCAATATGATATCTCTGAATCTCCTATTATCCTGCGGTACAATACGCATACTGGACGGCAGCATAGAGGCAACGTAGAATATCTATGCATCGACCGTCGTCAGACAAAATGAGCTTTACCTAAATCCATGACCCACTGTCTTCAAACGGCTCATAAAAGCGTGGTTTCAGTAAGCGCGCCACAGCAGGACACTGTTCATCCGCATAACCGGACAACCGTAACCACCGGAAATGTTGAGGGAGGTCACTCACCGCCCAATTTGACACGCATTCGGATGCGGCGTACGCGAAGACGGTATGCCATGCTGACACGATTTACGGACTGTCCGCCGACAGGGTTCGATGTTAGTACCAAGTCAGTACAATGGCAAGGCGAGGCAGCGAGGGGCAACAGTAGAGGGCTGACTAGTCAAATCGTATTTGAACCGTCAAACCTCCATTGTGGCACTTTCCTCCTGATGCAGGTTTCGTCCTGCGTATCTCGGAATTCCAGTCTATTCGCAATTATGATCCTGATTATCCTGTCTCGACAGGAAATCCAAGGGGCTGAGGACGGCCACTGTTCCCCGCTAGGCTCAGGTGACTTGTAGTAGCAGCCGCGGCCACCTTCAACAGTAACACTCCTACCTGCGACGAGTCAGCCACACTCGTCGTGATGTCTTCACTTTTAGTGAACTCGTACCAAAATGCAGTGGTCGTCTCCTCCACATATAGGCTGTTTGTGCCGTGTCATAACAAGCTTTAGACCCAGGGGAGTCTCTTTCGCCCCCCAGCAGTAATACCGCGTCCGGAGGGTTCTAGACCGTCCTGAGGGTTCCGCCCAAGGAGAGTGGCTGAACTAATCCTTCTGGCTGAACAGGATTGTCTGCAGCAACGCGCCTCTGACGCTGAGAGCAAGCCGAGAGGATTCAAGTTGGAAGCTCGGAAAAAGGGCGGTCATTCTTGCCTATTCAAAATGTACCGTGCTCTCTACCATGCTGCGAGAGGGCGCATGGATGACTCTGGATTACTATCCCCGCAGCTTCAGAACTTGATGTACGTCGCGGTTACAGTCAAAATGTTCATCTCAGCGGGCCCGGGACTCATCCTCGCGCTTACCAGAGTTTGCGTTCGGAAACAGGCGCTCCAATGGCGTTCTGTGTGAAACTCTCGTTGATATCCTCGGACCCGTGCCTCGTCATCGGGACGGGTCGTACGGGGCCCCATTAGTCTAGGCTGATTGTGGCAGCCGACCCGCTAGACGGAGAGGGCGGCATCCTGATTGTCATGGTCACCGATAGGCAATGGCACAGGAACTGAAGCAAAGTTAAGAAGCTGAATGAAGGCTAACTGACCTGAATGTTACTTTCTGGCAGAGTTCGCGGTATGCATGGCCAGGGTGTTGTTTCGAACAGTGGCGCTGAGGACGTCAATTGCCCAGGCCGTCGAACAGACCCTGAAGATGGAGGATTGATCGGAAGTGCAAAGCGGCCCAATCAGGTGTCGGAGAGTGCTTACGTAAGCTCTTGGGAGCCCTGGAGGCAGTCCACGAGGAGACCGAACGCGATTAGTGCCTTGGCCTCCTCCTACTCGATGTATTCCGAGAAAGACGTGCAGCATCTGCGCAAGCTGGGCATCCCGCAGAAGATTGCGATATCGGCGCTGGAGGTGAATGTTATTCTATTTGCGCGTCGTGCCCGCCGTCGGCGACGTCGTTCAGAATAGAGCCGTTCTCACCGCTGAAACGATCTGTATTTCTGCCCGTAGAAGAAGAATGGGAATGTACAGGAAGCCGCTGCTTTTGTAGGTGTCTCTCATCACCTCTTGGCTCGGCGGGGTCGCACGGTCATAAATACCCGTCCGGCCTCTTCCAGTCCTTCCCGCTGCCCTTGACCCCGCGCTGACTTGACTTCTTTGCTGCCTTAGGCCTTATCTGGAGAGGCGAGCAAAGAGGTGAGCTAGACCACAACGTCTCTGCTTGTTCCAGGCATCTGTCTCTGCCACATCGTCCATGTCGGAGCGTGCCAAGGACAAGCCCAGCGCAAGCACGCGGAGGCTCAGCTGGAAAACGCTATCGACGGGGGCAGGCAGCAGCAGGGAGGCCAAGGAGTCTTGGACGCTGGTCAGTCCTCAAGAGGGCCAAGAGGTTACCACATTCGCCCAACCGCGTCACTCCTACACCGCTCCCTCTACACCCTCTGCATCCTCCCATACGTCCCGGTCCGCCGGCTCGTCCCCGACGTCCTCGCGATCTGCCACTCCGCTGCCCTCTTCCAAGCCTCTCCAAAAGCGCTGGTCCTCCTCTTCGCACGTACTGACGCGTCATTCATTATCACAGCTCGAGCAGGAAGCCTCCCAGCTCCTCCTCAATGCCCTCGAGCGCACAAACTCACTCCAGGATGGCAAGCCGTCCAAGTCCAGCTCCACTGGCTCTTTCGGCCGCATGTCCCTCAGCTCGATGATGGGCGGCCTGTCCGCGCTCTCCCTCACACGCAGCAGTACCGACGACAAGGAGCGCGGTAGGTCGCTCCAGAAGGACAAGGGCAAGGCCCGTTCCAGCTCCGTGTCTGGGTCGGCCAGCATCGATGACATTACGGACTCAGAAAGCAGCAGCATTCGCGCGCGCAGCCAGTCCCCGTTCCGCCTCCGCCGGACCCGAGCACGCGACCCCTCGCCCGCGGTATGTGCGCTCACGCACTCTGATGCGGAGTCTGACACCGAGTCGACGGGTCGGGGCGTCAGGCCGCGCACGGCTTTCGTCTCCCCCACCTCCGACGAGGAATCCGGGTCCGAGACGGAGATTGACAACGACTCAGACGACTCCTGGGGCGAGGAAGACCACTTCGATTTCGAGACAGAGCGCAATACAGAGAGAAACGCCTTGATACCCGCCGACCGCGGCGACGCCGCCATGGAGGAGTTTCCAGATCCGCTCGGGGAAGGTGTCAATGTCGTGGTGCCACCCGAGCCTTACTTTCCCAGCACGCTCAACCCAAGCAGCTCAAGGCGCAAGAACTCGAAGAAGCATCACGACTTGCTCCCACTCCAGACTTCGCGGCCGATCTTCCAGAGAGACCGATGTACGATCACCATTACGCACGGTGATCCGGCACGCGCGTTGGAGGAGAATGGCCGCAGACCACGCAGATATGTTGTTGCCAGTGATCTCAGTGAAGAGAGTCGATACGCAGTGGAATGGGGTATCGGGACAGTACTGAGAGATGGCGATGAGATGTACGGGTTCCGGTTATGGATTCGGTTGCTATATATGCTGATTTCTTTGACAGGCTGCTTGTCACAGTCGTCGAGAACGAAAGCAAAGGTCGCGCTGTTCGTCTGCTATATATCCAGGTCACACTAACATGATCCACTAGTTGATCCGGCGGTAGCGAATGCTGTAGACAGGGCCATGAAATTGCGAAATCAGCAAGAAGTATGCACCTTCCCAGTCACTGGAATCACTATGATTGACCATTCTATCCCAGCGTCAAGCCCTCGCCTACATCCTCGTCCGTCAAGTTACAGGGCTCCTACAGCGGACACGCCTCAATGTTACCGTGGCTTGCCAAGCGTGGCATGCAAAGAACCATCGGCATATGTTACTCGGTCGGTATTGACGTCGTCTTTCAATCCCTTTACGTCCAGCATCTGACACCAACTTATATATAGACATTGTTGATTATTTCCAGCCATCTATGATGATCGTTGGTTCCCGAGGGTTGGGCCAGCTAAAGGGGTATGTCTTTGAGTGCACAGCTTCTCCATGATCTCATATAGTTGCGTCTAGTATATTACTGGGTTCTACCTCGCATTACCTTATTCAGGTGAGAGTGGTTCGCGTCTTTCCATTGCATGTGCCCTGAATTATGTTCGCTATCAGAAATGCTCTGTACCTGTCATGGTAAACCATCTTTCTACTCTCTTATTTGAATCCCCAACTGAGCATAATTCTGCAGGTTGCGCGCCGTAGATTGAAACGTCCTCCAAGGAAGTTCGCGCACCTCGCCCCCCACCGAGCGCGTGTCTCACTGGCCCAGGCCGGTATCGATCGTGTCGCACCCAAAGTGGATCACGACGTTCAGGTTATGCGCGACGAAATCCAGAGAGACGATGAGAGCAGGGGGGATGAGGTCCAGGATGACGAACCGGAAACGGAGATCGAGGGTGATAGCAATGACCTGCCGGCTCGGAAGGTGGCAGGCGAGTAATCGATAAACGTAGGGGGACGGGAGGACAATATAAGACAAAGTTGTAGGATTATCTAGAATACAGTCCGCACTCCTAATTATAACTCCGGGCACATTCGAGGTCAATCCCGTTCGGAGGTGACAGCACAGAGCACCGATAGGCCGCGATGGATTACTAGGATCATTTCATCCCATATACTTCATTAATCCTGCTTGCGGTCTGAGCCTGTGTCAAGCTTGGAGGTGGGCACCAGTTTCGACTCCGGATTCACTTCCCCGGTTGCAGATTCAAAGTCCGGCGCGAGGTTGACGACATGAGGTTGTACGGTAAGGTGTGGAACTGGTGCTTTGCCAGAGCTTGCATATTCGAGGCCAGGAGCGGCATCGAGTCGATACAAGTCAGGTGTCGGGCTGGCGCCTGAGGCAACATTGGAGGAACGATCGGAGGATAGCTGGCCTTCGTGACTAGAAGGAGGGGAGGACACTTCAGACCGCGTGGCGCCCTCCGCACCGTCGCCAATGTCATCCGCTGGGGCAAACCTGGGCAATGGTTCGTATGGTTCGTAATCTCCGAATACAACCTTAGGCTTCCCGTGCGCAGCCAATTCCATCCGCTCCAGGTCTTCCTTTCCGGCTCTTGCGACCTTACGTAACATTTGGACGAACCTGTCCGGCTCGGTGAAGAACGATGGATTAAAGGGAGCCTTATCCTGGCCGGAGGCTTGTTCCCCGCCGAAAAACATGTTATTCCACCGGTCTTCCATTTCCCCCATGTCCAGTCCGGAGGGGAGGCTATGGGCTCGGAACATCCTTTCTCGTGCAGCGTCCCTATTGCGCCGTACTGTTTCATCAGGCAATGCCATATGTGATATGGAATAACGAATCGACCCTGTGGACAGGATCAGTGCCGCATTTCGTATCTTGATTTTGGATTCCCTTACAAGACTTGGCTGTCGGTCCGACTGCTATTGCATTGGGGCCTGACTCATGGATACCATCGATGACATTCCGCGCGGTAACATCGAGCTGGACGATGGGAGCAGGGCCATCCTGTTCTTCATTCCAACCCGCTGGTTGCACCCAGATATTGAGAACACCCTTGCCTTCTTGTGCTTCTAGCATCAACTCGACAGACTAGACAAAATAGACATAGTGAGTCGAAGCCATCAATATTAAGTAGACAATCAATACCTGATTGGGGAAACAACGCGTAACCTCCGGTAGAACTACTTCAAGCAACGAGACGCATCTCTCGAAAACGCGTTCACCCCTTCCCGGCGCGCCGTATAACCGCTCTTCCATATCCTCAAGGGGCATATACTGGAAACCAAAAATACGAGCGGTGTTATGGTATGCAACCAGGATACCATCCATGTTGCCGATCCTAGCTTGGTAGCTAAGGAGCGTTATTACCAATCGTCATGAGTAAGAATTACCACAAATGCCTTACCTGTACTTCAGAAATGCGGAACGAACAAGGTCGTAATACTCCTTCTCAAAGCTTTCGCGTGGCCCCAATATGCTACGGATCATGTAACCAGAATTCTCCTAGGCACTGCCATGGTAAACAGCATCCCAATGTGCGGAAATAACACATACCTCGTAGTTATACCGATCCATACGGATAGGTAGTACGGCTCGAGTCTTCAGGTCAAACACGCCTGTACCAGGAAGCCTCTTGTCCACACAGTCGAGCTGCGACCGCATCACCATTCTTCTCGACTATGAAACATAACAGGTCATTCTCTAGATACCCAAAATTTTTTAAGCCGAGACTCGCCTTAGAGTAACGGTAGGCCTCTCGACGGTCGTCAGGGTCCTCCTCATGCTGCGGCGTGATCGAGCGAAGGTATTTTTTGAATTCAGAAGGACTGGCAGTCAAGAACTTTTCCAGCATATGTCCCTTTATGGTCGTAATCCGTGTAAGTGACTCTATAAACACACCGTAAACAAGAACATACCAGCCAAGTTAAGATATTGGTTTCACTCTGACCCGGGAAAGGTGACAGAGAATCGATTGTATACCTCCCATCTCGATGGTTCAACATGACACTAGCAGGCATTCGTTGCCCCGGAGTGAATGTAGCAGGCTGCACGGGTGGAAATAGCAGGTCATCAGTGACGATGAAAGTGAGATAAGATACCCAAATATACGGACAGCATTTGAGAAAGCCCTGCTGCAAGTGGACAAATCAACCTCCCGGTCTCCTGATATCAGGAAGTATATGTGACTCAGGAGTCCGGTCAAAGAGGAGGTAGATCCAGCAAAGCCTCGGTCCTCACGGCGCGCTAGACCCCATAGATCCTATAGCCAGGTATAGTTCAGAGGACTTTCACGAGCATATGAGATTCTACCCTACCTCATCCCTGGAACTCTTCACAAACCCCGTGATGCGCTCGAACGCAAAATCCTTTACGTTGGGTATATTCTGCAGCCAGGGTGTAAAATTATAGACTTGCGACCTAGGTTCCTGCAGCCAGTGAACGCCTGGACTAAGGGAATCGAACGTATGAGCAACTATGCCGACGATTGAAGACTGACATACTCGAACAACACTCTATCGAGCCCGTGTGCCAACTTTGCAATGGGTCGCTGCTGCGATATTGGCTCCAAGTCTAAATCCTCCTCCATCAGGAACCACTTCACCTGTGACGTTCATAATAGTACCTGCAAGAACATCTCCGTTTATTGGTGTCAAGGTGTCTTCTATACGGCGGATATATGAAGTATGAGTGGGCGCGCTACCCGGCTCAGGCTTCTGATGAGACGGTTTATCACGCTCAAATCTACGATCCCCAGTGGGCGGTCTAAACACGTCCCAAGGCGCGGTTTTGTCATCCCTACTGGCGGACGCGGAGCTTCGGGATCGTTTGGACGTGCGTTTGCGAGTGGACTTTTTCTCCCTGGGGAATGCCTCAGATGAAGCCGATTTCTTCCTCCTTGGGCGTGCCTTAGATAGAGATTTAGCGACCGCGTCTGGACACCGCACTGGGAAGGACAATGCAGACGGAGAATATCGAACTCACTTCACTTACGTTACCTCCATACTCCGTCTGGCGCTCTGTGATGATACTAGCAAGAGCCTGCTTCAAAGTAGCGGCAGGATCCTCCCCGCGGCGTTTCCTTGATGGCGCCTTACGTTCCTTGCTTCGACGAGCAGTACTCTTCAAGTAAGGGGACTCATTCTTTGCCCCAGTTTCAGGTGCCTCTGCCTGGCCAGACTGGCTGTTTGTGGAATGCAGCCCACGCTTTGGGAGCTGGGTCAATGAGCCTTGGGGACGTGCAGGGAACGCATGGACGGCAGCTCGTAATCGTGTTGTCTGGCATAACCGGCGCGTGTACATAAAGACGATATCGCGCCGAGGACGGTCCTAGCTCGCAGCTTGGTTAGCAGAGACGTTACAAGCAGAAAGCAGGACTTGGGTTCTGCCAGACAGAAGATCGAGCACATATACCAGTTTCCTAAAGTGGAACACTACGTCGGGTCAGGTGATCGCGGTATCAGTGGCTGCACATTCACAAGCTACAGCGTACACTTCTTGGCTGTTTCGAGCCTTCTGCACGGAGCTCTATCCATGGTCTCACTGTTTTCGTCGCTTTTGCAATGGTTCAGCGGGTATGCTTACTTGGATCTCTGGGCGGCTCCGTGGGCTCACACATTCGTCCGCAGCCTCTTCTTCTCCAAGCATGCTGAAATATCCGTAGTCGGACTGCAGGTCATTAGCTGCAGTCTCACAACGATAGACTGCACTCTAACCCGATCATGAAAGGCTTCAGGGAAAACATCATTTGTGAACGTCATTGGAAGCGGTCAGGTACTTGCGGATCTTCGTCCGTACCCATGACTGTTAATCTGACAGTAAACAGTGGAGCGAGGAGGTTGTACCCACAGTTGCATTCAACTTCAGGAAGATCAAGAAGGGAAACGTCACGCTGAAAGTCTGGGACGTCGCTGGTGCGTCTGGCCTATTGCTCGCCGCGTGATCTTCCAGTCACACTTGCTGCAGGGCAACCCAGATATCGTTCATTATGGGAGAGATATTGCAGTGGAGTTGACGCTATAGTGTAAGCTCAGCTGTGTATGCCGGCTCGCCATATTAACTTGCTGCTTAGTTTTGTTGTCGACGCCAGTGATGTGAGCTCCATGTCCCACCACCATCCTTTTATCAGCTGAAGTATCTCGTCGACTCGCAGAAGGACAAGTTTGAAACGGCAAGATTTGAGTTGCATAACTTACTTTCTCAGCCTTCGCTCCAGGGCGTGCCCTTGCTCGTGGTACGTTAACACATATCTGTAGTTCAAGTGGATGTCAATCCCGCATCTTCAGCTCGGGAATAAGAATGATATACCGGGACATGCCACGGTCAATGAACTGATAAAGTCTCTGTACGAATGCTTTGCAAGTTCTTGATGTGTGCTCTAACTGACGCATGTGCTAGGCAACTGGATAAGATCCAGGGCAGACCCGTTTCGGTACGTCCCGTCCGATGTCTTGTGCACTATGAAGGGATTCTTACGCCAGCATGTTTTCCAGTGTTACTCAGCAAGTGCTACATTGCTTCCACCTGTCTATCAATGATACTAATCGTCATACAGTGTTCTATGAAGAGCCAACATAATTTGTAGGTGGCTGTAGTTGGCGCTGCATCATGTTACTTAAGAAATAACAGGGATATCGTCCTGCAGTGGCTCTCGGGCAGGGGACACTGATCCGCTCGCACGTCCTCACCATCATAGACGCTGGCATTGTACTCGTTTATTTATTCGCACTGTATCATTTACCATCTTGGCTGATGCATGCCCGTCATGAAGAAAACTCTGGATTCAATGGTAGCAATCTCATCTCACGATGTCAGGTGTATAACCACGACGCATAACATGACAGGACCGGTACAGCAGTCTATCAGAAAAGTGTGTCCTGCTAATCCGTTTCCATCCTGTCTTCACCGCGGCTTTGCTCCTGGATAGCTCGCAAGAACGCTTCCACGCCCGTACCGGCCTCCTCAGGCAGTCCTAGACCTCTCACCAGTCCGCCAAGCATACCAGTCCGCAGTGCCTGATCAAAATTGCGCACGGCACCTCTGAATTGCGGGGACGTGATAATCTGTTGCAAGACTTCTGCTGAAGGAGGCGTTGGTAAGTCCGGCGGGAGGTGAGGGAAGAGGGCGGGTATGAGATCAGGATGGGAGGTGAAAAGAGGGAGGACGTTTTCGGGTGTCAGGATGTCATTGAGTGAAAGCTCTGGAAATGCTGAAAACATCAGCGTTCAATTCCGGTGCCGCCTTGTAGACCGTACGGACCTGGCTCCTGCGACGTGTTACCAGCCATGGACTGTACTAATGTGCGCAATTGGGCTAATTGTTCAGGCGTGGTACCGGCGGGCGCAGCGGCTCTTGTAGATCTATATCAGGCTAGTTGTTCGAGCTCAGTGACTTCAGGCATGCATGAGATAGAACGTACGGGCCAGTTTGGGAGGTAGAAGCTTGAGGCTGCGATGTGCTAGCAGTCTGCCAGACGGGAATACGATCCGGGTCTTGCAGGACCATGTTCAAGTTGTTCACGAATTCCTCGTCACGATTGGTAGACGCGTCCTGGGTTCACCGCGTCAAGCATATTGGACGGTGGCTGGGTGATTAATATTTACCTGCATCCAAAACTAGAACGTGTCAGTATCCAGCGCGTTTCCGCTGTGAATCGTTCAGCTCACAAAGTGCCTTTGATTCGATGAAGAGAACTTGAGGACATATGTCCGGCCTCCCGGTGCCTGGGGTATCTTCACGAATGATGCATCTCCAGGGAACAGGATCAAGTCCTACAAGTCGGGCTTGTCAAAAGGATCTCCACAGCGTAAAGTCACACGTACCTCCTCCAATTCACCCGTCGACCGGTTCTTCCAGATGAAATGTAAGAGCTCATCCTCCCCCTTCTGCAGGATGATCGCGCCCTTTTCGGGGCTATGGTCCACAAAGTTAGTACCCTCCCTTCGGAATGCGCGACCCGCTTTGAATGCGAGTATTGTTGCAGGAGCGGCGGACATCGCGTTGCACTTGGATAGTGGCTGAGCTTGGCTGAGGTGAATGACGCGTACACGCGTTTGCCTTGAAGAGGGTGGCTGTGCAGCGCCTATCTAACAAGTTCTTTCATGTCCTTTGCTGGTTTCGAGGACGATATTGGCGGATGGGGAGCCCCTGTGGAATTACCCACCACTGGTGACATTGTCAAAGATGCTATGAGGAAAGAGCAAGTGATCAAGTGCGCATTATCCCAGTTGGATAGCTTCGAGTTCGGATGACAGAACTCGGTGACAGGGAGATAACGGCAGCGCAGGAGGATTTGAGAGGTGCGTTAGCGACATGACTATTTCATCTATGCGAGTCTTCAGCGTCGTTTGTTTCGTATGTAGCCCTGCTGTCTCGTGTGAAGAGCGTCCAGGCCGACGTAGACAAACTGGCGTCTGGGAATGCTACACTACAGACATACATCGACAACCTGACACTGCAGATGGCAAAACGACGGTGACTTCGTTGCCTCTGCGCATGCAACGTTCCGGCGTCTAGGGCGGACTGCGCATAGTATGTACGTGTACTGTTTAAGGACGTGATCCAGATGTACTGGGGAGGATGTCGTCCTGATGTATGTAACCTGTCCTGCTCAGGCTAGAAATGCGGTACCAGCCTCAGTTGATATACCTGAAGTTTGAGACAGACCTGCCGCGAGGAAATTTGTCGGGCAGGATAGGGTCCTCAGGCTGCCGCAGATGCCATCCATTCTCAGTGCCTCCACTACAGTATAAGAGGGTGACTGACCAACAACGCCGACAGACCGTCGGAGGCGAGAGTAACGCCTCGCTCTTCGCACATGTGCTGCAAAAGCGGCCATTCCTCGTACCCGCGTATATCCTGGTCCCCTGTCACAAGCCACAGTGCAGGGAGGGTCGGTATGACTTCTAGTATAGGCCTTAGAGCGTGTTTTGGAGTCTTCTCCCAAAATGGCGTGCGGAAGCTGAGATGTTCCACTGATGGTGGGAGGTCCAGATCCCGGACACTTGCGAGTTTGTACAACACAACTTCCTGCAGGTTGCTGCAGGCTCGGACCAGGGCAGCTGTACGTTTGCCGTAATCAAAGAAGCGGATAGAACGGATTCGGGGTCCGTGTCGGGAGAGGGTATTCACGAGATCTGGTCCAGGCAGCTCGCGTAGGGTCAAGATTTGGAGGGAAGCCTCTGAACGGGTCAGGAACCAGGTCGTAATCTCCTGCGGTACATTCCGACTCAACGTTAGCTCGTATAGAGAGAATCCGGGTGGCTCATCGGGAGGTGAAGCGATGAGCTCCGAGCTGAGGTGGAGAAACTTCACTGAGGGCCACACTGCGAGCAGTTGGTAGATGATGGGCGACTGCACCCCTACTCCTATGGGACGAAGCGCACGGACGTGAGGTCCAGTAGACTGGCATAGTTCCATGAGCTGTGCGAGAACGGTCTCTTCGAAGGCATACATGCCCACTGGCGTGAAGTTTAGTTCGTATAGATTTGGACAGTCGCGGAGGATGGTCACAAACACCGCAGGAGTATGCCACTCGGGTGAGGGGCCAACCCATATATCGAGGCGACGAACGTAGCCTCCCAACCGTCTACCGCGCTCTGTGGACGGATCTAAAGCCTCGCGGAACGCCCGACTTTTGCAGTTATCGGACCCGCTGCAGTCATCGGGTAAGGGCACGTTGTGGAACATCAATTTCTGTGCTGCAGTAGTCCACAGGCTGTGAACTAAGGTGCATGCTGCAAGGGTAGGAAAATCCACGCGCCCGTCTGACTTGTAGTACAAGCAGGATAGGATTTCGAAGATCAACTCGGGAGGTAGTAGCAGCACCTGAGAGGCAAGTATCAAGATATATGTTTCTTAAGCTGTGTGTTCCACCCACCGATGCAGCGCTTTGTGATGGGAGTTGGAGCCCTCCCGGCTTGGAATCGCAGTCACAATTCATCCTATGATAGGACGATGAGATAATAATTAATATTTTTTGTCTCCAAAATTGTTCCTATGACCACAGAGTAGCCGTAGAGCTCACGGGCTGCAAGATTTGCCCGTAGTGTAGAAATTGTATGCGATTCAGAAGAAGGTGCGTCGGCCAACGCGCGTGACACTCCCCTTCACGTGCCTGTGACGCGTCTCGTCACGATCTTTCTAAATCGGCGCTCATCGCGTTTCTCCGCCACACCTGGCATTGCAATTCTCTCTCTCATAACTCATGGCTTGCCTGAACAAGCTTGCAATTCGTGGAATAAGGTCGTTTGACGATAAACAGATATCAGTCATTGAGTTCTTCACTCCAGTGACTGTGATCGTCGGGCCAAATGGATCAGGAAAGACTACGGTTATTGAGTGTCTCAAGTATGCGACGACGGGAGACCAACCTCCGAATACTCGTGGCGGCGCCTTTGTGCACGACCCTAAGATGGCGAATGAGAAGGAGGTCAAGGCTCAAGTGAAGTTACGTTTCAATGCGGCGAACGGGACACGTATGCTGGCTGTGCGCAACCTCTCAGTGACTATGAAGAAGAACAACACTATGACTATGAAGACACTTGAGAGTATTCTAGCTTTGGCGGACAGCAGTGCGGAAAAGGGTGGGAAGGTGAGTAGGCCCTAGTACTCCGACAGCGACTCTACTGACACTGAACACTCCCTTGGCACTCCACAGAGAGGCGTCATATCAACCAAGTGCGCTGAGATTGATACCGAGATACCTCATCTCTTGGGTGTTTCCAAAGCTGTCCTTGAGAACGTCATTTTCTGCCACCAAGAGGATTCGTACTGGCCACTTGCAGAGCCCTCAATTCTGAAGAAAAAATTCGATGATATCTTCGAGGCCACAAGGTGGTGTAGTTCACCACAACCATTGGAATTCCTTGTTAAGCATATGGGCGTAGATATACCAAGGCGCTCGACGCTATCAAAGCTCTGCGTAAGGAACGTGTGGCCGAGTTGAAGGCTGAGAAGGAGCGACTTGAGTCTTTGTCAAAGGAGAAAGCTCACGCCGATAGGCTGAAGTCTCGTCTATCAGACTTGACCGCCAACATCGCGTCCAAGGAGATAGAGTACGACCGGACAAAGAAAGAGTATGAGCAGCTTGTCCTCGCGAACAAGAAATTCTACGACTACGCCACTCAGTTCCGAGAATTGTACCTCAAGATTGAAAATCTGGAGCAGAACAGAGACCGATACAAGAGTGAATTGGAAGCCGCGAAGGAGAACGTACGAGAAGTCGAAGGTCTGTTATATACATCCCTGCCGTTTGCTGTTTATCGAAATGGCTTGTAGGTACCGAGGAGGAGCTGCAAGCCCGCCTGAACACGTTCGCCGACCATATAGCGCAGCAAAAGGAGCGGGCTAAGCAGGAAGAAATTAAACGGCAAGACCTTGAGGAGGAACTCGCGGCCGCGAGAAAAGCGCATGTGCAGCTCATCAGCCAGCAAGGTAGCCTTGTCGCTGAGCAGAGAGTGTGTCTCCATCCCGTTGTCCATGTTAGCTGTATTACTAACTTCGAGAAGGCGCAAGAACAACGTCTAGCCGATCGCGAGGAGCTCGTACGTGAGCTTAGCACCAAGTACGAGCTGAAGGGCTTCGACTACTCTCCCCTGGAAAAGGAAAAGGTGGCGGAATTTACTTCGCGACTAAGTGACCTCCTGAGGCGAGAGACCATGGAGGCCGAGAAGATCCAGGTAATGTCAACCATATTCGAATGTTGCGTGATCTTATTGTGAATTGTACAGGAAGAGGCGAATACTAGGAACAAGGAGTATCAGGAGCGATCACGGCAGCTGCACGCAGACTTGGAGCGCCTCAGACAGATGAAGGCTACCTTGCGTAATCAGATCGTATGTTACCCTTGCGCTTGCTTGCATCCGAGTGGTTCTGACACCCTCGATAGTCAACCCTTCAAGCTTCAATAGCCAGCAATGAATCGCAGCTCGACGCTTCTCAGACCATCAATGCTGAACTCCGCGGTTTGTCCACTGACATGGAAGAGAAGAAGACTCGCCTAGAAAAGCTGAAGGCTGACATCAAGAGCAACAATTATGATGAACGTGTAGCGGAGAAGTCGACAAAGATTCGCAGTATGGAGGACCAGAAGGAGGCTCTGAGTCAAGAATTGAGGTCATTGAGTCTGCAAGCAGACATGCGAGCACGACTAGATATCAAGAGGACCGAAGAAAAGAGCAAGGCGGCTGAAGTCCGCAATATGTGGGTGTCTCTATCTTCCTATGATAGAACTGGGGCTGATGTTAGCTCCTCCTAGTCTGGAGTCCCATAATGCCAAATTCAGAGCCCTCACTGGTGCCGATGCAAATGCTGCTACTATGGAGCGAGAGCTTGAGCGAGCATCTATGTACGTATCTATGCCCAGATATGTCCACAGGGTTAACAAGGCGCCGCACAGCGAGAAGGACCGAGAGCTCATAGAGCTCGAAACACAACATAATGCCGCGAATAGGGATCTCCAGCAAGCCCAAACAACTCTCTCCACTCTTAAGGTTCAGCTGAAGACGAAACGCGACGAGGTGAAAGGTATGCAAGTCAAAATATTCTCAGGCCTATATCACGAACTTGTCTAGTCCTGGAGAAGAAGTTGAAGGAGGGCCTGGATTTACATGATAGCGTGGATGCCGCCATCAAAGAAGCCACCATTGAGCTCAACATGCGAAAGGAGTTCGTACATGATATAATGTGTTCTTAGGGTGACTCACCATGAGTGCCATGTAGGACCGGTGGGACATTAACCGCCACGAGTCAAGTCTGGGAGATGTTCCTCAAGACCGGAAAGACGAAGAAGGTGTGCAAGGCCTGCAACCGTGGCTTGGGAGAGCATGAGCTGCCCGGTTTCGAATCATACGTAAGTTTGCCCACTATCAGGGTGCATATGACTCTGTACGTTGCACATCAGGTCAAAGAGCAGATGAAGAAGACGTCCGCTCAGGCCATTGCACAAAATGAGGATGAAATGAAGGAATGGGAGGAGGAGCTTGCAAAACTCCAAGAGTTAGCCCCTGTGGAGGCCTCTAAGAATCGGCTGAAGAATACGGAAATTCCGGATATAGAGAGCCAGATTAAGGACTTAGAGTCTAAGATTCCGGATCTGAGTGAGAAGGTTGACAGAGTGAGTACAAGGAGCCCGGAGCCATGAGTGTATAACTCATGTCCGCAGGCTTCGTCTCTGTTACGGGAGGCCAAAAAAGATATCAAGGATATCTCTATCATGAAGCAGCATGCCAGTCAAGTGTCAAGGAACCAGAGAGATATCGAACGGCTCAAGCAGGAGATAAGCGAGATAGAGACCAATCTCTCGGCTACAGGATCCACGAAGACCGCTGACGATGTGCAGCTTGAACTTGACACGATAGCGGGGGGCATGTACGTGGAAACCGGACCTCTGTAAATATCGAGCTGAACTGAATTATTCAGTCGTGCGCAAGAGCGAGAGAAGCAAGCCTTATCGACCGAGAAAGAGCGTCAGATTACTGCTTTGCGAACTCACGAGAATGAATTGCACTCCATGCAGCTGCGCGAGAAGGACCTGCAGAACGAACTCAAGGACAAGGAAGCCCTGGAAGCACGGACGGAGGGCATGCGTAAGGAGATGGCAGAAGCAACTGCACGCCTGAAGGTGACATCAGTGGCTTTAAATGTTGAATATGTCTCTAAGCTTATTTAACCAGGAAATGGACGGCAAGATTGCTGAGGCTCAAGCACCCATCTCTCAGCTCGAAGCGGAGTATCAGGAAGTTCAGAGTGGCCTGAATGCTAAGTTATCAAGAGCTCAGCGAGCGACTCAGGATCTGAACAAGGGCGTTGATGCTCTTGAGATGATCAATAAAACCATTGACCGGTACGTGGCCATTACACGCCTGAGGAACACCGGGAAAGTTTCATGAATATAACAGTTATATACGAGACAAGCGAGGTCGGCAGCTGAAGGATTGTGAGGAGAAGATTGAGAACTATCAGGCGGAGATTCAGGAACTTGGTCTTGCTATCGAGAAGGTCAGAGACGCGATCAGCGCCGTTGACAGGGAAATCAGCGATGCCGCGGCCTCTATGGCAAACCTACGCGAGAACGTCAGAATTCGCAAGTTGATGAGGCAAATTGATGAGACACAGGCCGAAATCGACTCCTACGATATGGAGGCCGTTGCTAAGTCTCGGCGTAATTTCGACGACAAGTACGCGGCAGAGAAGGAAAGGGAGACGGAAATGCAAAGCAAGGTCGGTGACTCGTCTATGCCGCATATGCGCGCCTGACAATTGTCGGCATTAAGTATGCACACCTTGGTGGAGAGCTGAGCTCCCAGAGAGCGCAATTGAATCAACTCGAAAGCGATTTGAAGGATTTCAAGGACATCAATAAGAGATATACCGACCAGCTTATCAAAGTCAAGGTAGTTTTCGCAAACAAATCCAATCGCTCTTGCTTAACGTACTTGCAGATGTCAGATATGGCTAACAGCGATCTGGAGAAGTACGCTAAGGCATTGGACAAGTAAGAAGCCACCTTGAACGCCATTGCGATGTCACTGACACACGGTAGTGCGATTATGAAGTACCATTCGCTGAAGATGGAGGAAGTCAACGATACCATGCGCCACCTATGGAATAAGACATATCAGGGCACAGGTACGTGAATAGTTCAATACTGGGCCGCGAAGTGCCTAACCATTGTTAAGATATCGATGGTATTAAGATCCGATCTGAGAGTGAGGGCAATGCTAGTTCTACCAGCAGGAAATCCTACAATTACCGAGTAAGCGTTGGTACCTGGTCAGCTGCATGGAACACTCAACAGCTCTACTTAGGTCGTCATGACTAAGGATCAAGTGGAAATGGACATGCGTGGACGGTGTTCTGCTGGTCAGAAGATGCTTGCCTCCATCATCATAAGGCTTGCGCTATCTGATTCTTTTGGTCAAAATTGTGGCATTCTGGCCCTTGACGAGCCCACCAATGCCTTGGACGTGGAGAACATCGATGCGTTGGCTGCTAGCCTGGTCGAGTATGATCCATTCCATATATCTAACGTTCCTTCGTTTACGCGATCACAACAGCATTATCAACGAAAGAAAGAACCATTCTAACTTCCAGCTCATAATCATTACACACGACGAGGGTTTCCTGCAGAAGCTGGGTCAATGCGAAGTAATGGAATATTACTGGTGAGTATAACGGATGAGTAGGGGAATATATAATGACTGATATTGTCTAGGCGAGTCTCGCGCGATTCAAGGCAGAAGTCCGTTATAGAGCGGCAGCGCTTCCATTAGACGACGGACGCATATCCCGGTTTTTGCCTTTATCGAATAGTTTACTAGAATGTATGCGAGTCTTTGTCACGACACGCTTGATGGTCCCGGCACCTGAGATACTGAACAAGTGGAATTTCGACGACTCAACTATACTACAATTGACGTGGGGTGACTCGATAATACAGGTTGAATGATGCAGTGAATATCAGTATTAGAGATGAGCTCCCGCTTGGGTATTAACCTTTCCCATACTATTGAAGATTTCCTCCATATATGCATCCGCTCGCGGAGGGCGACCCAGGAAGTCCTAGATAAAACGGGGTATGAGCCCAGCGTAAAACACGATAGCAGACACGCTCACCTTCAGCGAATCCAGTTCCTCCCGACTTCCCCCGGGGCGAAGGATGGCGTCCCGGTACTTTCGACCTAGCTTGGGGTCCAAAGGATCCTTCTTGAATACCGTCGCATACATGTCCGCCGCGAATACAAGCGAATACATATATCTAGGAAATGGTTGACCACAGACGTCAGGTATACTCGCTGAGCGCCTCGTAATATAAGCAACAGTTCTCACCCGTAATATCCGGCATCATACCCTCCGGTGATGTGTGCAAAGCTAGCTTGACCTGGTTGATGTTTACCGCCTTTTACCAATGATACCGACTCCCGCAATTCATTCCATAGCGTAGTGTAGTCAGCAGGTTCTGCAGTCGCGACCCAGGTTGAGATCACTAGAAGGATAGGAAGAACGGAGAGTTTACCTTGGTCGGTGTGGACCTTGATGTCGAATTTACCGAAGAATATCTGCCGCAGATCAAATAATCCCACGTTGGCGTATCGACTGCGGGAGAATGAGAGCTATAAACTCGACTACGAATATATCCTCGCACCTCTTAATGACCTTTTCGATGAGCTCAGGCGACAGCGGCTCTTTCTTCTCGAAGTGGCTGGACATCTTCTCCAAGACTTTGGGCTCCCAACACCTGAAAAGTGCACAATGAGCCAATGCTTGGCGCGCGAGTTGACTCGCAGTCACCAGTTTTCCAACATCTGCGAAGGCGCTTCTACGAAGTCCCTCGCGACACTGTGAGATTGTCAGCTCCACAATCCCTTCTGCAGAAGTGGACGAACCCTAACCTAGTCCCGTGAAATCGCTGGAACTTTGTCCTGCTCAGAAGGCCGTGGAATACATGGCCCATCTCATGGAAGAAGGTCACGACATCGTCATGTCGCATAAGGGCAGGACGGTCCGGTGTGGGCTTGGCCAGGTTCGCAACCATAGCGGCCAACGGGAAGTGGCGCTTCCCGTCTAGGCGGTCATATCCCGGGAGCAGGCCCCAGACGGCTGCGTGAGAATACTTCGACTCTAGACGGCGCGAGTAAGAACATCCATAACATGTAAAACAGGCCTTTAAGAGTGCTGACCTCGGGGGAAGAGATCGAGGTAACAATACCCGATGAAACCAGAGGCATCCTTAGCATTATTTTCCCAAACTGAGAATTGCTGGACCTCTGCGAGAGGTTGTCAGAAGTACTTCACCCAGAATCCCATACAATCTCACCGGGGTGCCATGTCTCCCCTTCAATCTTCTCAAACTTCACACCAAGGAGGTTTTGGTAGATCTCCAGAATAGTCGGCACGACCACCGACACGGGAAAATACTCCTTGACGAGCGAGTCGTCCAGGTCCAGCGTACGCTCGACGTACTTGCGATCGTAATACCGGTAATCCCAGATGTAAAATTCGCCATCGTATGGCAGCCCTTTGTCCGCATGTTCTTCCTTCTTCAGAGCACGAAGACGCTCAAGGTCTTCTAGTCCAATTGGGCGGAGCTTTTGCTCCAGGTCGTTGAGAAACTAGTAACATAGTTAATGCAATAAATGATAAGGACCTCCATAATACGCGACTTACGTCGATGACATTCTGCGCAGACTTAACCATCTTGACCTCCGTGATATAGTCAGCCCATGTCTTGTAGCCGAGAAGTCTGGCAATCCTGCGACGTAAATCCAGTGCCTTGGATAGGAGGGGCTCGTTGATTGCTAGGCGGGCGTCGTAACTCTCGTGCGCTCGGCGACGCGTCTCTGGGTTCTCCGCATATTTGAGCTGTACATAGTAATCCAATGTGAACGATCGTTAGCAGATGTACAAGACTGCGATACAGACCACGGGGAATATGTCTGGCGTCTTGTGGGTGACGTCGTAGAGGTCCTTGCCATCCTCAGTTCGTTTGGTGTAGCCGGATACAACGTCAGCCGGGACACCCTTGAGTTCTTCAAGAGTGAACGTAATGACGCCCTAAGATGACATTGAGGTTAACATATTCTCTCGATATAAGGTGTGTTGTACTTTTTCCTCGTTAAAGTTTTTCTATTGCTCAAAATCTTAGCTACCGCGCTATGCACATAACGGTTACTCGGTAAGCTTACACTAAAGTCCAAACAAGTCTGCGAGAGGTCCTTCTGAAGCGCCTTGAGTTCATTCCGTTTCTCCTCAGGCAGCGCCAATCCAGCCCGTTTACCGTCCAGAACCATCTTCTCGACCAGCCGCTGTTCCTCTGCATCCAACTTTTTACCGGACTCCTTGATGTTCCGCTCAGCATTCTGCTTAGCTTCGAAGACATCCAGTCTCATGTTTGACTCGATGGAGAACTCGCGAGCCCGGGCCTCAGCCTCATTGGATGCGTCACGCAGTTCCTTCGAGGGGGATACGTTTTGGTAGAAAAATAGAGGTTCTAATGTGGATTCCAGTTCAGCATCGTACTCGGCAATGGTACGCTAGCTGAGGCTTTAATTAACCATACACGATAAATATCGCGGGCAACCTACGAAGACCTGGTCAGGGGCGTTAGATCAACATGGATGCTCAATGAAAGGTATTGGCTCACAGATTCGAAAGTGCAATCCTCAGGCTTCAGGGCTCCAACCCGGTCCTCCATAGCGCGATACCTATCCAGAGTCTCCTTCGTGATTCTCTTGATATCCTCAGGGGAATGCGTCCATGATGGGGGAGGTTGAGGTGTTGTGATAGACGCCATACTGCCTGCAGAGGTTGTAGAGAACAAGTCAGAGACAACAGAGTACGACCTCGTCCACTGAGAGAGCTGTGAAAGGCGGGGGGCACGAGCAGGAATTTCATTATAACTTCGGAAAGACCCAGGCAGGGCACATGACAAGGATATCGATCTCCAGTTCAGTGCCAGGCCCGCCGTCAGAATGCTCCATCCCACCAGAGCTGGCCTTCGAGCGAGGCGACGAGCAGAGGCCGTCACGACATTCGCCATGCAAGTTGGCTTATAACCGGCTTGACCTCGTACGTCCGACGCGATTTGTTTTCTCGGGTACGGAAAACCGCGCACTCGGCAAACTCGTGCGGAACTCAGACCGGTTCGGTTTGTGGGCTCCGACAGACGCTTACCTCGGTCGACGATCTGAAGCTGCTCTGAAAAGCTAGCCAAGCCTCAGCGACGAGGACCGAAATGGCGACGCTTAATCTCAAGAACGTCAAGACACGACCTCATCCCACTGCGAGAGACACCGCCGTTGCAGTTCGGCCGTTGAGTGCGGGGGAGACCATAGTATCAGTACCAGCGTGGACCACTGCTCTTCTTATAAGTGAGAAGGGTCGACGCTGTGACTGGTGCGGTTGTCTTCCACTGCCAGGAGACCCCCTCTTGAAATGCGGCGGGTGTGGATCTTACTGGTATTGCGGGAAGAAGTGTAAGCACTGACTGTATGCTCTTCGCAATCGGTTCCATCCTACGTCGTGCAGGTCAGCTACGGCAATGGAAAGCCCATCACAGATCCATATGCAAATACTATGCTAGGTATACGGCTTCAGCAGCGTTTCAAGGCCTTCCGGACGAGGAGAAGGTCGATGCCGTCCTGCTGTCACATACCCTGGCAAATCTTCATGAATCCCCTGCCGAAGATCCAGCTCGGGAAGATGATTCGTCGCCGTACTCTGTCTTCCAAACTCTGATTGAATACACGTCGGTTGGGTACAGCGTACCTCCGGTATGCGGGAAAAGCACGTCTATATCTCCGAGCCCGGAGGCTTCCAGCCTATATGCGCGTTTCGGCAACAACAATTTTGTGTTGCACTCTCATCTCACGGCCTTCGCACATGGAATCTTCCCGCTCACGAGTAGATTATTCAACCACTCTTGCGTCCCGAATGCAGTGGTAAAATACAAATTAAAAGAGGCGGACCTGCCGTGCATGGAGGTAGTAGCTATTGCGGACGTTGCGGAAGACGAAGAGGTATGTTGTCAAGAATCACCAACAGACCCTACCGTTTTTCTCTTTCAAGGCCCTACCGGCCCTTGACATTGAGACGCCTTCTTAGATCACAATACCATACCTAGACCCAGCTATCCCGCTAGACGTGCGTCAGCACCAGCTACAATCAAGGTATGGCTTCAAATGCAACTGCGTCGCGTGCACATTTCAGCGGAAGATAAACCCGGTCCCTTTTCCGTCTCCCGAGGACCTCAAGGGACTGGAGGCCATCTTACGCCAACGAATCCAGTTAACCGGAGTGCATAGTCATGCTCTATCCAGTCGATATCTCCTCCCGCAGCTCCCTCCGGATCTGTTCCCGCTCCTGCATGACTCATATCTTCCGTCGCTCTCTGAGGCTTTCAGCAAGACCTCTCACGACGGGGAGTATGCCCTGGCACTAGAGGCGGGTCTGACGCTTCTCGGGCTGTATAGTATGATCTACCCCCGAAACTACCCGCTGATAGGTGAGATGATGACTGAACACTATCACCGCCCTGGCCCGCGCTGATATGTGGATGAAGGGATGCATGCCCTAGAGCTGGCGAAGACAGCGTGGAACGCATCCATCCAAGGCGTACCTGGCAAGAGCGAGGACGCTCGCTTGAAGGAGGCGCGGTCCTATCTTGTTCTCAGCCGCGAGGTACTGGGAGTGCTAGGGCCAGAAGGAGACCCGGGCGGGCCCATGGAAGAGATTAATACTTTGACAGAGCTCTTGCGGGCAGATGGACCAGCCTGACAATCCTTGTGCGTGTCCATCAAGTCTGATGCATGGAGGTGTCCTTGGTGGCGCCCATCCGGCCAATCAGAATGCACTTAGATTGCACTCGGCATTATTGCCCGACCATTCTAAACGTCAAATCAGTTGTATTTCGGCAGAGCGTGAGTGATAGATTGGCTGTTCGCAGTCTTTACGGCACCTTCCTGCAGCTTCTGCAAACCCTTCCCACTGCGTGCGCTTGGCATAGATTTCTGGCGCACCGGGTTTACGACACGCTGATTCGTCCAGCTGTCAAACGAACTGTCAACCTCGACACGGACAGAGCATGTCCTTAAGTAAATGGCCTTGTGGCATACCAATTATCCCACTCATGCTAGATGTTGTCCATGTTCAAGGCAGTACTTATTAGGATGAGTGGATAGAACCGAGGCGGCGTTAGAGGGGTACAAGAAGCAGCTTCGAGCCCCATTGCACGCTGAATCCGGGTGGAAGGTATCACGAAGAAGATCATCGTACTCGGAGGTCTTCAATCGCTTGGCCGGACGTCGGCCTATATAATCCTACTCTTCCTCCTCTAACGCGCGTCTGTAAATCAGTGAGCTCCTGGGTTTGCACCCACACCTGCCAGAGAGTATCAGCCTGATTGCGAGGCGGGCGCACAGGAGGGGGGAACAGCCGCAGCAGTTTTTGACTCCTGTACATCCCTGATGTCGCTTACCTGAGTGATTTTAACTCGCCTGGAATCATCGATATCGAAGCACCGGGCGCACCTACCCCGCCCGTTATATAACGTTAGTACTCGGCCTTGTGCGCAGGTACTAGTAGTGGTCTACCACGTACCTATACCACCTTCCGCTCCTTTTCGTTTTCGATTTCATGCCAGGGACTTATATTGCAAGGAATGCCGCCTAATCCCGACTTTCGTTTACCCACACACGCCCGACGCTCCACCGGGGGCACAAAACTCGGGAGCATCCACCTCAGGCGGGGGCAGAAGAGCGGCTCGTACCAGGGCATCATCCCGTTCGAGCGGACCGCTGTTGTGGTCATCGCCATTCTTTTCTCGCTTCTGTTTATCGTTTCCATTTCGCTCGCGTTCGTCGGTGCGGCCGAGGAGGAGTCGTACTTCAAGCCCATCCTGGATGAAGTGGTCGCTTCCAGTCCTGGAGTGAGGATTTCTTTCTGCGCCGCATCTCACCTGAGCAACGCTGACAGGTGCGCGGCTATAGATTGTCTTGCTAGGGGAAGATGTCGATGTCGATGTGGACGAACCTAGTGTTGGCGTACGATGGTCAATCATCGGCTGTGGTGAAGGTAACTTCTTGAATGGCTCAGAAGGAATGCATGGAGTATTGCAATGCGGAGTACCCGCTATTCCCCTGGATATTTACGTCGACGGGTAGGATATGATACGAAGCAGTCACGCAGCACACAGGAGCTTACCTAAAATTACGTCCCCGTTTTCAGAGCTGAAGATGCAGCCGTCAAATATGACCCGGATTATCTTCCTTGGGTGGGTAGCACCGGACAGCGGCGCATGTGAGTCAGTTTCCTGGTACTTCGTCCGCTGTTAATAATATTCACAACCGAGTAGCATCCAGAACTTGTACCAATTCGACAGCGACCACGTACTCGATGTCCATGAAGCCCGTCTCTTCCCCTTCGACAACTACTTCCTCACGAGCACACTCCGAGCTGTTAACAAAGATACCGGAGAGAACGTACCGATCCAGAAACTAGCAACCATCGAGCTAACGTCCAACTTCTACATTGTCAGTTCCGATGTGGAAAGCTACGTCAACATCACCGATGGCAGCACGACGACAGTCCCGAGCCGGGAGATCGATCTCAAGATACGGAGACCGACGGATGCGCGGACGTATACGCTTGCGTTGTTCCATGTCAACTGGATGTTGGCGCATGTCACGCTAGGACAAGTCTATCTGGCTTGGAAGAGCCCGCAGATACCCCTGCTCAAACGCCTACTTTCGGTCTTCGCGATACTATTGATCATACCACAACTAAGGAACACAATGCCTGATGCACCTGGCTTCGACGGTATGTCGTGACAATCCCGGTAGTAATTCTGATTACTGAGATCTTATTTCATAGGTATACTACTAGGTGCTTACCTTGTCGCCCCGTACTCTCATCATTGCTGACCAGGCATCGACGACACTTAGATAGTATCGGCTTCTTTCCACAGATGATTCTCTGCAGCATATCTGGCGTCGTCCTGATGCTCATGCTAATCAGAAGAGAGCCTACGGAACCCAGCTCTAGTCCCCGGGAAGTGAAACCGCCTGTCCAAGAACAAGACTATGCACAAGTGCTATCAGTGCCCGCGACGCCTCGGACTCCTGCTCCAGAGTACTCGCGCTCCCCACCGCCCAGCCCGCTAGGAGCATGGGGAAGACCCTTCTCGTCATTGTTGACGCTGAAAGACGAGCTCTCTCGAATCAAGGAGGAAGACGCCCGGTCGTCCGCTGTGGTTCCAAAGAGCAAGCACAAGTCGAGCCATCGCCAGTCACGGACGTTCTTTGAACCGTAGAAGAACTCAGTTGTTTAAATTATTTGTGGATTAATGTATGTGCGATCGAAAGGTGGGATAGACTAGCGAGCAATAATGTAAAAACCTGGGAGACGTTCAGCGCGACGAGCGTGGCGAAGTACAGAAGTAGAGCATTGGTTATCTCCGTTACGTAATGTCGATCAGACACGTCGTGCAATCGACCCCGCCACCGGGCGCCTCCCTGCTCGACCGCATTCTGACCAAAGCCGGTCGCAATGCCTGTCGGGATTGAGGCCTGGATAGTCCAAATACCGCCAATAACAAGAGGATGGCTGGTACTGTCGGTTCTGACTAGTTTGGCCGTTGTGAGTACTGAATTCGCTACAGCCGAATATAGTGACCTGAACGTATCCTTTGCTGCGTGAAGCAATGCCAGCTAGTCACCCCATTACAGCTGTACTTCAGCTTCAAGTCTGCTTTCATTAACGTGCAAGTGCGTAGCATTCTGGTTTATACATTGCACAGACTTTTCAAATCGGTTTCATCGCTAGCCGTGGAGGGCGTTGACCACGTTCTTCTATTTCGGGACATTGTCACTCGACTTCATCTTTCATATGTTCTTCTTGTAAGCTTCTGGTCCCTTAAAGCACCACCACGTTGCTGACCTACCTGCGATAGCATGCGGTACAGCCGCATGCTTGAAGAGTCGTCCTTTGCAAACCGCAAAGCAGATTACTTCTGGCTGCTCTTCCTCTCCTCTCTAATGCTCCTCGTAAGTACTCCTCACATCAGCCTCTCTCTCTCTCTAAACTATTTGCACAAGGCCCTTTCCCCGCTGTTCAACCTCCCCTTCCTCTCTTCTCCCTTAGCCTTCGTCCCCATATACCTCTGGTCGAGACGACACCCATCCACCCCGATATCCCTCTTCGGTCTCATCACCATAACTGCACCCTACCTACCCCTGGCTCTCGTCGGTTTTTCGTGGTTGCTTAATGGTACGTGGCGAGCAGCAGCGGGCGACCTCGTGGGATGCGCGGTCGGGCATATTGGGTGGTTCGTGAGGGACGTGTGGACGCGGGAGATGATCGGGGGTCCGACCGTTCTCAGCGAACCTCCTCAGAGAGTGTAAGCACTCTTGACTCGGGAAGTCGCGATGTTCCTAGCGCTGATGGTCCTCTTACGCAGGAAACGTTTATTCGGTGAAGACTAGATATTGGAACTGTTTGGTTTGTCTTGTAGCTATATGCCACTAATCCTCGTTGAAGAGTTGTATTCTTGATATCGCCCCCGGGGACGCATCCACTCCTACCTCAAGCGCCCAAGAGCTACGTGAGCAGTGCTTTTGACATTTTCACGAGATGCCGTATGAGCAGCGGGCAACACGAGAAGGACCTTCGCAATCGATGCAATAGCATCATCGCCTATAGATTGTTCATTATACAACATCGACCTCATAAACAAGAAGGGGCTAAACATCGAAAACGATAAATAGGAACCAAAACCCAGAAACAAGCATAACTTTTGGTAATCGAAATAGAACCCTTCGAAGGTAGGATCTGTGCATGAGTGAAATCAAGCATATGTCTGAGATGCGTATATGATATCCGTTGATATCTTCGGGACGGATGCGCGCAGGGTATTGTCGTGGAAGAGGCATTCGGGCATGAATATTCAGCTTAAGAGGATGACTACGCCGCAACCGCCTTCGCGGGCTTGGACTTCATGCCTTTAACAGGCGCCGCGGCCTTCTCCGCGGCCTCCTTCGCCATCTTCGCAGCGCGCAAGAGAGCGCTCTTATTCGTGCGCGGGGCGAGCACCGGGCCTTGGAGACTGCTCGGCCGCGGTTTGGGCTTGGGCTTCTCTTCATTCGCGGTCGAGCTGGCGGTGGATTTTGCTGGGGTAGATATGTCGTCCTTGGAGACGGAGCGGGAGATGCTGGCGCGGGATGTTGTGCGAGATACGCTGGGTCGTGGCGCGGCAGGCGGCGTAACTTTGGCTTGGGAAGGCGGGCGAGACAAGGACGGTCTGGGTCCGCTCATCGACTGGCGTGAGGAGCTCCGCGACGGTGGCGCCTGATCAAAGGAGGTCCGGACTGACGGGACGGCGCAGGGGTCTTCGTGAATACCAGAAGCCACATCGTATGACAGCAACAGGCACTCACGATTGAAGGAAGAAGGAGGAGCAGAGTCTTTCATCGCGCGTAGCGCGGCACTCCTGTTCATCCTGGGGGGGACGGTCGGCGCCTTCACGCTGGCGACGGTGATAGTCTCCCTGCGCTTGTGCCCAGGGACGCCCTCGAAGCCGGCTTTCTTCTCAGCAGCGACCTTACCCGTCTCCTCGTTAGAGACCGAGCGGGTCTTGATGGGCTTTGGGGTAGCATCCACACCGCCCTTACCTATCCTGAGGGACGCAGCACGAGTCATGCGAGGAGCAATCGTAGGGGGAGCGGTCGAGGCAACCGTGATCGAACCTGAGCGGAACTTGTGGCCGGGAACGTCGGCGAATGTCTTGGCTAACTGCTCCTTCGTCAACGGGGCGCGCTTGCCGACCTGTACCTTGTCGACTTGAACGCCTGCCCGCAGGAGTGCCGCGCGACTTTGGCGGGGCTGGATAGACGGGGCGAGGACGGTCGCTGGGATGGCGCGTGCCTTGAAGCCTGTCTTGCCGCTACCATTTTCGGAGGTAGACTTGCGCAGTGCCGACATAACAGAGGAGGACATCGACCGCACCGAACCAGAGGCAAACTGACTGGATGGCGAAGCCAAGTCGTCCGGGAGCTCGGTAGAAGGGAACGGCGGGGAGGACGCGAAGAGCGACGCGATCTGAATCTCGGCAGTCTCGAGATCGGGCGAGCCCATGAATCCGTTCTGCTCGAGCGACAGACCGTAGAGGGCGCGGAGGGAGTTGGGCGCGGTCGCCTTTGCTTCCGCGGGGTCTGCGGGGCCCATGAGGGTCTTCCAGACTTCGACGGCCCTCCGGCGCTCCAGGACGTACACCCAGACGGGACCTCTAAGATATTCCAGGCACAAGCATTCATATAGATAGATTGACACAGTGGAATGCAGACGAACTCAGCAAAGGATCTGGCGTCTTCCCCGAACAGCTCATAGAGAGCTTCCGGGTCCGTTTCCATATCGAACTCCATCTGCCTTTCCTTCACGATCTGGGTGGGGTGTCATATGAGTCTAAATGCATTGAATGAATGAGAACGCTTCGCAAACCTCGAAGCTGGCCTCGAGTATACGAGGCTCGATATCAAGCCGGTGTTCCAAAGCATGGTTCTTGATGATAGCAACTGTACGAGTGGGATAGCCGTGCGGACTTCCGGAGGGGCTGGCAAGCTGCGATGGGACTTCCGCGGTGGGAGTCTGGGGCATAGAGGGGGGCAAAGGGGGCAGCAGCGATAGCTCAGACATCAGAGCAAGCAAGAAATATAATAAAGCTTATTGAGCAGAGCAAAAGAGTGCAACCCGGCAGCAAGCAATAAAACAGATGGAAGCCAAACGAAAGCAAAGGTAGTCTGAGACTCTGGGCTGATATGGTTCAAGCCGCTGTAACTAGGCAATATCATTACTTAGTCCCGGATCCGCAAGACCTCGAGTACTGGTCATCATGGCAACACTCGCACGCAACGAAAGCAGTGAAACGAATATCCTTCCAGAGTCTGCTTGCTGCTATGAACACATACGCCGAGAGCCAAAGCACTTTGTACCAGCAAACTGCGTACTCATGAGCAAAGTCGAATCAAACAGGATCGACCTGTGCAGCTTCTATTTCGGATAATGAATGACTTCTTGGGGTCCTCGCCCTTGCTGAAATGAATCGCGTCGCGTCCGACGCGTCCCCCTCTGGATCGACGTTCGCGTTCGCTGTACGTCCTCCCGCCTTTCCCGCATGGCAGCAGCGTGCTATGCAAGCCTCAAGGTAACACATACAGTCCAGGACAACTGATCGCCTTTGTAATGAGCTCGTATGAGACGCACTGTGAAAGCTCTGACGTCAAGAAGTAAATGAATTCTGAAGATAGCACACATGTAACCGTTGCGGTGTATTCAGTAAAGGAGAGTATTTCAACAAGTACGGCATTCTCTGCTTTTTCTGTACATTGACAATTCCCCATTATATCGCTACCTTTGTAGCACTCGACAACGGAATGTCCAGCGTCTGTGTGCGGTGAACATCCAAATGGGAAAGGTAATAATGCCATCTCGCATCCTCTTCGGCGACACCACACCTCATTTCGGGAGAGATCAAAATGCGCGGTTTGGCAATTCGCGTGCCTTCCATGTTAGCGCCAGGGCCCGTCCTCACTATATTCCTTTCTTGTCCTCTTGCGCCGCCGCATGATTCTCTTGGGGTTTGGACATAGGGAAGTAGGGATCAAGCCGAACGTCCCCACCTTCCCTGTCAGCCTGCGTTGACGCTCGTACTCGGGGGCGATCCGTATTATCTCTCTGTGTCGGATATAAGCCTGGGGAGCGTCGCTTATGTACCCTTTGGTCTTCCCCCCATGGTATAGACCAAGGCAGGTCCTCTGACCGAGCTTTCTTGACAAGTGTCCTCCGTATCGTCCTTCATGGATACGTCAACCATTGACCTTGTCCTAGCTGATATTCAGGTGGTCAATTATGTGAATGGTGAGTGCCCCCGCTCCTTCGGCTTTCGGGAATGATGTGATTAATATTGCCACCGTATAAGCTGCCGCATTCGCTTGGCTGGCTTATGATATCCTGCTCACCTTAGGCGACGAGGTGAGATCCGCAGCATACGTTTCGAGCGAATGTAATAATCTCCGCCGTAGGTACAAACGGTGTGGAAGTAAGACATTTTTGTGCTGTCTGTAATGGAGTTCAACGACCCGCTGCCAGTTCGAGATGGACCTTGGCCAAAGTCTTGTACCTACTCTTGAGGTACCTTATAGCCATCACACTAATGCGAGTGATTCCTATATACACGCAGAAACATGCGCGCTGACAGACTTCACAGGGTGAACCTTGTGGGTAAGGGTATTCTGAGAGCTCAGTGAATTATCTCCATATGACCGTTGTCTGTAGTGGACACAAGAACAGACTTGACGGAGAAGGTGCAATTTATTCACTGTGATGCTCCATGTCCCAAAGTCTGATACCATTTGCAGTTGTAAGCTCTGGTTTAACATGGCGACGGAGACCACACAAATGAAACGTCAAATATAGCTGCACCCAGTGGATGCGGTTCTACGCATTGTGAGTGCCCATGCTGATTTCGAAATAATGACAGATATTAACAAGATATTTGTTCCAGTGACACCGTATCCATCGCATCCTGGCTAGGTGGTGCCCTCCTGAGCGTCAGAATATGGGCTTTATACGGCTGCAGTCGCAAGAGTAAGTCTGATGGCCAGATATTCTAGACCGTACTGAGTCGCTCTGTAGTCCTCTTCGTAGTGTGCTTCTTGTATCTCGGTAAATTCCTTCGCTCTCATTATTGATATCATACCCATAACCCCCCAAATTCAGTGGAAACCGCCGTAGGTACAGCGTTCCTGCCAAAGGTCACAGAAATTCACAATGTCCACAGGCCGGTATAATAACCGCTTCCATCACGCTCGCGTCTGAACACTCGACCCCGCGGCTCCCCGGCGTCCCCGTGCACGGCTGCTTCCTATCCTTGACGCCGCCAAAGAAGGACAGCCTGGTCATCATCGGCTGGTATGTCTTCGAATCACCAACCATGTAGGTGATATTGAATGTCATATATCAGGACCTTCCACGTCGGTGTCAATGGTGCGTCGCGACGACCCTACTCTGACGGGCTGAGACCGATAGCGATTATGTAGCGATATTCTTTGCACTTACGATGTACAAGTTCATGCGGACGGTCGGGGCGCAGGGATTCAGCATCTTCGAAGCGCAGACAGTCGCGCCCCTATTTCAGCTGTTCATCTACGATGGAGCGTTTTATTTCCTCGTGTAGGTCCGGCCGTCTTCCGACAGGATACTAATACTGACTGGGTTGTGTAGCATCCTAGGTAAAGCGTACGAAGCTCTGACCTGAAGGTCCCAGCTAACAGGTTGATGGCCGCAGCAAGTTCCTTGTATAACTTGGTGATCATGCTTGCTCTCTGGAATCGACCTACAGTGGTGGTAGGAGAAGCGTACGTTTTCCCACTATTTCATTCACGACTTACTAACGAACATGCAACATCTTGCAGATTGCTGGCCGCCACATACGCAGTAACCGTAAGTGTCCAAATGCCCGCCAATGTAGGAGGCAAACTCGCATTAACATGCCCTCAAATAGTCCTCGCGCTTGATGCTCCATCTACGCGAGTACATCGGAAGACACAACGCTGAGGTATACACCGACGTCGAGCTGGAGACCCGCCCCTCTCGACCCGCCTTGGTTCTCGACACCACCATCACGGTGCCGGAGGGGTACAACCGGGACTCGGACGTCATAGACTCTGGCATTTCTGGCATCTCCATGAGCCTCTCGCTGTCAGACAAACCTCTCGTTTGAACTCGAAGCTGATCGTAGTGTATCAGAAATTTACAAAGCAAATGTTGAATACCCGTTGGCTCACTGCGGATCACAGTCTAACCACGATGTACTCTCATTGTAGCACTTGCACCCCGCGCGACACGGTCCCTGTACACTCGTCCTATAGCCAACCACGTGTATCACGCTCTCTCCGATACACCACACATGTATGGATGAATTGAGCTTTATTTTACGTCTTTCGTTCCGAATAAGTATGGGCACGTAAGTTACATCCGAATATTACTGCAGCAGTATCGATACATCCAGGCCGTCTAAGGATCGGCCAGCCACCAAGCAACCAAGCGTCCGTCCGCAGATAAGATGAAGCAAGCACAGGGGGCGGGGGCGGTTACGAGGACGTTGCACTCGCTTTCCTGCCCTGCCACCACTTTGCTACCTTCTCGGCGGAGTACCGGATACTCTTGGCGGGCCCTGCGCTGACGATGCCCTTCAGTGTTTGGATGGCTGCGGGGTACCGTACGATCTGGCTCATCTCTGCGTGGCGGGAGACTGAGCGGGATTTTCTCGTGCAAAATGAACGGGACCGACTAACCGTGATGCAGAACCGTGGGCAGGCCTTCATCGCCTGCCAGTTTCGTCCAGTAAACACCTTCATCCGCCGCCTTTGACGGCAAATCGGGGCGTGCGACATAGTTCCGCTCAACCCCCGCAAGCAAGTTGCTCGGCAACTTTCTCAAATGCGCCGAGCGCGCCTGCGGGCTGACGTCCTGCTGTATGGTGCTAGAGTGCGACGGCCAGTGAACGCCGGGCAAGCCAACGACAAGCCGGTGGTAGAGCTCCTTGAACTGGGGGCTCTGCTTCCGGATGATATTGGCGACCTTATTCCGGTTCTCGGCGGGGAGTATCATGCGCGGGTCGCCGTTGTAGCTGATGGCGGCTATCCGCTCGAACAGCTGCGTCTCTGAAAACTCGGCGGGGAGGGTGAGCAGCGCGGCGCGCACGGCGCTCGTGAGGTTGACCTGCTGCGTGAGGCGCACGCGCGGGTCGTCCTTGATGATCCGGATCGGCTTGTGCATGCGCCCCGCGAGGTAGAGCGTGCGCCAGTTGAGCAGGTCCGAGCACAGGTTGTCGACGGTCGTCACACCGTACTTGATCCTCTATGACGCATTAAGATTAGAATACACCGCGGCGGGGCAGCGGGCGGGACTCACGACACCTTTCATCTGCACGAGCGTGTTGAACCACACGCCGGGCACGACGTCCTCCACCTTGGCGACGAAGGACGAGCCGAACATGCGCGCGTGCAGCGGGTAGTGCCCCGGGTGCTGGTTGAGGTTGATCGAGTGCCAGTGGTCCGCGTGCGTGACCGCGAACATAAAGTCGACCATCGGCGCGCCCGCGCTCGTCGGGCCGTAGCCGTCCTGCTCGAACACGCCCGAGCCGTACGCAAAGGCGTAGCGGATGGGCGCTTCGAACTCGGCGACGATGGACTCGAGCAGCGCGCGCGTCGAGTCCGCGACGGGCAGCAGCTGGTTGCGCCCGAACGTCGGGGGCAGCTGCGGGAGCGCCTGGTGCCGGTGTGACTTGGCGGGGCGAGGGGCGGGGTAGAGGCGCGTGCGCGGCTGCTTGGTCGGGGGTCTCGTCGGGGGCGGGGGCGGGGTCGAGGACGCGCTCGTCCCCGCGGAGACGGTTTCGGTAGCAAAGGAGCGAAAGACCGGGACGCAGCGCGGGCGGGCGTGGGCGCGGGCGACAGTAGACAGCATCGTCGGCGTCGGTGTGGTGAGTAGGGAAACTGGATATTACTAATAATATTAGGACAGAGCAGTAATGATTTCGGGGTGCATAGGAGCGCTGCACATCACCGCGCCTGCTCTGACGTACCGCCGGCACACTCGCTCGCCGCGCCACGTGAGCTGTGGCGGGAGGGGGAGACTTTGCAGTAGTACTTCCAATATACAAAAAAACAAAATACATCCCACTACGTAGTCCGCGCATCCCCCTTCGATCCCCTCCTCTGATGCACCTCCCCAGCAACCCCAAAACCCAAACCCGTCGCCTGCACCCTCTCCTCCCCCTCCTTCACCGGCGACAGCGTCGTCGTCCGCTTATGCCTGCTCCCAGCGCCCGCTCCCGCCCCGAGCCCGCCGAGCGCCCACAGCGCCTGCGCACCACATTTAATACTCCACAGCCACGTAAGTACAAAGACGGGCGTGCTCGCGAGGACGTTCAGCGCCGCGAAGAGGTCCGGGTAGCGTGCGGGCGGGGGCACGAGCATCTCGAGGACGTGCAGGAGCAGCAGGGTCACGTACACCACCTACAAATCAATATCAGAGGCGGGGTGTCAAGCGCATCCGTCGCTCACGTACCATCGACAAATACTGCACGAACATCCCCTCCCGCACCCTGAACGGCCGGTACCCAATCACCCTATTCCACATCACGATCGCCGCGAGATACTGCGTGCCCAGCCCATCTTTCTTCAGCAGCGGCCACATGCTGAACACCGCGACGTTGTTCACGAGCGCGCACCACGCGAACGGGCCCGAATCCGGCGCGGCGCCCGACAGCAGCAGCGTCACGGGCAGGAGCGGGAGCAGGATAGTCTTCTCGTGCACCTGGAAGGAGAAGAGGAAGAAGGCCATGGAGGACGTGAGCAGCGCGTAGGGGAGCAGGCGGAGGACGGGCGTCGTCCCGTCGCTCTTCTCCTTCTCTTTCTCGCTTTCTGCGTGATCGGGTACAGGCGCCACGCGCGTCCTCACCCCGCCCAGGACGAGCGTGACCACAGCGGGCAAGAACCCCAGCGCGGTGAGCCCCGCCGACAGCTTCACGAGCGCCCCGCGCTCGAGCCACGCGCGCCACTTGAACACCACGTTCGACGCGCACCAGAAGTTCGCGACCTTGTCCTCGAACAGGCCGCGGTCGAACGGGAATATGCGCGAGACGGGGTCGAGGATCGCGCGGGGCGGGGCGAAGGGGGGGAGCCAGGGCAGGAAGAGGAGGAGGAAGGTGACGGAGGTGACGAATGCCAGGCGGATGAATAGCTGTAACCTACGGAGGCGGTTGGGGTGTGTGTGGTATGGATGTATGCGCACGGCTTACCCGTCTTTTGGTCCGAGATAGATGCACTTCCCGATCAAATACGAGCCGATGGCAGGCGCGTAGTACAGTGCCATCTGCTTGAACCCGAGACTCAGAACAAAGAAGAACGCGCCCAGCAGATCGCGATTTTTTGCGAAACAATTCAACGCAAGCAACGTGAACCCTACCCACACCATCAGCACACTCACGACCAAAGCCCACGCCGGACGCACCGAGCATGACAGAATTATACTGAAAGTGCCCGAAGTCGATTAGTAAAAGCGCAGGTTGGAGCAGCACCGTGATCAGCGCTACATTCTTCCGCCCCATCCCGTGAGCACGTCAGCGTCCCGCGCAACGAGCATCGCAACTCGCACCTGTGAGCGCTTCGACCGGTGCGGGTGCCATACGCGCGTGAAGAGCAGCACCGCGGGGAGGTATACCAGCGTGTCGAGCGCCAGCACGGTCGCGCGCATGTACACCTTGCTCCCGGGCGTCTCGATCCCGCGCGACCTATCCAGCGCGAACCACGCCGGGTCGAACCACGACCCACTGCAACACCCAGCGTCAAGTGTGACCATGCGCAGGATTCACAGGGCGCACTCACACGATGCCGCAGAGCCACGAGACGTACGCGGTGAGCGGCGGGTAGTCGAGCCCCCAGTACTGCAGGTCGTACGTGTACCACTCGCGCACGGGGAGGTGCACGGTGATCTCCATCCAGTGCCGCTGCGCCTCGTAGTCGCCGAACAGCGGCGGCGTCCCCTGCCCTGCTCGCGGCCGGTCCACGTCAATCACAGCTCACCCCAGCCGTCGACGTTTCCACGCACCTGAGTACGACCCGAGCCCCATGGCCCACTTCACCAGCACGCTCCCCAACAGCACGCACGGCAGCACCCACGCGCGCATTCCCTGGCGGTGCATCCACCGCACCCAGCGGCGCGCGGCGCCGTCCTCGCTCTCCGGCCTGGGGTGGCTGTAGCTGTACAGCTGGATGAGGGCGTCGTGCTCGCCGAGCGAGCGGAAGCTGAGCTGCGAGGAGGTGTCGCGCGGGGCGTGGCGGTGGGACAAGGGGGAGTTGGCGCGCGAGGACGCGGGCGAGGGCGAGTGCAGCCACTGCGCGTGGAGGAGCGGGCGCTGCGGGACGGGGGCGTGGATCTCGTCGGAGCTGCTCACGGAGGCTGTCAGTGTTTTCGAGGGAAACGAGGAGGGGCACGCACTGGCCGAAGGACTGGATGCTGGAGGCGGACGTGCGGGATCTGAGGACGGGCGTTCTGAGGCGGGCGGCGGCGGGGCTGTCGGGGACGGAGCCGGCAGAGGTGCTGGACGTTGTGCGGAGGCGCCTGAGCTGTTTCGGGGAGCGGTCGGCGGGGATGTGGGCGAGGATCTCGTCCATGCCCGGCGTCGGTGGATGTGGCGGCGAAGGACCTTGCGCGATCAACACCGACGCCCTTGCCACGTGGCCAGCTACCCGCACTCCAGACGCAGACCATGATGTCTACCAAATTCACACACACCATAGTCAAACCGCTCCCCGCAGGCGTCGCCAAAGCCAGCGTCCTGCGCCTCCTGCACGACCACGCGCTCCTCATCCGGCTCAACCCGCTCGTCGCGGCGCACGCCCTCACCTCCGCGGCGCCCGAGCGCGAGACGTACACCGTCACCGACCGCATCCCCGTGCTCTTCTGGGAGGGCACGACGACGTACACCGCGTCCTTCGCGGACACGCCGGACGGCGTGCGCACGCGCATCAAGGCCATGGGCTTGGTGAGCGAGGGCGAGTTCACCGTGGAGGAGCGGCAGGAGGGGCTGGTGTTGCTGGAGAGGGCGGAGGTGACGTGCCCGTGGGTCGTGAGGTGGTTCGTGGAGGGGAAGATGCGGGAGAGCCATACGGCGTTGGTGGAGAGGTTTGCGGAGAAGGTGAAAGAATTGTAATGGTCGTACGGGTTATATTGGAGAATATGTATGCTGTGGATATACCGTTATCATCTATATATTGCGTTGCACATGTATGAGCACATTCTACTTGTCCCCGGCTGACAGTTAATCTATATCTTGTCCCTCGACCACACTCTCGCCGTCTTCCGTGAACGTGACGTTCTTCTATAGCCTTCGTTAGACTTTACGCTTCCACTGATACAAACTGAGAATCCACTCACATCATGTGTATGCGACCTGCCCACATACTTCGTATGGTCTGCCCAGCCATCAGTCTCACGCGCACGTCCTCAACAACCAAAACTCACGCCCATACGCGACCAAATCTCCCTTCGCATTAAAAAACTCCACCCTCGTAAACGCCAACGACTTCCCTGCACAACCCCATCAGCACCCGAAGACCCGCAGACACGCCGCACGCACCCATCCCAGTCAGCACGCCCACCGCGCTGAGCACGTCCCCGGGCTTCCCCGCGGGCTTGACGAACGTCGTCCCGATATCCGTCGACACGCCCGTCATGTACTTGCCGTGCGTCGCGACCGCGAGCGAGCCGACCGTGTCCGTCAGCGAGAGGAGGAGGCCGCCGTGGACCGTCTGGTCACTGCAAGTCAGGTGGGTTGAGAGGGTATGGCGAGGAGGGGAGACATACACCAACGCGGTTGACTGGAAGATGGGAAGGGGACGTGAGAAAGGGGTTAGAGAGTTGGGAGAGGGGAGAGACGCACCGTTATAGGGCTCGATCTTTAGAGAACACTCGACCTTGCCTGGTCTGGCGCGGTTGATGGCGAGCTACGCGTCCCCAGAGTCAGCACAGCGCGCTTAGATATAGTGCATAGCTCACATTCGGGAAGCATTGCACGTCGTGGCCTGCGTGACGACGAGCAAGTCAGAACGTTCGCATGAGATGGGCGGATTGCTCACCCTTGGTCTCGATGAAAGATTGCCAGACCTGTAACACAGCTATCAGGTGTCGTCTGTCCACAGACCAGTGAAAGCGCGTACGCGCTTTGTAAACCGGAGACACGCCGCCATCGTTGAATTCGCGGCGGACAATCTGTAGCTTGACGCTGCCTCCTGGGAAGGCACGAGCCAATCGGCTAGGCCCGATCTCGATCTTGCTCATGCGATCTGAGATGATCACCCCGCACTCGCGACGCCAGAGTCATAACGCTAACGCCTCTGTGAAGGCCAGATATTCTACGGTACACATAATGTGGCAACGTGAGGACTTGCAGAGGGGTATTCACATGCCAGAAGATCTGTCAAGCCTCGGCTATGACTCGTCCCCGTGACTACTAGTAAGTACTCATGCGCTGATATAATGTCTGGCATTAGCGTCGCCATTACCCCGTTCTTGATTGGACAGCAGCACCCGCAATGAGAGTCGAGCAAGGCTTCCAACCGGTGCGTCGTCTCGATGTATACCCCGACGACGAACCTGATTCTTGCATCTCAAAGGTCCCCTACTCCGAGGGCAACCCATACACAGCGGACCCCGTCCTCCCCTGCCTCCTCCGCCGTCTCTTCCCCAAACAGTGAGCGCCACTCCGTCCACCGCACGTCCTCCGCCCCTGACCCTCCCCAGAGCCCGCGATGAGATCGAGCCCGACCTCGAACGGTTCGGCAACGACATCCTCACCAGTACGCTTATCCCCTGCCACTCCAGCCCGTCCCGCTCACCTCCCCTCAGCCGTGCGCGACCTCGCCGATCTTACCGCCCCGCCCACCCTCACCCAGTACAACCACTGGGGCCAGCGCACCGACGCGCTCCGCCTCTCCGAGGGCTGGCGCCAGCTGACAGCACTGGCACAGAAGGAGGGCATCGTAGCGATCGCGTACGAGCGCCGCTATGGCGCGCTGAGCAGGGTGTACGGGTCCATGAAGGTGCTCATGGCCACGGCGGACACGCGCTCGGTGAGCGTGGATAGTTAGTGCTTCGTGGGTGTGCTAAGGAGCGTTAGGTGTTTTGTCCGATGAGTATGACAGATGGGTGTGCGCGCGGTGAGTGGGATGGCTCTCTGCTTCACGGTGACGCTGATGCCTAGTAGTTATCGAGTTGCATGGGACGCCAGCGATGAAAGCGGAGATATATCCTCGCTTGATAAGGTGAGGACATCGAGCAATCACGACATGCTGTCACACACAATATTGAACACCATGCCCCAGTCGAGACCCGTCGCATGCCTTTACTAGCGGGCAATGGATGACTGAGGTGCGCCCCCCCGGTGACAACCCTCCCCAGTGCAGAGCGTCACTGACGTGCCGTCCAGCGCCCAGGAGGCTCCGACGTCTCCCTCACCGAAACCACCGCAACCCCCCTGCCCCCGACCAATGCCTCACGCACAGAAGACACCCTCGGCCCCGCACACTCCCTCGACGGCTTCAAGTGGTTCTCCAGCGCAACCGACAGCGACGTCGCCCTCGCCCTCGCGCGCACCGGGCCCGTCTCGGAGGGCGCGCGCGCGCTGTCCCTCTTCCTCGTCCCCCTCCGCCTCCCGCTCCTCCAGCCCAATCCCCTCCCCCCTCCCCGATCCGACCCTTACTGCCAGAAACCAGCCACCCGCACCTCCACGAGCAACGGCATCTTTATCCACCGCCTCAAGCACAAGTTCGGCACACACGCCCTCCCCACCGCCGAGCTCTCCCTGTCCGGGACTCTCGGCTACCCCGTCGGCCCGCGCGATCGCGGCGTCAAGACCATCGCCGCCGTCCTGAACATCACGCGCGTCTACTCCGCCGTCTCCTCGCTCGGGTACCTCCGCTAGTCGCTCGAGATCGCGCGCGCGTACGCCGCCGTGCGCACTATCCGCGGGGGAACGCACTTGTTGAGCGAGGACGCGGTGCACGTCGCCGAGCTCGCGCGGGTAAGTACGGGCTACCGCGCCGCGGTGCACCTGGTGTTCGGCGCGGTGAGGTTGTTGGGGAGGAGCGAGTGCGGCGCGGCGAGCGAGGGGGACGAGAGGCGGCTGCGGCTGCTGACTCCCCTTGCCAAGGCGTTCGCCGCGGAGCTCGCGGGGCGGGCGATGCCCGAGTGCATGGCGGCGCTGGGGGGGCAGGGGTACATGGAGGAGACCGGGATCGGACGGTGAGAGGAGCTTCGTTTGGTGTTCCAGGGCAGGGGTTGACGCGGATTACCGGCAGGTGCATTCGCGACGGGCTGGTGGAGCAGATATGGGAGGGGACTACCACCGTCCTCGCGTTGGACCTCCAGAGGGTCGCCCAATCCGCCCAAAATATGAGTGCCTTCCTAGAAGTGAGTGATCGGCGGGGATCGCGGCAGAACGCTATGCATTGACCTCTCGTTACAGTGGGCTGATAATGTCCTGGCCTCCATGCCCCCCTCCATGTCAGCGACACTAGAGGTCCCCTGCACGCTTCTCCAATCCGCGCTCAAGGAAATACAATCAACTTACACGCCGCCGGTGGCTCCGCTGGTCCCCCGACCCGCCCTCTTCTTGTTCGGATATGTGGCTTCGGCACTGTACCTTCTCGAGCACGCCGTATGGTCGAACATCACCGCACAGCCCGAAGCGGAGACAGACATTGAGGTGTTCAGACGTTGGGTGATGGAGGGTGAATTACAGCGCAGCGTTGATGCAGTCAGAGTAGCCAGAAGCGTGGATCCGGGCAGCCGGTTCAAGAAGGATCATACCATCGTATACGGAGACACGTCTTCCTTAGCCAAGTTATAATGGGACTCCTAGCAGTACAAGGCGCGAGCACGCAGAAGAAATGATAGAAATACAGTGGGTGTGGCTTATATCGATACAAGTAAGAATGGACTACTGCGACACCGAATATGGCACTATATGACACCTATCGCAAAAAGTCAGTCGGCAACCCGCGGAGATACCTAGAAGTATTCAGCTTACCCGAGCATTCCCCTACCACCCCAACCCTTTCGGGGGGTAAAGTCCAGCGTCAGCTGCTCTGCTTCTCGGAGGATGAGGACCTTGATCGTTCGCTATAGTGATCGTTCAGTGCGCGGATAGCGGATGCCAGGTGATAGCGACCAGACGTACATTCTCGTTTAGTGAAACTAGCTCGGCCAGGGGCTGCAGCGACGTCAGGCCCGTGAGACTGCCAAACTTCAGTATGAGATCTTCTCTCTGCAAACCCTATAGCACGGATTTTCCTAATCAGTCACCATAAGGGGATCAAGATGGAGGAACGTACTGCGGTTGCCGCTGGGCTCCCCGGCGCAACACCATCTACCCTCGCAAACGGAGACAGGGATGCCTGCTGCGCCGCAGATGACGCCGACGTCGGTGTACCGTTCACGATGTTAGGATCATACACGCCCTCCAGCGCCCTCGCAATCCGGTCCATCAAGGCAGTCATATCATTCCTCAGCTCGATGATGCGCACACGCGCATGTCGGACCGCCCAGACGTCAATGTCAGATCGCGGAAAGCCTTCCGGGTCGAGCAGTGGTGAGTTCATAGTCGAGCTGTTCGCTGAAAGGATGGAGAATTGGGCATCGAGCTCGGATTCGAGGTTCTCTTTCTGGCCCATCAAGGTGCGAACTTGCTCAGCCGGAGTGTGCGGGGGAGGGAACGTCATTCCCATCGTATACGAGAGGCAAATTCTGGTCTAATAGGTGGATCAAGGACGAGTCGAGCTACTGATGGTGAAAGAGAGAGATACCAGACGAGGCGTAAGCGCTTAAGCCACTGGTCACGTGAGTCGCGTTTCATTTAGATCGATCGCGTCTTACCAAGACGCCGCGACGCGACTTGTCAATGCCACTTCGATTTCATAGTTTTCGTTGCAGATTCTGACGAACTTCTTGAATCTTGGGCATAAGCCTTTAACGAGGGAGCAATATTACACAGACTATGGATACAACATGTGGTGTGGTGTACAAGAATATTTAAGCGACGATCTTGCCCTCGACAATCTCGTGCGAGTCAAGGACACGAATGGCCTCCTTCGCGGCCTTTATACCGCTTGCCATCATAGCACCGAACGTCGGGCCCATCCGGTTTGAGCCGTCGTGCTCAGAGAGCTCCATACCTATCGCACAGCGATTCAGCTGAGCATCACAGAAAGATCGCGAGGAATATACGGACCGGTCATGATCATACCAGGGACGACTTCGCGGGTGCCATTGACGATGGCAGGCTCCGCGCGGTTCATGTCCAAGCACCTCATGTTGCCGAGCTCCTTCAGCAGCCCAGCACTGACCAGCCTCTTCGCCGAAAACGCGCCCATCGGTCCGTCATGGCCCGTCGCCGATACGATGACAGGGGCCGTAATGACGTTCGGGTCCATGCAGCTCTGCGTGTCGTGGTTGAGCGCGACCAGAGTCCAGTTCGTGACAACGCCGGAGACGCGCTGCACGCCCTTCGAGTCCGGGCGGATGATGAGGTCCTCCACCGCGGTCGCGTTCATGAGGACGACGTTAGGCATGGCGAGGACCTTCGACAGCACAGTCGAAGTGAACAGCGCTGCGTGCTTGACGACGACGAAGTTGCCCTCGTCCTCGAAGGGCACGCCGATTTCCGTGAGGAAGCGGTCCGCGGGTTTCCGGACAACCTACCGAGCCCGGTCAATTGACTGTTTGGGGCTCCTGCAGTTGGCACTCACCATCGGAGTCATGAGCTGACCTCCAAGCCAGGCGCCTCCACCCGGTGCGACGCCGGCCTCGATGATCGTGATTTTCAGGTCAGGACGGGTCTTCGCAAGGTGGTATGCGCAAGAAAGACCCGCGCTACCAGCGCCGATAATGACCACGTCCGAGACGGCTCGCTCGTACATCGTGTTGAAGTACCTGCGCCCGAGGGTAAGGACCGCGACTGAGTTCCGGTATCCTGAACGTACCGCTTGATCATTGCCCTCGAGACCTGAGCCTCCTCAATGGGGGCAAAACGGTAGCCACCGTCGTAGTCCTCAAGGACCTCGTACGAGATCTTGTTGTTAATCTGAGCGCCATTCTTCTTCGCCTGCAGGATGGGCTCGTCGATGGGACTAGAGTAGGTGGCGACGGGGGGAGCCATGCTGTGACGTTGAGAAGCCAGAGTCTAGCACATCTCGCAGTGATCCCATGGTTTTTATACCCAGCAATCAGGCCTCTGAACTCTGCATCCGTACGGGAAATATTTGCGCCCAGCATGTGAAGGCGACATCACCACTACCCCAAGATATGGGGGTATCTATGGCCAATGGCGCGAACGGCTAATGGCTGCCACACAGGTTAAACTTATTCCTGGCTCGAACGTGACTCCCCACAGAGCCAATGGAAGGACTAACGGTCGTTCTATCTTGATTATCTTAATCAGGCTGGGAGAAACGGAGCACTCGACTCCGGACGGGGTGCCAGGATGGTGTGGTCCGGAATGGGGGCTTCGACGACGGAAACTGCATTGCTAAGAAAAGCAAGCAAGCCGTCCCAACGACCTAAAGCAGTGGAAAGGCCTGGGGGCAGTCGTAGCAAGGCTGAGGTCTACTCCAATGACGATCTCCCTTACGCATAGGTCACTGCGTTTCCTGTAGGAGAACATCCTGGGGCGAAGAATGCTCCTCTTAGAGAAGTCGTTGGAAACATTAGGAGGATAGGACAGACCTATGCCAGAAACATCCATATCAACGTTTAGCTGTACGAGGCCCCGAGGCACGGTATGGGGTGCTCTGGGTATGCCATACGCTGGGCCGGGGGTTGTACACCAGACTGAATGAAGCAAAACCACAATGGAACGGAATCATGAGATGCGCGCGGTTTGCGAAGTTCCGCCGGCCTCACTAACGGAGATGCATTCGCACAAGGTGGGGAGAGGATACTCGGGGATTTAGAGAGTGAGAGTTACTACCTTCGCCATATCATACGCATCTGTTCCCTGTGTCATCCGAACGTTACAGCAACTCTGACTGTCGGCTCTCTCGACCGCTTTACCTCCGCCACGCCAACACAGTTCGTCCCACTCGAGACCGGCCGGGAGCTAAGCGCGCAGTGGGGTGCACGTCAGGTTTATTGGGTCGTTATCAGCGTTGTTGGCCGACAGGCTCGAATGGCGAACAGAAGGAAAGAATGGGATAAATGGATCAGTCGCCTGACCGAACTCTGACACCAACTCTGGTAATGTTCAAACCATTTAAGTCCTCCCGCCACTTAGACCTGCTGAACTAACTGGACGAGTCATCTCGTCACTATTCTTGCCTCGACATTTGTCGGATATAAGGCCGACGCTCTCTTTACCCCGGTTGTCACGCTACCACCATGCAGTCGAACTACTCCATCGACGAAGACCCCTTGTCGCTCGATAGGATCCGGTCGGTCCTGACGAGACTGGAGGACACCATTATCTTTGGGTTGATAGAGCGAGCACAGTTCGCCCACAATCCCAAGATCTACCAGAAAAATGCCTTCAAGGAGTTGCGGGATATGGGTTTCGAGGGCAGTTGGCTCGAATGGTTCTTGAAGGAAACCGAGACTTTCCATGGTGAGTGCCTCTTCTTCGTATTTCCCGAGGAGGCGTGTCTAAACCATTGGTGCCCAGCAAGAGCACGACGGTACACTAGGTTGGTAGCTCCCCACTTGAATGCTGTATTCCGGCCCATGCCTCAAACAGTCCCGATGAATATCCTTTCACGCCCATCTCTGAGTTACCCTCGCCTGTCTTGCCGCCTTTGAAGTACAAGCCTATCCTCTACCCTAACAATATCAACGTTAACCCTTCGATCTTGACCTTCTACACGAACTACATTGTTCCCCGGATAACGAGACACGCCACGCTGAAGCTCGCAAGCGTCAAGCGAGCGCAAGGAATCATGGGTGGAGACGAGTTCGAGGACGACGGTAATTACGGAAGCGCAGCCACCCTTGATGTCGAGGTACTCCAGGCGATCAGCAAGCGCGTCCATTATGGTGCGCATCTGCGTATTTTCTAAGCCCAAGGCGATCTTTGATTTTCGCGTGTCTGATCATCGGCTCTAGGCAAGTTCGTGTCGGAATCCAAGTTCCGCGCAGCTCCAGGTGCTTTCATCCCGCACATCCTAAAACCTGATCCCGCCACACTCGAAAGCCTCATAACGAAACCCGAAGTAGAGCGAAAACTGCTCCTCCGTTTGCGCAAGAAGGCCGTCAACTATGGGAGGGACGCGACCCTGGAGGTCGAAACCCCACCGTCTCCGCCTTACCCTTCCGAAGTCAACGGCACGAATGGCGTCAACGACACAAACGGTAAAATCGACGTGGACGGAGTGGTCGAGCTTTATGACAGCTATATCATACCTCTTACGAAGGAAGTGGAGGTGAGTTTGCTAGGTGTGCCTTTGTAACTGCAGATGAAGCTGATCCAATGCATCAGGTGGAGTATCTCCTCCACCGCCTTGATGGCATGTCGGAGGACCAAATAGAAGAGCTGGCGAAGACGTAGTGATCTCTATTCGAAATCTACTCGCGCCATGACTCCTAAGTTTGTTTCCAGAGGAAGCTTGTACGACGCCTGTATGATGATGATGATGAGGAAGGCCCATCCCAACTAATGCCCGAAAGGAATAACATCGATAGATAGCTACGTCGGGGATGCGGTGCAAGGATTACGCACAAATAATGTACAAACAGCCAATAGTCCCAGCAGGCATAAGTGAAGAATAACCTCGTATAGGACGGAGTCAGTACAGATAAAGCAAAGGAGGGTGAAAGCGGAAGGGGTATATACTCCGCCGAGAGTAAAAATATATCCAATATGCCAATAAATCATAATCCGAGATCTGAAAGGCAAGTGTGTCAGACTTATCGGGAATGACAAGGGGATCGTTAAAACGTACCCTCCAGAAGACGCTTTGTCTCAGCATCGCCGATATTGCGTGTCGCGCGCCTGGCAAGCAATTTTTCGGTCCTATACTTCTCGTACAACACTTCACGAGTGTGGACCTTTAGAATCTACGAGAGTACAGCTTCATTAACCTTTGCATACACACGTAAAATGTTGCACAAACCTTGATGTGAGTGGACAACACGGCAGTGCGCAATGCAGCGAAGTCACAGTGGTCGGGATTCAACACGTCCACAGTGCCCCACCTGAATTTCCTTGTAAAGACGCCTTTCAAGTCTTCAGGTGGGCCCTGTAAATAGGGCATACTGCGGGTCGAAACAGACGAGAACACGGACGAGGGGCGGGGAGATGCTAAGGAATCTGCATGCCCGTCTTCGGACGGCGACAACAGTGAGCTGTTAGGGTCCTGCATTGGAGAGGCTACGCGACGGTGCCGACGACCTCCCTCAGGACTGATGAGAGCGAATGGAAGGAGTGTGGTGATGTCGGTCTTAGCAACCACATGCGCCGAAAATCGCACGTTAGCCACACTCTCCTTGTCCGTGGGATCCGGCGTCAGAGGCCCTCGGTCATCCATGTCTTCGGAATCATATCGCGAACGTGACCGAGAACGCGTCAGTTTTGCACTAGGCATGCGTACGGGCCGCAGCTTGATAACAGGGCGTGCTTGCCGCTCTTCGTCGACTTCATGCTGAGCATCCTCTTTAGAGTCGCCATTCTGCGAGGCGTTGCCGCTCCCGCTGACAGGCGACCCAATGCTCTCCCCATTCTCATGCGTACCGTTCGTATGAGAGACGGAAGCGTCCTCCTCGGGATCCTTTGATGGCCCGAAGACACCGAAGCTAAGCCCTGCTTCCTGGAGGTCTCTCCGAACCGTAGATTTCACCTCGGCGAGTTTCTCGTCCGTAAGCGAGTCGGCACGAGCGACGACGGGAAGGACATTCACTCGCGCAGATAGGCGCCGAATAACCCGCAGTTCCGCAGGCGAGATGGTCAATCGTTCGGTTTCCGCATCCTCGTCGTCTGATTCGGCACCCTCGGAAGCCTCAGAAAGGTCCTGCGGGCGATACGTTATGGTGGTGTCCGACCGAGTCTTCGAGGGCAATGACGACTGTGCCCGACGCGCAGACGTGGAGATAACGGAAGCAGGGTCGATCATGTATATGCATCTGCACCACAGCTAGGTGAGCGTGATTTCGACGACACCAAGCATAGTATATCGTACAAGTGAATATGATGATCGCCTTTACTCTGCCGAACGACCTTTGATTCCTGTGCCACCCCAGTAACGTGAGTGAGGACACGTCACAGCGAAGCCGCGTAATGGAGGAATAGCTGAAGTTAGACATTAGGAAGACTTACCTCGTTCATGGTGTCCGCATACAGTCCATCAATATATCTCATTATTCCCGTTACTTGTCTGTCCAGCTTCAGCTCGCGGCCCTCCCGGAAATCAAGGCCAGGAGTATCAATGACGGAGAACAACACTCGGTCGAACCGAGACTCGCATATCTCAACACAAGCTGTCTGGATATTATGAGTGCATTTGAGCTTCCCGTTCAAGAAGCGGTCGACAGCGGCCCTTTGGTCGGCAGTCGCGGTAGGGGATATGTCAGCAGTCTCCAGTAGCAGTCTGAGTAGAGACGTCTTCCCGGTGCCCTGTCCTCCTACAACCTGTCCAGGAGCATCTCACCATCAGTTTGGCCGGAACAGCCAGGTGCGAAACATACCATCAAATTAAAAGTAGGCGGCGTGCGTGGCTTCCGAGTGCTAGGCCTGGTTCTTCGCTGTGTCTGGCCAGGTGACCTCCAGTTATCGAAGGCAGAAGGTGGAGGAGATGATATGTACAAGGAAGAAATGAGGCCCCCCGGCTTTTGGCCTGACTTCGGTGCGCCATTCTCTGACTGTCCTGGAGAGCCTCGAAATGGTTTGTGGAATGGAATGGGGGCGCGGTCGCTGACCGGTAAAGAACTTTTCACCGCACCTTGATGGAGACGTTCAGGGAGGGTATTCTGACGTATAGTATTGATATCGACCAGGTTCTCGGGCCAGGGAATCCCTTGGGCCTTCAGCTCCGGCAGCGACGGTGAGTTGCGGATCGGGGCATTGTTGTCCGTGTCTTTCTTCGAGATTGACTTCCGACGGAAACCGAGAACCATAGTACTAGATGCAGTGCTCCTGGCAAAGCATACAAAGACGAATGAGAGATATAGAGCACTGCTAGCAGCAAAGCAAGAAACTAGTCGGAAGTTGTACAAAACCAAGATAGGTTACGGTGGCAGAGAGCAATAACTCGAACTCCCAATTTAGCCCAAGCCGCTACAGCCACCGTGTACCGTCCGTGCGTCCCGGCCCCAGATGTGACCGATCGTCCCTGCATTGCGATTTCGACTGCCACGCGAGGTCTCAAGATCTCAGGTTCAGTCAGTCGCACTACGAGGAGGGCTGGCAAAAAAGAAAGGAATATATAGATGAACAGCTAGACAACCTGCAACAGATACAATACAACTTGATACAAAACGTTCCAAAATCCCCGTGATAACCAAAGAAAACGTGATTAGACACTGCACCATCGAGGAGATATGAAAGGATATTCTATCGTAGTCCGATAAGTAGGGTTGCTTCAGGGACCGGCCGCGACTGCGACGGAGTGACTTGCATTGCCTTCTAGGCGCATTTTCTTTGGCGGGAGCTGCTGCTGGGGATCGTGGAGATTTCTCTTCAAATCTACCTCGCCTTCTCCAATGTTCGGGGGTGCCATATGGCCATAGCCTACAGGAGGGGCAGTCGTAGGGGGCAGCTGGGTGTGCACTTGGGATGTAGGGGGTGACGACTGAGAGGGGTCCGAAGTCGATGTGGTAGCTTTCTTCCTGCGAGCTGGACCATGAGGACCGGCAGGATCGTTCACATAACTGCACTGCAGAGACCTGCGAGCGCAGCTAGAACACGAGGGATGAGCGCCATCACACTTCGTTTTCCGAGCTACGAAAATGTCCTCAGCTGTACCGAACGGGTTATACTCGTGACCGTACTTACCCCGACAGAAGTTACAGGCAACGACCTTGGGTCCGTATTTCAATGACCGGTGGCCTTTACGAGGAGGCACAGTTGACCTCCTCCTGGATGGACTGGGTAGATCAGGCTCTGTTCTGATAGGCGGCAAGGTTAACTCAGCGTGCGCTGAGCTAGAGCTCGAGATGCCGGTAACAGGGGTGGGAAGGGCTGCTATATGCGACGGATCGTCGGTCCTGTAGCTGGCCGAAGGAGGGCCCGGGATGTTGGGCTTGGGAAGCACGAGTGCAGGCAGCCGTGGGACGGTTTCCCGCCGGTCCAGCGGAGAAGTCAGATGCCCAGACCCTGGAAGCGGCTCTGTCAAGAACATGTTCACGTTGCCCTTCCTTGAGACCGGTCTGGATGGGACTTCAGGTGATTGCGAATCATGCTCGGGCGATTGATCATCGTCGCCGCTCGCAGATTCGCTCTCAGAGTCATCCTGCCTGCGCTGTCTCCTGGCGCCTCCACGCCGCATATTGGGCACGTAATCGCAAGGGTTGCGTCGTTTTAGACACTGCTCGCACGCCGGCCTTCCGCCGTCGCACTTCAGTTTCCGAGCTGCGTTATGGCCGTCTCAGTATACACGACGGTTTGGAGGCAAACGCCAAATACTTACAACGACAGAAGTTGCAGGCGACCGTTATCTTCTTTGGCCGTTGTTTCTGTGACATTCCTGCCCATAACGTTAAGTCAGAATATGTTGCATTTGCGCCGTCCCCCGATGAAAGATGCGAGTGATAATCCAATAACGAAATACTGACTTGTACCGGCTGGTGGCGTCTTAGTGGACGAGCTCGAAACAACTGATTCAGGGCCCCTCAGAGGACTGCGACGTGGCTCCTGAGCACTTGGAGGCGGCAGTGCCAGGTGCGGCTGTCGATGGGTAGCAGCAGGACCTGGGGCTGTATCTATAGCCAGGATTGGCCGTGACGCCTGTGACAATGAGGGATGCGGTCGTGAAGGCGGCGGCAGAGAAATCTGCTGCAGTGGATGGTATGTGGCATGGTGCGGCTGGTAACCTTCCATGAATTTGCCCAATAGATATTCTTTCGTGTATTTATGTAACGTCTACGGGATTGTACGAAAGTAGTGGTAGGTAAATAACATACAACTTGAGATACACTCGTACAACATAGCACTCACCTGCATGTGATGAAAGATAGCCCTCCGGAGGTACAAGAAGTCGCTGTGGTTGGGATCCAAGACGTCAAGAGATCCCCACCTGTAGCAGCGCGTGTATCTGCCCATTTCTATTTTACACGAGGGAGAGTGGCCCTTAACGACTGTGCGGTGGTTCGAAGGAGTGTATTGAAGTACAAGCTCGTGGCGCGAGGGAGCCGGTCGATGTACACCGTCGTTGTGGCAATAAATGTCGGGTGATATCAGAGCGTAGGGCAGCCGCAGCGGGGTAGTGACAGCTGGCGACCCAGGCGGAGACGGCGCGGCGGAGGGAGCGTTCCTGTTTGTATGCGAACTAAGGACGTTGGGCAAAGAACCATTCATCGGTTGTGATCCTACGTCCTTATGTTGCGGATACTGTGAATGACCGTCGAGGGCAGGAGCATCAAAAATACCGAACCCGATGCCAGCGTCCGCCAAATCCCTGCGGATCGCCATCTTCACTGCTGCAAGGCGCTCGTTTGTGAGAGTATCAGCCCGCGCAACGACAGGAAGGACGTTCATTCGGGAGGACAGCCGCCGGATGGTGTTGATGTCGGGCACGGGGAGCACGGGCCGGCACAAGTCAGGGTTCGTCGTGACGGGCGGGTCGAGAATGACGCGCTCGGGCTCCGAATGCGAGAGGCTGTTTGTGCGAGCACGAGAAACAAAAGGGACAGGAGGGGTCGGGATAGATGGCGGGACGATCACGTCGGGGTCCAAAAAGTACACGCAACTGATGGCTTGCGGGTGAGGCCAACAGCGCAAGCGGACATGGGTGAGAATATAAATACGCACAGATGCACATGATGGTCGCCGCTCCTCGCCTTGTTCTCCTGATGAATAGAGAGAGTAATTGTATGAGCGCGCGTGCAGCATGAGAAACGATAAGGACCCACGTCTTCCGCACTTTCCGCAAGTCTAGACTCTACGTGCCGCTGAATTTCTGAACACAGTCTGTCGGACGCGGCATCGTCCTGAAAGTCGAAGGACGGGGTATCGATGAGAGTGAGCGTGAGCGGCTGGGTTGGGCCCTGCTCTCCTAAATCATGCTCGACATCAATTGATACGGTCCTGATATGGCCGGTGTGGCCGCTGCAGCCTTGGACGAATTTCGCGACGGAGGTGAGCTGGTCGGACGTGGCGGTGGGCGCGACAAAGCTGGTGTCGAGCAGGAGACGGAGAAAGGACGTCTTGCCCGTGCGGCGCCCCGCGACCATCAGAGTGTACCCGCTGTACGAGTCGGCGGGTGGGCGCGCGGCGCCATTGAGGTGAGCGGAGGCCATGGTGTGGGCGGGGACGCCGCGGACGGTGGCGGCGGCGGCGAACGCGCCCCGTTCGTCCTCCTCGAGCTTTGCCCAGTGTTCCCCATGTTCCATGACGGTGGGCGTCGTCGATGGAGGCCGAAACGGGGCTCTACCGACCAGTCCGGGGGAGAAGCGATTGCGGGGTCTGTACCGGCACGCGGGGCTAGAACGCACGGCATTGACGGAGAAGAAGAGCCAATCGGAGGCCTACGACAATCACCCGGTCCTCCAGTTCCTCGCTGTATCCGCCGGGTTTACCTAACAATCATTAATTCGTGATTACAGCAACTACACCCTGTACTACAGCCCAACTCAATATCGTTTCTCGTTTTCATTTTCTCGGGCGCACTGGCACCCCTCCTGCCGACGCGGCGACACGGAGAAACCCGAAGTTATTGAGCGTGCATTTTCTGGCGGATTTCTCGTCGCATGCTAGACACCACAGCTGTCAGATAGCTCGTGCTCATCCCACGTGCTGTATTCTATGGCGGACTGGGATGGTATGTGGCAGTATCAGCAGGGTCACTATACTGGCCCTGCCCTAGCTCAGTAGTTGCAAGGGTGCCAGAACACAACTTGGTGCGCGTCCAACAGCGCGTCACAACAAGCCAAAACATATCGTATTAGGCAAGACATAAGCAACCGAGAGCCTGGTACATCAGTACAGCGCATGGCAATTGAAAGTCCGCCCCAGAGAAACGAGAGAAACAGCTCGAGGAGCTGTTTCTCGTTTTCTCGTTCGCGCTGAGATCCCAAGTCCGATCGCCGTTCGGCAGGGACCCCGAAAGGCTTCAGCG